TCAGACCCAACTCCCGCTGGGCCATTCCCAGGCACTCCCCCAAACTGGGAACTGGTCAGAAGTCGGGATGCTGTGATTTTATCGTGGACTGAACTTGTTGCGTTGCATCACAAAAGCATTTCCAGATAAATAAACACATTGTGATCGCTCCCACCCCCATCCCTGGGCTCCCAATTTTCCAGAGGCTAGATTGTTTGATTTGCTGCCTAAAAAACACACAGCAAAACACAAAAGATTGGATACGGGTTGAAAGATTAGAATGACCCACTTCCTGAATGAAGCCAGATGGGGGAAGAAGGCAGCCGAAAGGCCGTCCTGCGCAGACCACAACCCCTCTGGGTCCCTCTTTCGCTGTTTATTAATTTCTGGTTATGCTTTTCAATCTTCTCCCTCGGTCCTTGTAGGCTTAGCCTTTGCCCTTTCCAGAAGGGACGGAAGGATCTGTCAGCGACTGCTGTCTCTGTTCCTCATTCTCCCAGTCTTACATTTGGGTCTGCACATCTCTGGTTTCGTTTTAATTTTTAGGAAAGAAAATCTCATGCAAATCCACCAGCATTTTAGTGAACACATCCCCTGATAAACACAGTTTTGAGTCATGCACACATTTTTGGAAACAACGTGATGCATTTTTGGGTGCTGTGTTCACCAATATATTCAGTCGGTAAAGCACGCGACTGTTAATCTTAAGGTTGTGGGTTAGAGCCCCATGTTGGGCAAAAATATTCCTGCATTGCAGGGGGTTGGACTAGATGACCCTTGGGGTCACGAAAAGTAAAGGTAAAGGCCCCCTGGATGGTTAAGTCCAGTCGCAGACGACTCTGGGGTTGCGGTGCTCATCTCGCTTTCAGGCCAAGGGAGCCGGCGTTTGTCCACAGACAGTTTTCTGGGTCATGTGGCCAGCAGGACTAAACTGCTTCTGGAGCAACGGGACACTGTGGTGGAAACTAGAGCGCACGGAAATGCCGATTACCTTCCCGCCGCAGTGGTACCTATTTATCTACTTGCACTGGTGTGCTTCTGAGCTGCTAGGTTGGCAAAAGCTGGGACAGAGCAAAGGGAGCTCACTCCGTCGTGGGGATTCGAACTGCTGACCTTCTGATTGGCAAGTCCAAGAGGCTCAGTGGTTTAGACCACAGCGCCACCTGTGTCCCTTTGGGGTCAATATGATTCATTCTTCTTCTTCTTCTTCTTCTTCTTCTTCTTCTTCTTCTTCTTTTTAATATGGAACGCTTCACGAATTTCCGTGTCATCCCTTTGCAGGGGCCATGCTAATCTTCTCTGTATCGTTCCAATTTTAGTATATGTGCTGCCGAAGCGAGCACGACTATGATTCTATGACTCTATGGCTCACACTGCCCAGCACAGACCCTCCGAAGGCCTGTCCACAAGGCTCAGTGTTCCTCTAGGGATGTGAAAAGCATTTGCTGCCCAGCGGCTACTCTGCTTTTTTCTACATCCGCTTCCCATCCGGGAAGCCTGGGGCTTTGGGGAGCTGTTCTCCAGATGCTCGCAGCTGGGAGTCAAGCGAGGAGGCGCCTGGAAGCCCGTTCGCCCTTGCAACCGCTGAGCGGAAGAGTCCATGTCTGTACACGGAAGCCATGTGGATTTGCAAAAAGGGGGGGTTTATTAGCATGAGGCATGCTGGTGTGGGCACAGGGGGAGTGTGCCCATGTCTTTGTCAACACAGAGGAGGTGGAAACAGACCCCCCTCTCCAGTTACCACACCGCAATCATCTGGCTTGGCTCCTGCTCAAGGCTGTAGGGACCTTGGTGACTGGTACCCATTGGGACTCATAGGGCAGAAGGCAGGGAGCCCGACAGTAGGTGGCGCTAGAGGCAACAACAGGCAGAGCCTTCTAATCCTAGGCTGGTCCCCATTCTCCTCCTCCCTGCTGCAAGGGCAACGCAGAGAGGAAGGAGGAGGAAGCTGGTTGGCAGGGCCCATAGAAGCCAACTCCTAGGGGCTGAGGTCCCTTTGATTCCCCCAGTAAAATATTTGAGGGGGCTCCAGTTGATGGGCATTTCCATTCAAATGGTGTGTGTGATTATGTGGGGTGTGTGGTACCTTGGGTTACATACGCTTCAGGTTACATACACTTCAGGTTACACACTCCACTAAGCCAGAAATAGTGCTTCAGGTTAAGAACTTTGCTTCAGGATGAGAACAGAAATCGTGCTTTGGCGGCACGGCGGCAGCAGGAGGCCCCATTAGCTAAAGTGGTGCTTCAGGTTAAGAACAGTTTCAGGTTAAGTACGGACCTCCAGAACGAATTAAGCACTTAACCCGAGGTACCACTGTATTGTATCTGAAGAAATTTGCATGCACACGAAAGCTCATACCAATAACAAACTTAGTTGGTCTCTAAGGTGCTACTGGAAGGAATTTTTTTTATTTTGTTTCTGCCGCAATATTTTATTCAAGTTGGCACCGCTGGCAGGGCCACTCCCTAAAATGAGCAGGGTATGAAAGGAAGGCCTTTTCAGTGTTGGCCCCCAGGCCCTGGAACTCTGTGCAAGAAACAGGCTGGCTCTTTCTTTGATTTTGGGTGCCTGGTCAAAGCGTTATTTTTGGCAGCTCTAGAACTTGAATCAGTTCTTATGATTAAAGATCTCTGGCTTTTGTTTTTCTCATTTTTGCTCTGCTCTGCTGTTCTGTGTTATTGCTCTTTTCTGTTTTATTTATCTTGTTTTGGTTTTCCAGCTTTGCTGGCTGTTGCACCATTTATGTATTTTGCAATGCCTTTGTGTCCCGTCCCCCCAATTATTATTATTATTTTGTCATCCTTGGCTGCTTTGGCAAGACTGAAATGCTGGAAGGAAGGAAGGAAGCTCTTTGTTCTGAGCTCTCCTAACCTTCTCTGCTCTTCTAACCTAGTTGGAAGCAGGATGAGGCCTCAGCTGAGGACCTTAGCCGGTGCACGAGTTTACATATAGTTCACTGGGAGCCAAGGAAGGTGCAACGAGATCGGATGATCCACATCGGACTATTGAAAAAGCAGAGTTCTGTATTCTGAAGTTTCTATGCCCTTCTCAAAGGCGATTCCATTAGCGTGTGCCTTGGGGGAATCCCTGCCACTGTACAGAAGAGATTAACTGGACCAGATTATGGGGCTTCTGGTCTAGTCAATTTCACTTGGGGGAAAAAAGAGAGAGCATGCTCTCAAATGGGCTGTGAGGGAGAAACAGTGTTTGAAAATGGTGAGACATAACTCGATGAGAGAGGGGCAACTTTATTTTTTCCTTTTCCAAGGGGGCTGCATGAATTATATACAGCTTAGCTCCAACTGTCTGAAATGCCATATTCCCTTCCATGTACCTACCCAGGCTCTGAGATCTTCTCCAGCCATCCAGGCCCACTTGGTGGAAATGTTGGAGAGGCAACTTTGGAACTCCCTGCCTAGAGAAGATAGACTGTTTAGGGAAGCTTTTAATGTTTGAGGCATTACTGTATTTTAATATTTTGTTGGAAGCCGCCCAGAGTGGCTGGGGAAGCCCAGCCAGATGGGCGGGGTATAGATAATTTATTATTGTTGTTGTTGTTACTGCTTCCCTCCTTGTTGTCTTTCCACTGCTAGGTGAAAACTTTCTTCTTCCATCTGGCCTTAGGGAACTGGCTTGTTTTTAAGGAAAGGGCTTGGAGCAACGCTGTGCTGCTATTATTATCGTTACTATTATCGTTTATTAAATTTCTGTACCGTCCTTCATCCAAGGATCACGGGGCAGTTTACAGTATAAAAACACAAAAAATGCATAGCATAGTGACAAACAAAGAACTGTATGCATTTTAATATATCTATCAGAGCTTAATTACGGTTTGCCGTATTTTTCGCTCCATAAGATGCACCTGACCATAAGACGCACCTAGTTTTTAGAGGAGAAAACAAGAAAAAAAAATTCTGAATGAAACAGTGGATGTATGATTTTTGTGATTCGTGCTGTGGCCACAGACATCTGATTTGATGGTGAATATGGGGTAACCCAATGCAAAAATCCTGAGGATCCATGTGGATCCGTGCTTTGTAACCACGTTTTTGTGCCATTGCGGTCCCACGAAACAGTAGGTGTGTGGTTTTTTTGGTGCAGGCTGTAGCCATGGACATGCTATGTGATCTGATGGTGAATTTGGGGTGACCCAATGCTAAAATCCTGAGGATCCATGGGATTTTACCTCCTCCCTCCTAGGCAGCCTCCTTTATCTCTAGCGTCCCTTATCTCCCTCCTGATCGCTTGCCGATCAGCTGTTTCCTTTCAATACTCCCTTCCGTCTTGTTTGCCTTAGTGTCTTTTCCTTAGCTGGAGGAGTTTTTTGCTCCTCCTTTTCTTCTAATTTCTCTCCTTATTGCTTTAGTCTTCCTGTCCCCCCCCCCCTTTTGCAAGTTTGCTGTCTTTACTTTCCCCCCACCCAGGCAGCCTCCTTTATCTCTAGCGTCCCTTATCTCTCTCCCCGATCGGCAAATGATCAGCGGCTTTGTTTCAACACCCCCTTCCCTCTTTCAAAAAAGAAAGAAAGAAAGAAAGAAAGAAAGAAAGAAAGAAAGAAAGAAAGAAAAGAAAAGAAAAGAAAGCATGATCTGCTTTTTGCCCCTGGGCAATTCGGTTCCAGGGACCACACATTCGCTCCATAAGAGGCATAGACATTTCCCCTTACTTTTTAGGAAGAAAAAGTGCGTCTTATGGGGCAAAAAAGGTAATTATTATCTTCCCCAGTTTGTTTTGGGTTTTATCTGTGTTGTTTTAAATTGTGTGAGCTGCCTTGAGGCAAAAGCTGGGATATAAATAAATGGAATGAAAATATGGATATGTTACACGTGCTTTACCAATGAGTAAGAAAAAGGGTGGGTGTCCCCCCCCCCCCCCGTATATCAAACTCTTTATGAAGCCTTTAAACAGCTCTCTGATTGAATGCAGGCTACAAGCTGGGACCCCTTTGCCCTCCGTCTCTCCTTGATTTTAGGGGGGTGCCCACCCCCTGCCCTGCACCCTAGGGAGTCAGGCGATGAGACTTGTACATCCGTATCTTTATTGGTCTGGAAATTATACATGTGGCTGCTGTTACATGGTACATGGATACCAGGGTTACACTTCGGCGGGGGACTGATGACGCAAACCAGCTGCACCATGGAACGGGCGCACAGAAACAACGCAACACGCACGCGACGGGAAGCACTGCAACCGATCCTCACAACACACGCACGGCTGTCGCAAGAACGGGCCGCCTTGTGGGGCGACAATATTTTGGAGGGTGAATGAGCTTGCACCCCACAGTCCTTTGCTTCGCTGCAGAAGGTACCTTGGGGGCACCTTTTGGGATTGTGGGGCGCACGCATGCCCTTTTGGGGGCGTCTGCAGCTGCCTCCAGCCCACCACGGCCTTCCTCAGCCAGAGCTGGCATGTTGGCACACTGCCTGGCAGACCTGCAGGTGGTGGGGCACCAGTTCCTGAAACGGGGGTGTTCACTGTGCGAAGGTGAGAGAGGCTAGAACACGGTTCTGTGGATCCAGCCCAGAAGTTCAGACAGAATTCTGTAGCCTCTCCACGTGAAAGATTCCGGGTTCAATCTCTGGCAGGATCTCCAGAAGGTTCTGGAGGAAAAACTCTCCTCTGGCTGAGTCCCTGGAGAGTCACAGATCAGCCTCCTCAGGACATCACTGGAGGCTTTTAAGCAGGGGCTGGGTGGCCACCTGTTGGGGATTATTCAGCTGCAATTCCTGCATTGCAGAGGGTTGGGCTAGATGGCCTTTGGAGGGTCCTTTCCAACTCTGCAGTTCCGTCCCACGATTCTGTGATTCCAGCCAACAGAGGAAGGCCATTGGGTTCATGGGAGTCTCTCCCCCCTCTACCTGGACATACTGTTGGGGGTTCAACCCAAGGCCTTCTGCACTCAAGGCAGCTGCTCTGCCCCCTTATGATTGACGAGGCCATCTCCAAACCTGCCTTGCAGTGTGGCTGGCTACTCTGACGGCCAGCAGCTCTGCCTAAAAGGGTCTTGTGCAAAGCAAGACACCCATCCCTGATCTGTTGCCTTTCAACTGGCGAGTCCAGGGATCAAACCTGAGGCCACCTTCTGCATGCAAAGCCTGGGCTCTACCAATGAACTACGGCCTGTCCTAACCGGCTCTCCTTTTCTGCTGCTGTGGGAGAAACGGGAATCGTGGGAAACAGCCTGCAGATGTTCTACCAGGAGCGCTGAACATCTGTGCCGCCTGCCCTGATCTTCTGCTTTCTGCAACAACCCGCATCTGGAAATGTAGCAGCTAAGGCTTTTCCTCCCATGGCAGCAGGAGGGAGGAAGAGTATCGCCAGCTAAGAAGAGCCTGCTGGGTCAGGTCAGTCCAGAATCCTGTTCTCAAAGAGGCCAACTAGATACCTTAATGGGAAGGCTGTTAGCAGGATCCGAGCATGAGAGCCCTCTCCCGTCCTGCGACTTCCAGCAACTGGTGTTCAGAAGCATCGCTGCCTCTGACAGTGCAGCCATCCAAGTTGGTGGCCATCTCCAGTGGAAGGGAGTTCCATAGTTTAACAATGTGTTTTTATGTGTTGGGCTGCTGCTAAAAGGCGCAGGAGCAGGGCAAGGGGAAAAGGTGGCACCCTTTCACATGCACATATGCACACACCCAAATCTACACATTGCGATGGCCTGGGACTCGGGCTCGGACTCAGAACCAGAGAAGTCTTGGTCCGCACCGGATCCTTTGCCTCAGGCATCATCTGAACCAAGTCTGGGGCCTGATCCTGAAGAGCCCCAGTCTGCACAGGTTCCCCTGCAGCAAACACCAGCTGGGCCGAGTCCGGGGCCTGAGCCTGCCCTGGCTCCAGATGCGGGGATGACCTCGTTGCCTCCAGCTGGGCCATCGCTTACAGCTGCTCCTCTACCAGTTGGGTCAGGGGAGGCTGAGGCGGCCCTGGGTCTAGTAACCCATCGACGTCTCCCGAGCTGCAGAGACTCAGGTCTGAGAGAAGGAGAGACCTGAGTGCTCGCCTTTGGGGAAGACAGGGAGGTGAGTCGCTGTGGGATCAGGACCGGCCGCTACCCCGACAAAGATAAAAGGCTGATGGACCCTGCCCCAGGTTGCGGGAGCAACATTGCTGTTTGCCAGAACCTGCCTGTGATCCTGTGCCTGACCCTGCCTGGTTTCCTGCCTTGGTCCTGTCGGACTGACTTCTCGCAGAATCCTTGGATTTGGGACTGGATCTGGACCGCGTGGCTCGGGTTAACCCCCAGGCCCAGACACACATGTACAAATTTTGCTCTTCCACTGCAATGGAAAACACCCTTGCATCTTTCCCTGGCTCACACATAGGTTGACCAAAGGAGAAGAAGAAGAAGAGGAGGAGTTTGGATTTGATCACTTTATCACTACCCGAAGGAGTCTCAAAGCGGCTAACATTCTCCTTTTCCTTCCTGCCCCGCAACAAACACTCTGTGAGGTGAGTGGGGCTGAGAGACTTCAAAGAAGTGTGACTGGCCCAAGGTCACCCAGCAGCTGCATGTGGAGGGGCGGAGACGCGAACCCGGTTCCCCAGATTACGAGTCCACCACTCTTAACCACTACACCACACTGGCTCACTTCCAAAGTAGTCTTTGGAAGGGCAAATAGCCAGGGATCTGGGGATCTGTTTAGCGGTTCGATCTCAGTGGTCATGGGCTGGGTGTGTGTGTGTGTGGCAGGCAAAGTAGGTGCTTGACACGAGGCGGGAGGGTGGCCGGAGTTTAGCAGCTGCAACTCTTCGCCTTGGATGGTTCTCCAGTTTCCCCAAAGCTGCTGCAAACGGTGCCCCGAACTGTGCAGAATAAATGAGGGCAGGAGCTGGGGTGGTGGGACCTTCCATGGATGTGGGGGGCAGCTGCCTGCAGTCAAAAAGAGTCTGTCCGCCTGCCCACCTCCAACACATCTACCACCCCCCCTTTTGTACGGGGGACAAAGGAACTGCTCATATTCCCGGGGGCCCCGGGGGCCCTGGTAACCCCGGCCGCCCCTGGATCCCAGGGTCCCCTTTTGGCCCGGTCGGCCCGATTGGGCCCGGCGGCCCCATTTTCCCTGGGATTCCCGGCTTCCCCTGCAGCCCAGGAGGTCCAGCTGGTCCCGGTGGCCCCCCAGGCCCTGGGGGCCCCACATCGCCCTTGGGGCCCGCTTGCCCTTTGGCGCCCCCTTGTCCGAAGCTTCCCTTGGCCCCTTTGAAGCCAGGGAGGCCTTTCGCGCCCACGAGGCCTCTCTCGCCTGCAGGGCCTGGGTTTCCTGGGGGGCCCTGGGCTCCTGGGGGCCCCGGTGGCCCCAGGCTCCCGGAGTCGCCTTTCGCTCCTCTGCTCCCGGTCGGCCCTTTGACGCCAACGTCGCCTCTGAATCCTCGAGGGCCAGGAGGGCCAGGGACACCTGGATAGGAAGAGAGGGAAATATGGGGTCAGCGACAGTAAACTATGCAACAACATCCAGGGCAGTGTACCACTATGAGATTGTGATGGGGGTCAGTCTGGATGATGCCCTGGGTCCCCTTTCCAATTTTTGGCCTCCTGTGCCCAGTGAGGCTTGGGATCCTATAGAAGAGATTGCTGAACCGTACAGGTTTCTGTGTAAGAAAAATGACCACTTGAATATCCTCATTGGCATCCCAAAATAATGATCTGAGTTGTAAGAGCAACAACTAAGGATGGATGGCGGCCAAAAGATTGAGGTTGAATTCTGACAAGACAGATGTACAGTCATACCTCGGGTTGAAGTAGCTTCATGTTGAGCGTTTTCGGGTTGCACTCCGCGGCGACCCAGAAGTAACGGAGCGCGTTACTTCCAGGTTTCGCAGCTCAAAATGACGTCACAGGCATGCGCGGAAGAGGTGAATCACAACCCGCGCATGCGCAAATGCGGGTTGCTTTCACTTCAGGATGCAAACGGGGCTCCAGAACGGATCCCATTTGCATCCAGAGGTACCACTGTACTGTTTTGGGAGACAGGGGGCGGGCAGGTATGGAGGACTCCTTGGTCCTGAATGGGGTAACTGTGCCTCTGAAGGACCAGGTGCGCAGCCTGGGAGTCATTTTGGACTCACAGCTGTCCATCCACACCGTATACCGTGTTTGAAGACATAAGGAGAGACCATTGGATCAGGGCTGTTGCAGGAATTTGTGTATAAGTTGGGGGGGGTTGCCCCTCCAGCAGATATCATGCACATGCAGCCCGCTACCAAAATCAGCACAGTCACTTTTGGGATTTTTGTGATTTATCCCCACAAAACACTTCATCACAGTTTCTTCCTATCTATTCAAAGGGCCTTTGCTGCACAATACCAAATGTAAGAATTCACTGATAACTGTATCTATGTACTGGCTTACCGGGAAAACTTCAGAACATGTGAGCTCAGCTACTCAGCAGCCCCTCTGCCTGAGTGATATTCCTGGCATCCTGACACCTGAGTGACAGACAGGTAGTCATTCCAGAAATAACAAACCCAGATGAAGACAAAAGGCTGCGATTAACTTGGCTGGGAAACAGGGAAATGCAAATATCTCTTTTGTTCCACTTGATGGGTGTTTGGTGGAGGGCAAGGGGAACCATGGGGCAGGGTCCAGGATGCTCAGATTCCTGCCACCAGACCTCCCCTTTCATGATGTAACCGTGATGTATGAGTGATGTAGTTTGGGGGGGTGTAACATGGGGATTAGCAGCTAATAAAAGTTTGGGTTCTCTTTTGTTCGGGGCTACCATCCTGTTTCACCTGGTGGCAGGTGGGAGTCCTGTCGCGACAGTCTTCAATCAAGACCAAGCCTCCTGGCTGCTATTTTGTTCTGCTATTCCTGGCTGGTGTCCTTGTTTTTTGTCCAAGGGAGCCCTCAGATTTCTCCGTTAACAGGGTCGGCAGAAGCAAAGCAGTCTTGCTGAGATTCTTGGCTCTTTTGCTGTGCCTCTAGGATTTGGAAGCTGAGCCGGGACATTTGCAAACAAACAGGTCTCCCAGAGACTGCCCGGAGGCGCCTCTGGGCTGGTGTCTTTCTGCAACATGTCACGGGCAACTGTGTGATGTTCTCCTTGCCAACCTGAGGGTGAAGAGGGAAGGATCCAGCCTGGGACTGCTTATATCTGGCTACCTGGCTGGGAGGGTCTGGGAACTCAATGTGCTGGGATCTGCAAGGAGAGAGATCAACAGCTCCCACCCAGAGAAAGCCAAAGAAAACCTCCAGGAGGTTCTGCCTCCCCAGCTGGCGTTTGCAAGCTCACAGCCCCGCCGGCTTGGGACGCAATCCTGTATTGACTCAGACCATCCTGCCAGGCCACGCACATAACTGGCCAGTCTGAGGCAGTACCCAGGGGTGGTTCTGGCTTGCGCCAGCTCCCTCTGCATTGCACTCTTTTTCCATAGCAATAAATTTTTTTTAAAATAACAGAGCTCAGCAGCAGGAAGGATAAACAGCACTCGGAGCATCTGGGCCAGGGAAGTGGGGGAGACTTTGCTGAAGCTGCGGCAACAGGGCAGCTCCTAAGGGGCTCAAATCTTAAGGGAGGAGGAGGGGAGGAGGTCCCGGCTTGGCACCCCAAATCTAGGGCTTTGTTTGATCCAAGGCTCAGCTCCAAAATCAGGAACTCTTGTCCTGAAAGGTGTGTGAGAGAAATAAAGGGGGACTCTGAGCATATGCAGAGTGCTCTCATCACTAAGTGATTATTGCCAGCTTCCAGGCAGCTAGGGAGACTCAGACTTTGTCCATTGCATCAATTCTAGGACGCCAATGGTCGGTTTAGCTGAGCATCCGGTTTTCACAGAAGCCAATCAGATAACTGTGGGAAACCTGCAAGCTGGATTTGAAAATAATAATAATAATAATAATAATAATAATAATAATAATAAATTTATTATTTGTACCCCGCCCATCTGGCTGGGTTTCCCAAGCCACTCTGGGCAGCTTCCAACAAAGATTGAGAATACATTAAAATGTCACACATTAAAAACTTCCCTAAAGAGGGCTGCCTTCAGATGTCATCTAAATGTCAGGTAGTTGTTTATCTCTTTGACATCTGGTGGGAGGGCGTTCCACAGGGCGGGTGCCACCACCGAGAAGGCCCTCCGCCTGGTTCCCTGTAGCTTCACTTCTCACAGGGAGGGAACTGCCAGAAGGCCTTCAGCGCTGGACCTCAGTGTCTGGGCAGAACGATGGGGGTGGAGACGCTCCTTCAGGTATACTGGACCGAGGCCGTCTAGGGCTTTCAAGGTCAGCACCAACATTCTGAATTGTGCTTGGAAATGTACTGGGAGCCAATGTAAGTCTTTCAAGATTTGTTGTAGTTTCTGGGTCACCTTCAAAGGGAGCCCCACTAGAGCGCATTGCAGTAGTCCAAGCGAGAGATAACTAGAGCATGCACCACTCTGGTGAGACAGTCTGCGGGCAGGGAGGGTCTCATCCTGCGTATCAGATGGATCTGGTAAACAGCTGCCCTGGACACAGAGTTGACCTGCGCCTCCATGGACAGCTGTGAGTCCAGAATGACTCCCAGGCTGCGCACCTGGTCCTTCAGGGGCACAGTTACCCCATTCAGGACCAGGGAGTCCTCCACACCAGCCCACCCCCTGTCCCCCCAAAACAATACTTCTGTCTTGTCAGGATGACTATGGAGGCAGTTCCACAGTTTAACTATGCACAGACCTAGGTCTGGGATTTTGGCGGTGTGCAAAAAATCCAATGCGCTGAGACGGCAGCCATAGCAGCAGCAGCAGCGCACCTTGGGGGTCTGAGCAGATCCTCACATTGCAGCAAGGTGTCCCCCCATCCACGCCATAGACTTTCACTCCCTGCTGCAGTGTGAAGCATCTTCCTAAAAGGCAAACCCTTTTTCCTTCCATCCCGGGAGGCCGGAGTCACAGCCAGAGCGCTGACACTCAGCTGCTTCCAATCAACGGCCTGTGTGTTTTTATGATGCATGTTGCAGCGCGTGTCAAATGGGAACCAGCTGCGGGGACCACATCCTTAACGCTGCAGCGCCCGAACGCCGCGTTCACGTGCGAACAGATGAAGAAAGGCTAGCATTGTGCCTTGCCTAGGGCCCACTTGATGTCTAGGTCGCTCGTGGCCTGGAAGAATTTTCAAGGGATTAGATAATGTAAAGGTAAAGGACCTCTGGTTGGGATGCGGGTGGCGCTATGGGCTAAACCAATGAGCCTCTTGGACTTGCCGATCAGAAGGTCGGCGGTTCGAATCCCCGCAACGGGGTGAGCTGCCGCTGCTCGGTCCCTGCTCCTGCCAACCTAGCAGTTCGAAAGCACGTCAAAGTGCAAGTAGATAAATAGGTACCGCTCCAGAGGGAAGGTAAACGGCGTTTCCGTGCGCTGCTCTGGTTCGCCAGAAGTGGCTTAGTCCTGCTGGCCACATGACCGGAAGCTGTACACCAGCTCCCTCAGCCAATAAAGCGAGATGAGCGCCGCAACCCCAGAGTCAGCCACGACTGGATCAAATGGTCAGGGGTCCCTTTATCTTTACCTTTTAATGACCCCTGGACGGTTAAGTCCAGTGAAAGGCGACTATGGGGTTGCGGCGCTCATCTCACTTTCAGGCCGAGGGAGCCAGCGTTTGTCCACAGACAGCTTTCCGGGTTGTGTGGCCAGCATGACTAAACCGCTTCTGGTGCAACGGGACACCGTGACAGAAGCCAGAACGCATGGAAATGCCATTTACCTTCCCGCCACAGCAGTACCTTTTTATCTACTTGCGCTGGTGTGCTTTCGAACTGCTAGGTTGGCAGTAGCTGGGACAGAGCAACGGGAGCTCACCACTGTCATGGGGATTCGAATCACTGACCTTCCGATCAGCAAGCATAAGAGGTTTAGTGATTTAGACCACAGCACCACCCACGTCCCTATTAAGGTAAAGGTAAAGGACCCCTGGATGATTAAATCCAGTGAAAGGCGACTATGGAGGGGTTGCGACGCTCATCTCACTTTCAGGCCAAGGGAGCCGGCGTTTGTCCACTGACAGCTTTCTGGGTCGTGTGGCTCGCATGACTAAACCGCTTCTGGCGCAACGGGACACCGTGATGGAAACCAGAGCACACGGAAATGCCGTTTACGTTCCTGCTGCAGTGGTACCTATTTATCTACTTGCACTGGTGTGCTTTCGAACTGCTAGGTTGGCAGGAGCTGGGACAGAGCAACGGGAGCTCACTCCGTCACGAGGATTTGAACTGCTGACCTTCTGATCAGCAAGCCCAAGAGGCTCAGTGGTTTAGACCACAGCACCACCTGCTCCTTCAAGGGTTTAGGTGGCAGCCTGGCAGCAGATCAGCCCACAAATGGTTGAGGGACTTGGGGATGTTTAGCCTGGAGAAAAGAACGGGCTGAGAGGTGATATGAGAGACATCTTCACGCTCCTTAAGGGTTTCCCATGGAAGATGGAGCAAGCTTTTCTGCTGCTCCATTGGGGAGGCTCTGAACCAATGGATTCCAATTGCAAGAAAGGAGATTCCGACTAAACATTCAGAAGAACCTTCGGATGGCCAGAGCCATTGGACAGTGGGACCGACTCCCTCCTTCACTGGAGGTTTTTAAGCAGAGACTGGATCCATCAAGGATTCTTTAGCTGTGATTCCTGCACCACAGTGGTTTCGACTAGATGACATTTGGAGGTCCCTTCCAACTCCACAATTCTAATATTCCCAGCAGGACTTTCTGCCTGCACATTAATCCTGCATCAATCACCTTTGGCCTAAAAGAAGCTAGTTTGGAAGCTCTTCTTCTCCTGCAAGTCACCAAGTGAAGAGATGACTTTATCAGCTGAAATGAGCACATATATTCTTATGCTCCTGCGACCACCGTAGATTGGAGCAGAAAGGGTGACCCAGCATGACACGTTGTCTGAACAGACATTTCTTCTGCTGCTGGGGACCCTGCAACTTATATTCCTGAGATGGGGAAGCAGAACTTTCCCACGAGGAAAAATTGCAGAGTTTGGAGGCTTTTTAGTTTAGAGGGAAAGCAAGCAGGAGGCGACATGATAGAAAGTTAGAAAATTATGCCTGGTGTGATCTGCTCCTGAAGGAGCCTCTCCACCCCCATCGTTCTGCCCGGACGCTGAGGTCCAGCTCTGAGGGCCTTCTGGCGGTTCCCTCCCTGTGAGAAGCCAAGTTACAGGGAACCAGGCAGAGGGCCTTCTTGGTGGTGGCACCCGCCCTGTGGAACGCCCTCCCACCAGATGTCAAAGAGAAAAACAACTACCAGACTTTTAGAAGGCATCAGATGGCAGCCCTGTTTAGGGAAGCTTTTAATGTTTGATGCGTTACTGTATTTTAATGTGTTGGAAGCTGCCCAGAGTGGCTGGGGAAACCCAGCCAGATGGGTGGGGTATAAATAATAAATTATTATTATTATTATTATTATTATTGGGACGCGGGTGGCGCTGTGGGTTAAACCAATGATCCCAGGAGTTGCCGATCAGAAGGTCTCCGGTTCGAATCCCCGCGATGGGGTGAGCTCCCGTTGCTCGGTCCCTGCTCCTGCCAATCTAGCAGTTCGAAAGCACGTCAAAGTGCAAGTAGATAAATAGGTACCGCTCTGGCGGGAAGGTAAACGGCGTTTCCGTGCGCTGCTCTGGTTCTCCAGAAGCGGCTCAGTCCTGCTGGCCACATGACCTGGAAGCTGTACACCGGCTCCCTCGGGCAATAAAGCGAGATGAGCGCCGCAACCCCAGAGTCGGTCACAACTGGACCTAATGGTCAGGGGTCCCTTTACCTTTACCTATTATTATCATCTTCATCATCATCTCATTGTACTGATTGTCTTTTTGCTTCTAAGCAGGGTTTTTATAGCTATCCTGGTTAGTGAATCTGGAATTAAAGCAGGCTGTCCAAGGCAACACAAATGATTGAGGGGCTGGAGTGACTCCCTCATGAAGAAAGGTTTGGGGCTTTTTAGCTTAGAGAAATAGTGAGGAAGACGTGACATGATAGAAGTTTACAAAATTAAGCATGGCATGGGAGGAAGGGAGGATTTTGTTTCTCTCTCTCCTAGAACTCCTGGGTGTCCACTGAAGCTGAAAGCTGGAAGATTCAGGACAGATTGAAGAAAAGACTTCTTCATGCAGTTCACTGTTAACCTATGGAACTCCCTGCCACAGGAGGCAGGGATGGCCACCAACCTGGATGGCTTTAAAAGAGGATTAGACAAATTCATGGAGGACAGGGCTATTGATGGCTATCACAGTCAGAGGCAGCAATGCTTCAGAGTCCAGCAAATTTTCTTACGTTCTTTTCTTATATGGACACCCACTTTGATTAGTCCCTGAATGAAGTTTGTTCCGAGTGGCCAGCAGCTGATGGGAAAGACAGCTCTGCAAATTGGCAAAAACAAGCTTACGAAATATTAGAGGTTGTCGCCCAAGCCCGTGACTCATCTATTTATTTGGGTTTTGCAGCCCAAGTAAACCTGCTCTGGAGATTCAGGAGAGGCTGCAAAAATCCAAAGCCAAGCATCGAAAGCAGCCCTTACCACTCTGTTCCATGAGTGGCTGGGTGGCTAGAGTGGTCCCTAGAAGTCCACAGTGTGCAGGTCAGGATCTAGACCTCCCTGAGTCCAAACTGGGTCACTCGGGGTCACGAGACCCCCTGGCGCAGGAAGGGCACAGAGTCCCTGGCACAAGAGCTGGCCATGGGAGCAGGGAAGGTGTCTTTCATTGTTTCATTCATTAATTAAAATATTTGTATACCCCAGTGGCATGAAAAATAGGTCAAAGTGGTTTTGTGCAATAGAAACGTTAAGCATGCCAGAACAAACACAAAAAAGTTAAAAACAGACCTCATTTAACCATAGTGGAACGATGTACTTTTAATTGCCTGCCTAGGCCTGGTGGAAATGAAAAGTTTCCTGCAGGTGATTAATGGTTAGCACAGAAGGCACCTGCAGCAATATGAGAAGGGGTCTTTTCTGTGGTGGCTCCCCGTTTGTGGAACGCTTTCCCCAGAGAGGCTCGCCTGGCCCCTTCGTTGCATATTTTCAAGCACTTTGCAAAAACATTCCTTCATCTGTGTAAGCCACCTTGAGTCCCGGACAGGGAAGAAACTGGGATATAAATACAGTGGTACCTTGGTTCTCGGACGCAATCCGTTCCGGAAGTCCGTTCAACTTCCAAAACATTCGTAAACCAAGGTGCAGCTTCCGATTGGTGCAGGCGCCCAGGAAACAATTGCTGACAGTTGCATCGGACGTTCAGCTTCCAAAAAACATTTGAAAACCAGAACACTTACTTCTGGATTTTCAACATTCGGGAGCTGAAATGTTTGAGTACCAAGGCGTTCAAGAACCAAGGTTCCACTGTAATTATAATCATAGTAATAACAATTTCAACCAGGCTTTTAACTATCTATGGCCTTTTAGAGTGGGTGAGATTCTTTAATGTACCGTATTTTTTGCTCTATAAGATGCACTTTTCCCCTCCTAAAAAGTAAGGGGAAATGTGTGTGCGTCTTATGGAGCGAATGCAGGTGGGAGGCTCTGCTCAGCGCTCCCTTTAAAGAGCCGGCTCTTGGGGGAGCCTTCATCCGGCTGCCCAGGAGAGGCTGCGTGCGGCTATCCCATAAGCCAAGACAGCAAGAGGGATCGCTGCGCAGCGATCCAGCTTGCTGTCCTGGCTTTGCGTGCGGCTCTTGCGGGAGGTGGGGGAAGGGACAGAGTGCGCGGCTCTGTCCCTTTCCCCACCTCCCAGAAAAGCTCCCAAGAGCTGCGCGGAGCATGTGTGTAGCTCTTGGGGACTTTTCCCTGAGGAGGGAGAAGGGCAGCCCGTCAGTCCCTTCTCCCTCCTTGGGAAAAGCCACACACGCTCCACGCGGCTTGTGAAAGGGAGCGCTGAGCAGAGCCTGGGATGCAAACAGGCTCTGCTCAGCGCTCCCTTTAAAGAATATTTTTCCCCTTGCTTTCCCCCTCTAAAAGCTAGGTGCGTCTTATGGTCAGGCGCGTCTTATGGAGCGAAAAATACGGTATGTCCTGTCTCCTGGTTTTAATGCATGCATCTATTATGGCTTTATTTTTTGAGTCGCCATCACAAAAAGGGCGGCTAATGAATTTAACAAGTAGTGATCAAAACAACCCTGTGCCTCCCGCTTGCCTCCCCATCGCTGCTTCTCACCTCGCAAGACAGTGACGTTTCGGAGGATCTGCCCGTGACGGGTGTCCACCGCCTTCATCTCTTCCATGACCATGGAGAGGTTGCGGATGTCAAAGTCCAGACGGGCGCTGAGAAGGCTGAAGCGCTCGCGCAGGAGGTCGGTGGCGCTGAGCATGAGGCTGACCGACCTGTTCAGGTAGTAGAGCTCCTCGGCGTGCGCATGGAATCCCAGCGTGCAGGAGAGCCGGACGTCGTCCAGGTATTTGAGCATGCTGTGGACGTGGCTGTCCGTGGCGTTGATGTTGGTGAAGATGGTGCTGATTTCAATCTCGTGGGAGGTCATGCGTCCTTCAAGCGTCTCAAAGCGCTCGGCCGTCCGGTTCTGCGTGTAGCGGGCGTGGTACTGGAGGTCGTGCATGTTCTCCTCGTGGTCGTCCAGGAAGGATGAGACGTTGTCCAGCTGCAACTGCAGGCTCATGACTTGCAAAACCAGGTCGTGCATGCCCTCCGAGTTCTGCCCGATCCTCTGCGAGGTGATGCCCAGGCTGGTCTGAATGCCCTTGACCAGCTCCCCAGTTTTGGAGGAGGTGGTCCTCAAGCCCCCCAGCAGGCGGGTGTAGTTCTGCCAGTCGGACACGATCTTCTGCAGCGTCAAGGTTTCCTCGTTCATCTTCCTCTGGATGATGTGCACCCAGTCGGAAGTCTGGCCGACGGTGAAGTTCATTTGCTGCACGGCGGCTTCCATGTCGAAGCGCTCTTGCGACAGCTCCTTCAGCGAGCTGCCCAGCTCGGAAGTGGCCCCCTGCCAGCCCCTCACCTGTGCCAGGAAGAGCGCCAGGCTCTGGTTGACCCGCTGGATGGCGGAGAAGCACCCGTCCACCTCGTCGTTGATCTTGTTGCTGGCGGACGAGAGCTGCTGGTGGCTCTGGCCAGCGCGGTCGAGCAACACCTCCTGCGCCAAGAGCTTCTTCTGGATTCCTTCCAGCTCCTCTTGCAGCCTGCTGATCTCCTGTCCCAGCTGGCCTGCATCGTGGCAGAAGGAGCAGTTGCCCAGGGATTTCTGATCTGGATTGGAGGGTGGGGTGCAGAAAGAAAGCAGGTTGGTTAAACAGCTTCTAGCACATACCCAGCAGTTGACCAGGCCTTGTCCTTCCCCATAGCTAAACGGCAGAACGCACCACGGAAATAAAACTGCGAATCTGCCCAATTACTGTACACCGTTCTGGTCGCCTCAGCTCAAAAAGGGTATCGAACAGCTGGAAAAGGCACAGAAAAGGCCAACGAGATCGATCGAGTCCCCTATGAACGAAGGATGCAGCATTGGGGCTTTCTAGTATATGACAGAAGTTATTTATATTTATATTATTTATATTTATATTTATATTTATATTTATATATTTATACATACATACATAGCCCGCCCTCCCCAGCCAAGACCGGGCTCAGGTCTCCTAACAACAGATATAAAACAATTGATTAAGATACAACTTAAAAAGAAGATTAAAATACAACATTAAAATGCAGCCTCATTTGAATAGAAACTCAAATCAGAAACTTTTTGGCGATGAAAACGTCAAATCTTCTCTAAGGCCAACTATCCAGACTGGTCCTACGTGGGCCAGAAAAAGCCAGGGAAGCCCCCAAATAGGAGTTCCATCACAGAAGGAGAAAGGAAAAAGGATAGTTTATAAATGTATGCCTGGCATGGAGAAAGTAGATAGAGAAAAGTCTCCCTCCCTCTCTCTCTCTCTCTCTCTCTCTCTCATAAGACGAGCAATCACAGACATCCAGTGCAGCTGGATTCAGGACAGAGGGGAAAAAAATCCTTCTTGCAGTGCAGAGTTAAAATGTGGAACTCCCTGCCACAGTAGGCAGCGATGGCCACAAACCTAAATGGCTTTGAAAGAAGATTGGACCCAGTCCTGGAGAAGGAGGGGCCTTCAATGGCTCTTAGCCAGGATTGCTTTGCTTTGCCTCTGCAGTTGGGGGGCAGCAATGCCCCAAAATTCCCTGGGCTGAGCAGGACTGGAGGTATAGATGACTATCAGACTTTGAAAAGCTGGTTTCACTCGATCAAGTTCATCCGTTTCGTGGAATTCATTAAACTAAATAGTTTTAACTGGATTTTGAGAAAGAAAAACCATGCAATTAGTTGCTACTGTTTTGAATTCCACTGTGTTATTATCTTCTCAAGTGGATTGTTCAAACCACTGTTCTGAATAATCCTTTTTATAGGGTAGGAGGGGTAACACTGGGGGTGAGTTGGAAGCATGAGGACAGTGACACCCCCGCAAAAAGTTTGGGAGCCGCTGGACCAGGGAGTAAGCCCCTTGAGAGCTTGGCTTAGGAGGGGACTGCTAGACTGGCTTCCTCTGGTTCCTGAGAGTGAGTCAGAGACTTCCCAATCGCTTGCAGATGCTTGCAAAATCCAAGCGTCAAGTTTGCTGACTGACAGCAAACTTTCTCGCTCCCTCACAAGACATTTTGCTCAGCAATTAAGCAGATGTTGCTTCTTCTCGTTTCAAAGTCTTACTCATCCATTTCCTCTGCGACCGAGATCTTGCAAGACCTGCTAAACAGAGACCTCCAAGAACTGTTTCCTGAGCACCTGACAGAAGCTTACATTTATAGTATGTTTCCGAGCGCAATTCAAAGTGTTGGTGCTGACCTTTAAAGCACTAAACGGCCTCAAAGGCCCAGTATCCCTGAAGGAGCGTCTCCACCCCCATCATTCTGCCCAGACACTGAGGTCCAGCGCCGAGGGCCTTCTGGCGGTTCCCTCCCTGTGAGAAGTGAGGTTACAGGAAACCAGGCAGAGGGCCTTCTCGGTGGTGGCTCCCTCCTGGTGGAACACCCTCCCATCTGATGTCAAGGAGATAAACAACTACAGTCATACCTCAAGTTGAATGTGCTTTGGGTTGAGCGTGGTTGCACTCCATGGCAACCCGGAAGTAACAGAGTGCTCAGATGCTCAAAATAACGTCACGCGCATGTGCGGAAGCGGCGAAACGCGACCCGCCCACGCGCCGTCGCGCCTTGCATTCCCTTCGGGATGCGTACGGGGCTCCGGAACGGATCCTGTTCGCATCCCGAGGTACCAGTGTATCTGACTTTTAGAAGACATCTCAAGGCAACCCTGTTTAGGGAAGCTTTTAATGTTTGATGCATTACGGTATTTTACTATTTTGTTGGAAGCTGCCCAGAGTGGCTGGAGAAGCCAAGCCAGATGGGTGGGGTCACCAGGGTGGAAACTGCTCATCCCAGCAGCATATACCAGCGTGGAAAACTAGCTGTGTGCAAAACTGTGGAATTGTCGAGTTGGCAGGGACCCCCAAAGGCCATCTAGTCCAACCCCCTGTGCAGCCTGGCAACTTTAATCATGCCAGTACCTAAAGATGGATAACTCAGAGGAGATGTCCCTTTCAACATTGCCTGTTAAAGGAGCTGTGTTAGACACAGGTGGAGGTGGGGGAAGTCTCCCTGCTCTGCCCTGAGAGCGAACGGAGAGGTGACATTGAGGCTGCAGCCTTTTCTAGATTTGGCGGAGGAGGCCGAGGTTGGCTGTGGTTTACCTGGGTCCGTAGTTCAAAGGCAGGACACCTGCCTGGCATGCAGAAGGTCCTGGTTTGAATCTCTGTCATGTTCAGGCAGGGCTGGGAGCAACCTCAGTCTGGGGAGTGTGATGGCCTGAGACTCGAGCTTGGACTCAGAACCAGAGGAGTCTCAGTCCGCACCAGATCCTTTGCCTCAGGCATCATCTGAACCAAGTCTGGGGCCTGATCCTGAAGAGCCCCAGTCTGCACAGGTTCCCCTGCAACAAGCACCAGCTGGGCCGAGTCAGGGGACTGAGCCTGCCCTGGCTCCAGATGCGGGGATTCCCTCGTTGCCTCCAGCTGGGCCATCACTTACAGCTGCTCCACTACCGGTTGGGTCAGGGGAGGCTGAGGCGGCCTCTGGGTCTAGGAACCCACAGATGTCTCCTGAGCTGCAGAGACTGAGGTCTGAGAGAAGGAGAGACCTGAGTACTCGCAGGAGGAGTGCTTGCCTTTGGGGAAGACAGGGAGGTGAGTCGCTGTGGGATCAGGACCGGCCATTACCCGACAGAGATAAAAGGCTGTCGGACCCCGCCCCAGGTTGTGAGAGCAACACTGCTGCTACCTGCCTGAGACCCTGTACCTGTCCTTGCCTGGTTTCCTGCCTTGGCCCTGTCGGACTGTCCCCTCGTGGAGCCCCTGGATTCGGGACCGGACCTGGACCGCATTACTCGCGTTAACCCCCGGGTCCAGCACAGGGAGCTGCTGTAATCAATACTGAACTAGCTGACTCACAGAATCAGAGGGGAACCCCAAAGGTCATCGAGCCCAACCCTCTGAAATGCAGGGATCACAGGTAAGGAATCCCTGGCAGGTGGACACCTAACCTTTCTTTAAAAACCTCTAACTTACCCAGCTCTTGGAGGTCCTCCTGGACCGACCCGATTTTCTTCTCATAGTACGTCTGGGCAGAGTTAACATCGTCAGCTATGGAATCCACTTTCTTGAAGACTGCAAGGATGACACAAAAAGTGAGCACGTTATCCCTGGGGGTACCTGGCTTTGAACACACAAGCTCACCTTGCCAGATTCATTTTCACACTTATATGGCAAATCTGAAGAATCATGAATTGCGCAGGCTGTTTATGTTAGCCAGATTTAATATGTTTCCCTCGATGATAGAGGAAGATATTTAGCTCTCCCAGAATCAGCGCATCTCTGCAAATGTAGTACAGTGGTGCCTCGCAAGACGAAATTAATCCATTCCACGAGTCTCTTCGTCTTGCGGTTTTTTCGTCTTGCGAAGCACGGCTATTAGCGGCTTAGCGGCTATTAGCGGCTTAGCAGCTATTAACGGCTTAGCGGCTTAGCGGCTATTAACGGCTTAGCGGCTTTAAGAAAAAGGAAACAAACTCGCAAGATATTTCGTCTTGCGAAGCAAGCCCATAGGGAAATTCGTCTTGCGGAATGACTCAAAAAACGCAAAACCCTTTGGTCTAGCGAGTTTTTCGTCTTGCGAGGCATTCGTCTTGCGGGGCACCACTGTAAACAGGAACCTGATACTTTGGAGCATATTTTCTTTTCTTGTGATTTTGGCATTTATGCCAGAAGACAATTATTAGAGGCCTTACAACTCAATAGGCTGAATTCTACGCTACCAACGATTCAGGACCTGCTTTCGGACAGGAATGATCAAATTACTTTAATAGTGGCTGAATTTTGGAGTGCTGTCCATGTAGAAAGACTGGGCCGTTATAAAGAGAATCAGTGGTTCTTAATTGATTGGTGATGTGGTAGTGTTGTATTGTATTATTTATTCAAACTGATTTCCTCTGGAGTTAAAGATCTGACTGGGACAAACCTTTTTACGCTGAGCTCGTATTATGCACAATTTGTATACGGTGTCTGTTTGATAATGTGTGGTTTGCTATGCCTAATAAAGGATATTTGAATCATGGTCCCTTGCGTGTTCCTTCTTTCATTTGCTTCGTTTTCACGCTTATATGGCAAGCAAGACATGCTAAAAACGGAAAGGGCAGATCCACACACCATCCAACACACGTTTGGAACACATGCCTTCCCCCCCCCAAGAGCCCTCCCCCTTCATAGAGCTACAATTCCCAGCACCTTGATCAAACTACCCAGGATTCTTCGGGGAGAAGTCGTGCGCTCTAAATGTGTTTCATTCAATTAATTATATATAAAAAAATTGTGCATCACTGTGTCATCAAAAATATATATCAAAGCTGTTTACAGCCATAAAAACAAAGCCGTACGATAAAAGCTGTATGAAAATAGTTTGAAACAGACATCGATGAACCATTGAGGAAGGATCCAGTCTTAATTGCTTGCACAGGCCCGGTGGAATAGAAAAATTTTCAACAGTTACTAAAAAGTTGACACTTGCTGAATCTCCAGTGGCAGAGAGTTCCACAGGTCTGGGCCGATGACACAGGAGGCTTGGTTTCTGGTTGTTGATGAATGAGTCTCACCAACATGAGGAATGACCAACAACACTCTTGCAAGTGATCTCAGTGGCTGAGTGGGAATATAAGGAGGTACCCTGGGGTGTTGCAAATACTTTAAATATATGGTGCGGGTCTGCTCCAGTATTGATGAAAGTCCAATGGATATGAACTTCTGGGAACGAATAAACAAAGCTTTGCATAATTCATCTATGGATTCGGTCAGGGCCGGAGTTAGCTTTGATGAGGCCCTAAGCTCCTGAAGGTAATGGGACCCTTTATATGTCCAGCTGTCTTTTGTCAACAACAAATTGTCGCTGTTTTTCGTGTTGAATATATGGACCTCATAGGTATCTAAAGCCATTTGCACATAACAAATAGGAGCCTACAAAACTGTATGTAGCTTTATGTAGGTTTTATTTGATGTGCTTTTTTATCTTATATTTTGGAAATGTACATCCTGGGTTTTTTTCCCCTTTAAATTTTTTTGGGGGGCCCCCAACAGAGTGGGGCCCTAAGCTATAGCCTGTTTAGTTTATCCCTGCTTATTTAACTTATATGCAGAATTCATCATGTGAAAGGCTGGGCTAGATGAATCCCAAGCCGGAATTAAGATTGCCGGAAGGAATATCAACAAGCTCAGATACGCAGATGACACAACCTTGATGGCAGAAAGTGAGGAGGAATTAAAAAACCTTTTAATGAGGGTGAAAGAGGAGAGCGCAAAATGTGGTCTGAAGCTCAACATCAAAAAAACAAAGATCATGGCCACCAGTCCCATCACCTCCTGGCAAATAGAAGGGGAAGAAATGGAGGCAGTGAGAGATTTTACTTTCTTGGGCTCCATGATCACTGCAGATGGTGACAGCAGCCACGAAATTAAAAGACGCCTGCTTCTTGGGAGAAAAGCAATGACAAACCCAGACAGCATCTTAAAAAGCAGAGACATCACCTTGCCAACAAAGGTCCGTATAGTTAAAGCCATGGTTTTCCCAGTACTGATGTATGGAAGTGAGAGCTGGACCATAAAGAAAGCTGATCGAAGAAGAATTGATGCTTTTGAATTCTGGTGCTGGAGGAGACTCTGGAGAGTCCCAAGGACTGCAAGAAGATCAAACCTCTCCATTCTTAGGGAAATCAGCCCTGAGTGCTCACTGGAAGGACAGATTGTGAAGCTGAGGCTCCAAGACTTTGGCCACCTCATGAGAAGAGAAGACTCCCTGAAAAAGACCCTGATGTGGGGAAAGATGGAGGGCACAAGGAGAAGGGGACGACAGAGGACGAGATGGTGGGACAGTGTTCTCGAAGGTACGAACATGAGTTTGACCAAACTGCGGGAGGCAGTGGAAGACAGGAGGGCCTGGCGTGCTCTGGTCCAGGGGGTCACAAAGAGTCGGACACAACTAAACGACTAAACAACAACAACAAAAACAAGGAAGGGCAATCTCTTTTCCTTTCTGCAAGCAGGACGCCCCCCCCCCCCATTTTGCTGCATTTTACCCTCTGAAATTTGTCCGCCTCCTCCTTCCAGGGTGGAGATCCTGGCTGCAGCCAAAGACTAAGCAGAGCGGAACTGTTTCACGTTCTTTTGGCTAATGCATCCCCAAGAAACATCCCCATCTCCTGGCAATCGCCCGCTTTTCCTGACTCATGTTTCTCGCTTGCAGTCCACCGTATCCCACCGGTTCCTCCCAGCCAGCTGGTTATCTGATCCTCACTTTTTGCTTTGTATTGTACCCTCGAGGTTTCCTTTCCTGGGGAAAATGAGGTGGAAAAATGGTGACGCCGCTTAGTTGACGCAGTGTGTGTGTGTGTGTGTGTGTGTGTGTGTGTGTGTGTAGGATTTCAATCTTCTTTTTACGTCAAATCAGATTTTAGGCACAATCTCAGCTTCGTTTACCAACCTTGCAATGTTGAAAATGCTTACAGTGCAGCCTATCAACACAGTTCCTAAAGTTTTCGGCATTTTTCAGAAATGGATTCTTCATTTTTAAAAATATTCCTGACCCAGATCTGGTTTCCTTTCAAACTTCCCCCTCCTGCCCCCTTGCCAGTTACTAATTTCAAGGATTGGCTTTGGTTTCCTCTTCCCTCCCCATGTCATGTTCATTTTGTGCTGTGATTCTCTGACTGTGAACATGCAGGTTTCAATCTCTGTATGGTGCTTAGAAAAGTATTGGTGCTTTATTTATTTCATAAAATCCATCCAACATTTGAGGGTTTTTTTTAAAAAAAAAAGCCCATCAAAGCGATTTAAAAAAAAAAGGGAAGCAATAAAATGATCAGTAAGAGAAATTAACAACAATAATTTAACCCTTTCAAAAAGTGGAATGAACAATACGCTAAGAAAAGAACTCGCAGCAACTTTTTAAACACCTGGGTCTAAACAAAAATGTTCTTAGCAGGCGGTGAAAAATGTGCACCGAAGGCCTGATATCAATTGGCAGGGAGTTCCAAAGTGTAGACGCTGCTATACTAAAGCCATACTAAAAGAGGGAGTTTTTTTTACAAGTGCAGAACAGATATTATGATCTCGTAGGTAAACTTGTCCCAAGTTGTTAAGGGTTTTATATACCGTATTTTTCGTCCCATAGGACGCACCTAGTTTTTTTGGGGGGGAAATAAAGGAAATAATTTTTTCCTTTCTTTCCCCCCCAAAACCAGGTCGGGGAACAGCGGGATGGCGGCGCTGCACCTCCCCGCTGTCCCCCGAGCTTGTGGGGCTGGCCGATGTCTGCCCGAAGCGTGGGGCGCTCTCCGCAGCCTAGGGAGCCCTGCGGGAAGCCCTGTCCGTCCTATAGGGCGAAAAATATGGTACTATTAGCAACATCTTTAACTTGGTCCGGGAGCAAATTGGCAACCAGTGCAGATCTCTGATTCCAGATGTTGTATGCTGGCAAGGCCTCACTCTGGTCAGCAATCGTGCTTTAGCATTCTTCACTAACTGCAGCTTCCCAATTGCTATTGATAATTTTATTGTGTTTACCATTTTTTTTGCAAACTGCTTGGAGTTGTGTGTTTTGTTTTTTTACAGTCAAGCATTGTGAAAACGTTATGAAAGAAAATAAATAAATAAATAAGCAAGCAAGCTTTACCAATTGCGTAGCTTTGAGCCACACACAGAAATCTGACAGCTGAGATCTTGCCTTCTTCAGAACGCAGGCCAGCTGAGCCTTGCAACTGATCCTTATACAGTCGTACCTTGGAAGTCGAACGGAATCCATTCCTCAAGTCCATTCAACTTCCGAAATGTTTTGGAAACCAAGGAGCGGTTTCCGATTGGCTGAAAGGAAGCTCCTTCAGCCAATCAGAAGCTCCGTTCGACATTCGGGTTCCAAAGAACATCCGCAAACTGGAACATTCACGTCCGGGTTTGCGGCATTCGGGATTCAAAACGTCCGCGTACCAATGCATTCGGGATCCAAAATACGACTGTATTGCCAGTTTTAGGTTTGGACTGGCAGCCTGTTGGTGTTGTGGGGGCCAGCTTCTCAAAGCTATTGCATCTGCACCCCCCAACCTGGCTTCTCAGGCTGGCTTTTGCCTTCTCTTGCCCATCTCCTGCCTGTCCTCTAGGCAACTTTGGTTGCCAGCTGATGCCCCCACTTCTTTAGCCAACTGCGTCTCCATCTGAGTTCCTTGAATGTTCCTGCCGCTAAACTGACTCAAGGGCAGGACTCATTGGAACAAGGTGGTCTTGGGCTAAAAAAACAACCCCTGAAATTTTGCACCAAGCAAACCTGAAATTCTGTATTCTGAGCAAAAGTTGCAAACAGTCTGCACGATTTGCATCAGTCTGCACGATTTGCATCAGTCTGCACGATTTGCATCGGTCTGCACGATTTGCATCGGGCATCTGCTACCTTAGGCGTGATTTGTGATTCTCTTGCAAGACCGTAAGGAGAGGATCAGGCCAATGAATATATGAACGCAGAGCTCTTTTGCCACCCAGGCAGCTGCCGGGGCTGCAGAATCCGTGGCTCTGCTGTGGGCTGGGACAGGACCCAAACCTCAGGCTCCTCTCAGCTGTGTGCCAGGCCCACAAGTTGAGTTCAGCTTTGGGGCACGTGATCTCGAGAGACGAGGGCAGCTTCTCTCTGCCCAAAACAACATGGCAGGGAAGGCCACCTGGGGGCAGCAGGGAAGTTGCTGCCTCAGACCAAGGAAGGGCTCTCAGCCCAGGCCACCTGGTGCGCCAGCCATGCCAAGAGGCAGTGGGTGGTCTCGGCCGAGACCCAGAGATGAGAGAAGGGCCTCCTTTCCTGGAGAGCCGGATGCTGGTGCAGGAGCTTGGATGCAGCGAAAGACGACCAGGCAGAGAGGCTTGGGATGGAAAGAGGGGGGCGTCAAGAGTGCGTGCAGGAGCACTCCCCTGTGACTAATAGGACTTTGCAGGATTGGGGCCTTCCTAAGTTTGTTCAGGAGAGGCAAGGCACGGCCACACAGGTGAGGCCGATTGGTAACTCACAGCACCTGGTGGCAAGAGCCGGGAAGGGATATAAGGTCAGCATTTCCCTTTGGCTCTTTGCTACAGCAACATGTTTCCTGCCTTGCTGCATTTGGCTCCTTGCTTCCTGGTCCTTGAACCCTTGACTTCGTGACTCCTTGCTTCCTGACCCTCAGACCTTTGGTTTCTTGACTCCTTGCTTCTTGATCCTCAGACCCTTGAATTTGTGACTCCTTGCTTCCTGATCCTCGGACCCTTGACCTCGTGACTCCTTGCTTCCTGACCCTCGGACCTTTGGTTTCTTGACTCCTGGTTTCTTGACGGCCGGTGGGCAGGAGCCAGCTGGGGGCCTGCCAATTGCCCCCGTTTCCTTGGTTGTATGCCAACATTGTGGTCCTGATCTGTTTAAGGCTTGATAGGTCAAAACCAGCACTTTGCATTAAGCCTGGAAACTAATTGGTAGCCAGTGCAATCAGACCAGGATAGGTATAATATGCTCAGACTGTCTTGCTCTGGTGAGCAACCTCCCCAACGACCATCCAAGTAGGACTGGAACCACCCCAAAGCGGTGCCACCCAACCCTAGTTCGGAGAGTCACTCCAGAAGGATGCCATGGTAGATGGTATCGAAAGAGGTCGAGAAGAATTAACAGGGACATGTCTCCCTTGTCTCTCTCTCAACAGAGGTCATCATACAGGGCGACCAAAGCAGTTTCTGTGCCAAAACCAGGCCTAAATCCCGACTGAAATGGATCTTCCAAAAGTTTCTTCCAAAAGTGACTGGATCTCTTTTAAAGCCATCCAAGTTGGTGGCCATCACTCCTTCCTGTGGCAGAGAGTTCCACAACTTAACTATTGTTGGATGTGAAACACAGAGCAGTCAAGTACAACATCCCTAGAGTGGACATAAAAAGGGGATGTCTGGACCAGCCAGTCAGAACTTCCTGTTTCCTCCTAGGCTGGGACAGACTTCTTCTACATGTGACCAGAGGTGGGTGTGGCCTCACCTGTGCAGGTAACAAAATACCTTAGCAGAGGCCGCCATCTCTCTCTCTCTCTCTCTGACCACATTGGTCAAAGAAGCAGCATCTGCTTAGCCTAAGATGCTCTCTTGGCTTCCAGCCAAAATAGGACAAAGGGACTATCTCTTTATGAGATAAATTCCAGGTATATTACTTTTATAACTTAAGTCTGCCTTCTGGGATCCATCTGTGAACAGAATGTGGGTGAGTAAACTCCTTTTATACTTTTATAGAAGACTGTGTCGTGTCTTATCTTTTTATGAAGGGACTAAAGGGGAAATTATCAAGGAAACTTATTTTAGAGGCTTTAGCGATCCTGAGCAAACGCATCCACTGTGCAAGTTTAAAAAGGGGAATGTTACTCTGCTAAATTGTATAACTTGTTAACACAAGTTGGAAAGAATGTAATCAAACAATATATCCTCTCCTGCATCCCTGAACATTCCCACAACTATGCACTTTGCGAAGAAGCCCTTCCCTTGTCCCAAATCCTCCAGCATTCACCTTCATTGGATCTTCACCGGTTCTAGCTTTTTGAGAGAGGAAAATGATTCTGTCTGCTTTCTCCATGCAACACATAATTCTACCATGTTGTCTCTTCCTGGTCTTCTCTCTAAACTAAAAAGTCCCAGGGTTCTGCAACCTTGCTGCAGAGTGGAGCAACTCCACACCCTTGATGATTTCGGTTTCTGTTTCCTGAACCTGAGAGACAGGAGGGATGTGTGTGTCCTACTCACCCAGAGCTGCCAGCACCACCACAGCCACAATGAGCAAGACGACAAAGACATACAGGACTTTCACGGACGTCTGCAGGGTCAGGGTCTTCTCGCACTGACTGCAGTTGGTCCTCACCCGGCCTGGATTGGGGAGGGAGCACAAAACAGAGATGGGAGACTATTGTTGCTTTTTAATGTATTTTTATTAAAGATTTTCTTGGTTTACAAAAGTATGTGCAATCTCTCTCTCTCTCTCTCTCTCTCTCTCTCTCTCCAAGCAACATTTTTTACAGATCAGTTTCATTTGTTGAGACATTAGGAAGATGTTTCTATTTTACTTAATATATATGGAGTTTTGTCTCAGCGTTGCTTGTGCAGGTTCTCTGCTTTTCACTTGTGTTCCTTTGGTGGTGAGAGAGGTTGGGGTTGGCCCAGGGTGTGGCTGTTCATTTGTGGTTGGCTGTGGTGGTCTTTGTTTTCATGTGTGAGTGGGGTGGGTGGGTGTTTTGGATCAGGTTAGCCATATTGATTTGTATGCTGTTGGTGGATTTTTGTCATTGTCTTGTTGGGCTGTGTAAGGGACGCGGGTGGCTCTGTGGGTTAAACCACAGAGCCTAGGACTTGCCGATCAGAAGGTCAGCGGTTCGAATCCCCGCGACGGGGTGAGCTCCCGTTGCTCGGTCCCTGCTCCCGACAACCTAGCAGTTTGAAAGCACGTCAAAGTGCAAGTAGATAAATAGGTACCGCTCTGGCGGGAAGGTAAAAGGCGTTTCCGTGCGCTGCTCTGGTTCGCCAGAAGTGGCTTAGTCATGCTGGCCACATGACCCGGAAGCTGTACGCCGGCTCCCTCAGCCAATAAAGCGAGATGAGCGCCACAACCCCAGAATCGGTCACGACTGGACCTAATGGTCAGGGTCCTTTTGTTGGGCTGTGTATGTGATAAAGGGGAGCCATACCGGGGTGAAGGCGTCTTCTTCTATTTGTCCCCGTGTCAGTTTCAGTTTATTGGTTAATTTTTCTCGTAAGGCTGTTTCCCATGCTATTTGGTACCATTGGTCCATACTTACTCCTGACAGGTCTCTCCAGTGTCTGGTTATGGTGTTTCTGGCTGCTGAAAGTAGGTGGGTTATGAGTTCTTTGTGGTGTAAATGGGCATTTTTGTCTTGGAAGATGTTTAGCAGGGCCAATTCTGGGGAGGTTTCTAATACTTGCTTAGTTATTTTACATATTTCTCGTATGGCTGTTCTGCAGAATAGATGGATTTTGGGACACTCGATGGGAGACTATTGTGTGTCTAGCAGAGGTGTTTGCGCATCAGTGTCAAGTTTAAATGTCTTAATCAGAAATGCTGGAGTTTACATTTGTCTGGAGGTTTCTCCCCTGGCCTGAAAACTCCACCCCCAGATGATCCAGAAAGCTTGCTGGCATCACAGAATCATAGAACTGGAAGGGACCCCTGAGGGGCATCTAGTCCAACCCCAGCAATGCAGGAATCTCAGCTAAAGCGTTCATGACAGTTAATTATCATAGCCGACTTTCTGCTCAGTAGCTGTCCATGCTCAGGTTCCCTTCTTTAGTGCATGCCGGGGTGTGGACACACCATAACTTTAAAGCACATTCTTTCCCTCAAAGAATTCGGGTCATTGCATTATTTTATAAGCCTTCTCTTGCTTGCCGTTTCTCCAGACTAAGAAGTCCTAAACGCTGCAGTCTCCCTTTGCAAGGGAATCCCTCTGTCCCCTTGATAAGTTTTGATCACGTTCATCTGACTGCTCCGATAGCATCACGAGCACAAATAATAATGTTCAGTAAAAAGGATGTCTGGAGGGACCCTGTTATGCCCCGTGGAGGACCTTAAGGTCCACAAATGACAATATTTTGGAGGTCCCAAGTTGCAAGGTGGTTAGCTTGGTCTCAACTAGGGCCAGGGCCTTTTCAGCACTGGCCCCGACGTGGTGGAACGCTCTGTCACAAGAGACTAGGGCCCTGCGGGACTTGAGATCTTTCCGCAGGGCCTGCAAGACAGAGCTGTTCTGCCTGGCCTTTGGTTTGGACTCAGTCTGACCCTTATGTTTCCCTCCCCTTCTTTAAAAGTAGGAGTGCATATCCTGACCTAATTTTCACAGCTGTTTAGCAGTGTAGCAGGTGCTGATAAGTCACTGTAATTAGCTGTGTCAGAAATTGTGAATGATACATAATGTGCAATATGTACCTTACTCTCCCCTGGTGAATGGATGGGTGGTGATTATAGACACTATGGCAGATGTATGTTAAAGGAGTTTTGTTATTAAACCATGCAAATATATTTTTGCGTCTCTTCAGTGATTCCATCCGTTTAGTCTACTCTGCCCGCACGCTGTGGCATGTTTCAAATGCCCAATACTTTTATATATGTTCCTTCTCTTAGCATCACCGCTTACAAGCATGCAATCGTACACAGACACACACACACACACACACACACACACTCTTCTTTTTGGGCTCTAACACACTCTCTGCCCAGCTGCTCTTACCATTTGGCCTGTATCTGAAGGATGGCATCTCGTCGTCTTCTCCAATGAGGTCTTCCTCTGAAATACAAAATGAAAACATTGTTTTGTTAAAAAATAAGAAGGACAAAGTGCTGGGATCAGCTGCTTCCATGGAAGAAGAAGAAGAGTTTGGATTTGATATCCTGCTTTATCACTACCCGAAGGAGTCTCAAAGCAGCTAACAATCTCCTTTCCCTTCCTGCCCCACAACAAACACTCTGTGAGATGAGTGGGGCTGAGAGACTTCAGAGAAGTGGGACTAGCCCAAGGTCACCCAGCAGCTGCATGTGGAGGAGCGGAGACACGAATCCGGTTCCCCAGATTACGAGACTACCGCTCTTAACCACTACACCACAAAAGGGGCACGGTGTTAAACCTTTTTAAACAAACCATCTGTCCCCTTGACATGCCAAACGACGCCTTCGGACCCTCGCCCTCACTTTACAACCAGCACTGAAAATGTTGAATGGAGAAAAGCCTTTACAGCTCTGCATCTCCACTCTGTGCCCTTGGCCTTAGCTGAAGGATTGCCGGATCCCCTATGAAGCGAGAGTTTGTGCACGTGGCATTAAAGTGCCTGGAGCCTACTCCACTAGCTTGTTGTTTAGTTGTGTCCGCCTCTTCGTGACCCCCTGGACTGGAGCACACCAGGCACTCCTGTCTTCCACTGCCTCCCGCAGTTTGGTCAAACTCATGCTGGTAGCTTCGAGAACACTGTCCCACCATCTCGTCCTCTGTGTTCCCCTTCTCCTTGGGCCCTCCATCTTTCCCAACATCAGGGTCTTTTCCAAAGAGTCTTCTCTTCTCATGAGGTGGCCAAAGTCTTGGAGCTTCAGCTTCAGGATCTGTCCTTCCAGTGAGCACTCAGGGCTGGTTTCCTGCAGAATGGAGAGGTTGAATCTTCTTGCAGTCCATGGGACTCTCAAGAGTCTCCTCCAGCACCAGAATTCAAAAGCATCCATTCTTCGGCAATCAGCCTTCTTTATGGTCCAGCTCTCACTTCCATACATCACTACTGGGAAAACCAGAGCTTGAACTATATGGACCTTTGTTGGCAACGTGATGTCTCTGCTTTTTAAGCTGCTGTCCACTACTAACCTGTTTGCCCTGTCTATGAGGATTTAAGAGCAGCCTTGTACAAAGCAATTAAATATCTCAGTTGAGAGAGATCAGTTGGGCATCTAGATTAACTTTTCATTAGGGGAACGATCCCCCTACACCTCTGTGCTGGCCTCTGGCACCAGACCACCTCTGCATTACAAAGATGTGTGCAAACATCAACACGAAGGCTGGCAGCGTCACCCTTGCCCCCCGGGAGAATCCCTTGTAGACAACCGCATTGCCTGGAAACTGGCAGTCAGGCTGTGCACCCATACCAGTGAGCAAAGAAATGACCGCTGGGAGGAGCGCAGAGAGAAGAATCGCCATGCTGTATCTGCAGCAGCACAACCGGATGCTTTCCTCTGCTCCGGCTGCAACAAAACAATTAATCCAGAATGCGGCAGCTAGACTGGGGACTGGGAGCGGCCGCCAGGACCATATAACACCAGTTCTGAGAGATCTGCATTGGCTCACAGTACGTTTCTGAGCACAATTCAAAGTGTTGGTGCTGATCTTTAAACCCCTGAATGGCCTTGGTCCAGTATACCTGAAGGAGCGTCTCCACCCCTATTGTTCTGCCCGAACACTGAGGTCCAGCACCGAGGGCCTTCTGGTGGTTCCCTCACTGCGAGAAGCCAGGTTACAGGGAATCAGGCAGAGGGCCTTTTCGGTGGTGGCGCCCGCCCTGTGGAATGCCCTCCCGTCACATGTCAAGAAGCAGCTAGCTCCGCCTCTGAACATGCCTCTCCTGTGTTGTTTTTGCACTTAATTTATTTATTATTAATGTTGCAATACATATATGAAATCTTTACATATTGATACATATACATTATATTCGTAAATTCACATTTTCACATTTCATTATGTACCAACATTTATCCATTTCTTGCCCTGTCTCCCCCTCCAATCATGCGTGACTTCCTTGTTATTGTTTTGTAACTTTATTATTGAGATTCATAGAATCATAGAGTTGGAAGAGACCACAAGGGCCATCGAGTGAATGTTTAATTATTAAGATACAAAATTACAATCTTATATATCTGCTTAGCTTAGCTTAGCTTAACTTAACTTAACTTTGTGAAATCAGTCTATACATATCAATAAATTCTTGTTGGAGCATCTTTCGGTCCTGTATTCTTCTATACATTTCCATTCCTGTTTGAGATTTCGATTAGATTGCATTCTGATTGTTGCTGTCACTTTTGCTAATTCAATCATTTCAAAAAAATTATTTTGCCAATCTTTCAATGTTGGTACTTCTTCTGATTTCCACTTTTTGGAATCAATAACCTTGCGGCAGCTGTTGCATATAAAAAGATTCTCTGCATGTCTTTTGGGATGTCATTTGTTCTAATTCCTAAAAGCAATGTTTCCGGCTTCTTACCAATTGTTGTTTTAAACCTTTTTTTTCAGTTCCTCATGTATATTTCCCCAAAATTTCTTAATTTTATCACATCCCCACCATACATGAGCATGCCTCTCCTGTATCGCTCTCTACAGCCACAGCAGGTCCTGCAACCTTCCGACGGTTTGACTTCACCCCAGAATGCGCTCTCCTTCGTTGTCTCCTGAGACAGACAGATGCCAATCAACCTACTCTGAATTTCTGGTCAGGAACCGCCTTCTGACCCACTTCCCTTGAGGCTTCCAGCCTTTTTCGAAAGCGCTAGATGGCCAAGTACAAGCGGGATGCTTCGGGGGAAAGACGCTGTGTTTCTTGGACGCTGTGGTTCATTTAAGAGATGAGGGCGCACCAGGGATTTCTTTGCCAGCCGCAAGCCGGGCACTCTGACAAGGAGAATAAGAGCTGGCAGAGACCTCGGCCATCGAGGGATGAAGAAGACAGACGAAAGATTTCAAGAGTCCTCAGAACGGGTTCTTCACCCAAAGCAGCTAGGATTATGGTTTACAAACATACACACTGTTGTGGGTAGGGGTAGGGGGGTCAGTCTAGATGATGCCCTGTGTCCCCCCTTCTATTTCCTGTGTTCGTTTCCTTACACAACAAGGACTTTTGCTGGCCCTTTGAGTGTCGTCATCAACATCTCAAAAGAGGGAGCCAGGATGCGAGAGACGCAACTAAATGAGGGGCTCCTTTGTGCTAATGCCACCTGGCTGCTAGGTAGGGGCGCACAGTATTGTGGGTGAGCAGGGGTGCCAACTTGAATAAAATATTGGGGGGCCCAGGCAAACCCCACCCCACATAATCAAGGACATGACACGGGACACACGCACCATTTGAAGGGCAATGTCCATCAGTCTTGGGGGCCCCCGGACACCTGAAATATTTTTTTGGGGGGAGGGCGAACGGACTTCAGCCCCTAGGAGTTGGCGCCCATGTGTGTGAGGAACGGTTGGGGAGGGGATTGGGTATGTTTGTTTGCATTGTATTTGCGAATTTAGTTTTTCATGCCTAGTCAAAAGCAGAATTTAGGGAGAATTAAGGTAAGACAGTGCCATATGCTGCAGCCGTTGAAACTGATTAATAGTTCAGAAATACCCATTTAAACCTCTTTTTACAACTTCCTGTAAAACACACACACACACACACACACACACACACACACACAGAATCTGCATTGCTTTGTTTGTGTGTTTTGCAGTTAATTACATCTTCTATTTAACGCTGTATTGTTTTTAACACTTGATTGGAAGCTGCCCAGAGTGGCTGGGGAAACTCAGCCAGACGGGTGGGGTATAAATAATAAATTATTATTATATAATTATTATTCTAAAAAAGTTTTAAAAGGGAATGAAATGTGTAATTACCAAATGTTTCCCTGGTGACAAAGTTGGTTTACGTGTTGGGGTTAAGCTGCTTTGGTGGGAGAGGGGAGAGACCCCTCTCCTAATTTTGTGGGTTGTTACAAGGAAGAAATCACCAAAGCCATCACAGCGTACAAGAATTTGCAGAAAGAAAAAAGAAAAAAGAAAAGTTCTGCTTCTGGGGGGTGGGGTGGGGAAGACAAGGATAGCTAACATTTGATAAACTAGCCGCTGCTGGTCTGAAGACTAAATAAAAAATAAAAATAAATAAATTGGAAAAAGCAGCTGACATTATAGCAGTCTCCCATCATTAGGTGTTGGGTATGTTTAGAAGGAAAAAGAGGACACTGAGAGGAGATAGGAGAGCCATCTTCCAATATCTCAAGGGCTGTCACATGGAAGAGGGACCTCCAGGTACTGGGTGCTATATAAATTCAATAAATAATTAAAAATAATAATAAAGATTTTCTCCTGCTCTGCAGGGTAGGACTCGAACCCATGGCTTCAAGTGACGAGAAAGGAGTTTACGACTCAACACATGGAAAAAACTTTCTGACAGTAAGAGCTGTTCAACAGTAGCACAGACTCCCTTGTGAATTCTCCTTGGAGGTTTTTAAGCAGAGATTGGAGGGCCATCTGTCATGGGTGCTCTAGCCGAGATTCCTGCCTTGCAGGGGGTTGGACTGGATGACCTTTGGGGGTCCCTTGCAGCTTTACACTTCTATGATTCTAGATGGACCAATGGTCCGGCCTTGTATAAGGCAGCTATGGGTGAGGGGGAAGGTTTCATTTCCAAAGGCACTCGGGGCACAGTTTATTTCAGCACCGTCTGCTATTGATTTTTCCTTTCCCTCTTGATCCTGCCTCATGGCTCCATAAAGCCGAGGGGGGCTGGCGATAGGGCCATAAAAAAACAATGAAACACCTCAAAGCCAAATCAGAAATGCAACTCACGCCTTATATTTGAAAGCAACATAAGCCAGTCTCCCCCAACCTGGCGTCTCCCAGATGTTTCGAACTGCAAATCTGATCGGTCCCAGAATGTTGTGATAGGAATTTTATGGTCTTAGATATATGGTAATGTTCATAAGTGTACCAACCAAGCACATACATAGATCAGCATAGGAAGACCGACCTGGAACCAAAATGGTCTTCCCGGTCTTCATTCCTAAACTGAGCAAATGTTTTCTCTGCAAGGTCGAAGTGGAAAAGCCTCCCCATTGTCTTTTCCTTCACAAATCCTGTCTTAAGGGTATGTCTGTGCATGAATAGGGTGTGAGCCTGTGACCTGGCCCAGGAACTAAGTATTTATCACTACAAAAGACTGGCCAGGCTACCCAGGAAATCCAATCAAGTAACCTGCTGGACAGGAGATAAACAAGGACAGGAGAAAAACAATATTTAAATTTCTGATTTAGACCGCCTTTTTTGTGATGTAGGTATGATGTATCTGAGGGGTGGTCTTAGGTTACACCCCTTCTGTGATGTATGTATGATGTTTCTGCGGGTGGTCTTGATCTACAGGATGGGAATTTCAAAAGTCTTTATAAGGCCTTGCATGCCATTTTTCTGGGTCCTCCTCCTTTCCTGCATGTGAGGGGAGCACCCTGTTGCAACAGATCAATAAAGATCAGCTTACTAGCTGCTTTGCTTCTCAATATTCTCTGGTTGGCCTCTGTTATTCTCTCCTCCCAATAGGGAACCTACGTAAGGACTCTATATGGGCTCTTGGATACCCCATAAGGGAAAAGGGCAATTTTTGTTTACAACAATGTACAGGAATAGTGGAAACGGCTTTATGTTGAGTCAGGCTTGTACACACTGGTTGGCAGCGGCTCTCCGGGGTTTCAGGCAAGCCCTTCCTGCAGATGCCAGCGGGGAGTGAATCAATTTGGAACTCCCTGCCACTTGACACCAGGCAAACGCTCTCCTTGTGCTTTTTTCAAGCACCGGCTAAAAACATTTTTGCTTAGGCAAGCCTCTCCAGACATGCAGAATGTGGACTTCTAAAAATCTGTTTTTAGTTGATTGGTGATTCTATATTATGAATGACTTACAGAGTTGTTTTTAAGTGGTGTATAAATTTTGTGAAATAAATACATACATAAACCTGGGTGCTAAACAGATGGCCCCGGGGAGTTGTAGTTCAAAGATTCTGAATGGCGCCCGCTTGCTGGAGGCTGATGGAATCCATTAGCAGCAAACCAATGTCTCAGTTTGAGGGGTGAAACAAATAATCACCAGTCACAAATTCAGACCCATCCCTCCAAGTGCCTACTAGGGTTAAAAAATTAAAAAGAGATGGTTTGACTTGCTCTGTCAGCAACGCAAGACTGGCGGACGTTTCTGAGCCAGAAAATAAAAATAAAAGGACAAACCAAGAGACTCAAAGAATCATAGAATGGTGGAGTTGGAATCCAATGAAACTGAATGTTGGGGTTTTCGGGAGAGATAAAACGATTTCTGCACGCAGCACAGAATTAAACCTGAAGCAGCGTCTCCACCCCCATCGTTCAGCCTGGACATTGAGGTCCAGCTCCGAGGGCCTTCTGGCGGTTCCCTCGCTGCGAGAAGCCAAGTTACAGGGAACCAGCGGAGGGCCTTCTCGGTGGTGGCACCCCCCCTGTGGAACACCCTCCCTTCAGATGTGAAGGAAATAAGCAGTTATCCCATCTTTAAAAGACATCTGAAAGCAGCCCTGTTGAGGGAAGTTTTTAATGTTTGAAGTTTTACTCTGTTTTTAGTGTTAGAAGCCGCCCAGAGTTACTGGGGAAACCCAGCCAGATGTGCAGGGTATAAATAATAAATTATTATTATTATTATCATTGCTTATTTCAACTCGCTTGTGGAAACAACTCAGAGGCCATGAAAGAAGGAAGGTTAACAATAGGAAGATTTAAAGGAACTATTGGAAAGACTATCCAAGGCAGCAGAGATATGAGACGATCAGAGCCCCTCAGAACTTGAAGCATGGGAAGTCCCAACAAAAAAATTACAATTTAGGCAGAATATTTGGACTATTTGATATGTATTTGTATAATTTGGAACATTCAATGTGGTTTGATTGGATTGCTAAAATGGGAAACTTAATAAAAATGATTTTTTAAAGAAAATAGATAAATTATTATTATTATTATTAAACTATGGAACTCCTTTCCACAGGAGGCAGTGAGGACCACCAGCCTAGACGGCTTTAAAAGAGGACTGGGCAATTTCATGGAGAGGAGGGATATGGAAGGCTACTATCCAGGATAGCTGTGCCCTGTCCTCCACAGTCAGCAGCAGCAACAATTCTGAATACTAGTTGCTGGAAACCACAGGAGGGGAGAGTGATGCTGATCTGCTCGGATCCTGCTGGCTGTGTTAAGTTGTGGGTGAACATATCAGACGACACAGCGATTCTTCAAACAGCTCTTGTTTATTCACAGGCCAGAACAGAACTGAACTGAAGGGTTCAGCCAGCCTGCTTATATAGAGCTCCACTACAACGCAACAGTAACAACTTTCTGTAACTACCCAATCACTGAATGTCACTTTCAATCCCTTATTTGCATATTTGGACCTGAACTATCTACAGTATCTCCCTGCTGGCCCAGGGTGAGAACTTCAGTACATAACAGGCTGAGTTCCCCATTGGGGCATCTGGTTGGCCATGCTGAGAAGAGATGCTGGAGTAGATGGGCTTTTGGCCTGATCCAGCGGGATCTTATGAGGTCAGGGGCAGGCATCAGTACTGGGCCCTGGCAGATGATAATAATAATAATAATAATAATAATAATAATAGGCAAAGGTAAAGGGACCCCTGACCATTAGGTCCAGTCGTGGCAGACTCTGGGGTTGCGGCGCTCATCTCGCTTTATTGGCCGAGGGAGCCGGCGTACAGCTTCCGGGTCATGTGGCCAGCATGACTAAGCCGCTTCTCGCGAACCAGAGCAGCTCACGGAAACGCCGTTTACCTTCCTGCCAGAGCGGTACCTATTTATCTACTTGCACTTTGACGTGCTTTCGAACTGCTAGGTTGGCAGGAGCAGGGACTGAGCAACGGGAGCTCACCCCGTCGCAGGGATTTGAACCGCCGACCTTCTGATCGGCAAGTCCTAGGCTCTGTGGTTTAACCCACAGCGCCACCCGTGTCATAATAATAATAGTAGTAATAATAATAATAATAATAATAATAATAATTTTTATTTATACCCCGCCCTGCACGACCAGAGCCGGGCTCAGGGCGGCTAACCCCAGTAAAATTACAGTAAAAACATAATAGGGAAAAAGCCAATTTAAAATACAGGTTAAAATGCAATTTAAATGCAGCCTCATTTTGATAGTAGCCCATAAATCAAAACCGTAAGGGGAGGGAAACATAAGGGTCAGACTGAGTCCAAACCAAAGGCCAGGCGGAACAGCTCTGTCTTGCAAGCCCTGCAGAAAGATGCCCCAGATTGCCAGGTGCTGGTGCTGTCCCTCCTCGCTGCCCTACACACCTGAGACAGGAGCCCCTGTCTTAGCCTCTCCCAGGTGGCTGCCCAGAGGGTGGGCGTTGTGTTCGCCCAGGCCTTGCGCCCCCTTGGCATTCTCATGGTTACCGTGGGCTTGAGTGCCCGGACTTTGATGTGGATCGAAATCAATCCAGCAAAGGGGTTTGCAAAGAGCCTTTCAACATCTGACGGGCTTCCTTGGGTCAACAGCTTATGAAACCCCCATCTTCCCTTACATCAACAAGGGGAAGGGAGAAGCAGTCTGGCCAGGGGCAGGCTGTTTTCCAGAGCAGCAGACCTGGCACCCGCATTTATCCTCCTGCGGCGAAGGCAAGCAAATATTTGCCATCTGAAGGACCGAGGGCTGCCAGGTGAAAATCTTAGCGCCGAGGGGCACCCTGGAGATTTGGGGTCCAAAGTCAGAGGCATACGCTGCACCCTGTGGAAAGGATCTGCCAAAGGAGTACCTGTGATCTAGTTGTGTTTCCCATTGTGCCCGATGAAGAGACCTGTGCAGCTCGAAAGCTTGCTTGCACAGGAACAGACTCCCTCGTAAGGTGATGGACTATCGTTCCTTGGAGGTTTTCAAGCAGAGGCTGGATAGCCATCTGTTGGGGATTCTTTCACTGTGATTCCTGCGATTGGGCTAGATGACCTCTGGGGATCCCTTCCAGTGCTACAATTCTATTCCTCCTACCAAATGAGTTGTTTCAGGAAAAGGGCCAAGTTGCTTCTCTGCCTGGAGGCATAGAAAGTGATAGCCTTATTCAATTTGTCTAATCTGACTTTAAAGCCATAAAAATTACTAGACGCCACAGGAATTTGTGGTGTTGAATTCCAAAGCGCCGTGTGAATCATAGAGCTGCCATGTTGGAAGAGACCATCCAAGAACGGAATTGTTGTTGCAAGAATAGGTGGAGGGGGGGTTGCCCCTCCAGCAGATCTCATGCACATGCAGCCCACTACCAAAACCAGCGCAATCACTTTTGTGACTTTTGTGATTTGTCTCCACAAAACACCCCATCACAGTTTCTTCCTATCTATTCAAAGGGCCTCTGCTGCACGATACCAAAGGTAAGAATTCACTGATAAATGTATTTATGTACTGGCTCACTGGGAAAACTTCAGAAATTCATATAGATATGTGAGCTCAGCTCCTCAGCAGCCCCTCTGCCTGAGTGATATTCCTGGCATCCTGATACCTGAGTGCCAGACAGGTAGCCATTCCAGAAATCATGAACCTGGATGAAGACAAAAGGCTGGGAAACAGGGAAATGTAGATATCTCTTTTGTTACACTTGATGGGTGTTTGGTGGAGGGCAAGGGGAACCATGGGGCAGGGTCCAGGATGCTCAGATTCCTGCCACCAGACCTCCCCTTTCATGATGTAACCGTGATGTATGAGTGATGTGGTTTGGGAGGGGTGTAACATGGGGATTAGGTAAAGGTAAAGGGATCCCTGCCCATTAGGTCCAGTCGTGGCTGACTCTGGGGTTGCGGCACTCATCTCGCTTTATTGGCCGAGCGAGCCGGCGTACAGCTTCCGGGTCATGTGGCCAGCATGACTAAGCCACTTCAGGCGAACCAGAGCAGCGCACGGAAACGCTGGAGTGGTACCTATTTATCTACTTGCACTTTGACGTGCTTTCGAACTGCTAGGTTGGCAGGAACAGGGACCGAGCAACGGGAGCTCACCCCGTCGTGGGGATTCAAACCGCCGACCTTCTGATCGGCAAGTCCTAGGCTCTGCGGTTTAACCCACGGCGCCACCCGCGTCCCAACTTGGGGATTAGCAGCTAATAAAAGTCTGGGGGCTCTTTTGTTCGGGGCTTCCATCTTGTTCCACCTGGTGGCAGGTGGGAGTCCTGTCGCAACAGTCCTCAGTAAAGACCAAGCCTACTGGCTGCTGTTTTGCTTTGGTATTCCTGGCTGGTGTCGTTGTTTTTTGTCCAAGGGAGCCCTCAGATTTCTCCACTAACAGTGTGAATCTGCCTGCTTGGCTACATGATTCTCACAGGGGTCTAGCTTTAGGAGCTGAGAAGAGGAAAAGGTTTCTCTGCCTATTCTCCCCATGCCTGTGAATAGTTTTCTAAACCTCTGTCACATACCCCTTTATTTGCCCCAAATTATCATCATCATCATCAAACTAATAAGCTCCAAACCCAGTCTGGGATCCGCACAAATGCTCATCAAACTCCAGCCCAATACTCAGCCCTTCCACTTCCCCAGCATAATTGCAGATTGTCTCTCTTCTGAGTGATTATAGCATGGAAGGTTGTCCACAAAAATCAGGGTGAACTCCAGGAGGCCTTTGAAGGAGAGCAAGGAAGGACCAGGCCCTCCATTTGGAAATGAGATGATTGCTAGCTTAAACTCCCAGGACTGGTGAGTTCGCGAGATGCAGGCCTTTAATTTATTTATTTATTGTAAACTCCGGGTTGGGGATCTGGTAATGACGGGGTTCTGTTAGCCAAAAATGAAGCTCTGCAGTGCTTGCAAGACGAAGAGAGCTCCGAATCTTTGTTTGGACAGGAGCAGCTTTTAAGGCAAAGAAACAGGGATTGTTCTGAATATCATCTGGGTTAGGGCAGGGGGCTGGAATCCACAGATCTGGAAGAATGACTTAGGGTCTGGTCTGGTTGCCCAACTCCCATTCCTTTGCAAAAAGGAGACATTGCAAGTATCCAATGCAGCTGAATGCTGGAAGATTTGGGAAAGATAAAAGAAACTTCATCTTCACGCTGCACATTGTTAAACTATGGAACTCCCTGTCACAGGAGGCAGTGATGGCAGCCAACCTAGATGGCTTTGAAAGAGGATTAGACAGATTTGTGGAGGAGGATATAAATTGTGATAAGAATTTTAAGGTCTTAGATATATAATGTACCAACCAAGCACATACATAGATCAGCACAGGAAGACCGACCTGAAACCAATTTTGATTCCCAGACTGACCAAATGTTTTCTCTGCAAGGTCAAAGGAAAATGGAAAAGCCTCCCCATTGTCTTTTCCTTCACAAATCCTGTCTTAAGGGTATGTCTGTGTTTGAATAGGGTGTGAGCCTGTGACATGGCCCAGGAACTAAGTATTTATCATTACAGAAGACTGGCCAGTCTCCCCAGGGTATCCAATCAAGTGAGCATTAACAGGTAACCTGTCAGATGAGATAAATAACGCACTCAGATTTCTGCTGTAGACCGCCTTTTCTGTGATGTAGGTATGATGTATGGAGGTGTGGTCTTGAGCTCCAGGGCAGGGAATTTAAAATGTCTATATAAGGGCGGGCACACCTGGGCTCTGGGTTCCTCTTCCCTCCTGCGCGTTGTGAGAGAGGACCCTGTTGCAACAGAGTAATAAAGATCAGTCTTACTAGTTGCTTTGCTTCTCAATATTCTCTGGTTGGCCTCTGTTATTTTCTCCTACCAATAGGGAACCTACGTAAGTGCTCTATATGGGCTCTTGTGTCCCCCATAAGGGAATAAAGGCAGATTTTGTTTACAACAGAGGCCATTCATGATAATGCTTCTGCCTCCCACTTGCCGGAAAGGGGAGGGGGGATCTTGGGCTCTGATCCTCCTTCCCATTGAGGCATCAGGTTGGTCGCTGTGAGAAGACCATGCTGGGCAGTGGCCTCATCCAGCAGCGCTCTTCTTCGGTTTGTTATGAGACTTTCCCAGCCAGTTGAGTCCATTGTCTTCCTAATGACTAGGAATTCCCACTGACTGCCCCATCCACGCTATCTGATGATGCCCTAGTTCTGCGCTGCATTCATGTCTAAACACTAGGATGTAGGTCAGGGCGTCTTTTTGTATGTAAGACAAACACACACACACACACACACACACACAGAGAGAGAGAGAGAGAGAGAGAGAGAGAGAGAATGCATGCCTACATAGGCCACAAAATGCAACAATAAATACATACAGTGCACTTCTAACCATGTCTGCTCTACTCAGAAGTCCTATTGAAATCAGTAAGTTTACTCCCAGGTATGTGGGGTTGGGGGGACGTGGGTGGCACTGTGGGTTAAACCACAAAGCCTAGGGCTTGCCGATTAGAAGGTCGGCGGTTCGATACCCCGCGACGGGGTGAGCTCCCGTTGCTCGGTCCCTGCTCCTGCCAACCTAGCAGTTCGAAAGCACGTCAAGGTGCAAGCAGATAAATAGGTACCGCTCCAGCGGGAAGGTAAACGGTGTTTCCGTGCGCTGCTCTGCTTCGCCAGAAGCGGCTTAGTCATGCTGGCCACATGACCCGGAAGCTGTACGTCGGCTCCCTCGGCCAATAAAGCGAGATGAGCGCTGCAACCCCAGAGTCGGCCACGACTGCATCTAATGGTCAGGGGTCTCTTTACCTTTACCTTTATGTGGGGTTTATTTTCCCACAAGTCAGGTTGTGATTGTAGAGTTGGAAGGGACCCCTAAGGGGCATCTAGTCCAACCCTCTGCAATGCAGGAATCTCAGCTGAAGCATCCATGACAGATGGCCACCCAACCTCTGCTTTGAAACCTCGGATTAAGGCATTCTTCAACTGTGATTCCTGTACTGTAGGGGTTGGAATGGATGACCTTTGGGGGTCCCTTCCAACTCTACAATTCTGTGACTCCACGGCGGCAGAACCGGCCCGCAGCAATCCCAGAGGGTGGCGCTTGCAGGATGAGAGCGAGGGAAAAGGAAACTTCAGGGCATGTTCAGGACTGAGAAGCTGCCTGGGCCAAGAGCAGATTCAAACGGCGCTTCTGCAATTTCCTGCACCAGGAACCCAGCGACATTTGCGGGGTCAAGTTTCAAGCCCGCAATTATGACCATCAGCGCTAAACGATGCGTCTTGCGCACAGACGAGAAACAGTCCCGTCCAGTCCCCTCCATCTGTTTTTCTGGTAATTTGCACTCTGAAATCTGAGCTGTACGTTTGATCTCTGAAGTCAGACGAAAAGAAAAAATAGTGGGAGGGGGGTGGGTGGATGTCCTGAGGACTGGAAGGCAAGCAATGAGCCGCTGTTGTAGCCAGAGCTGTGAGCCCTCTGCGTAACCCCACCGGCCCCGCCTCTCCCGCCCACTTCCCCCTCCCCACCCCCGCCTCTTGTGTTCCTTCAGACCCCTAGTAGCAATTCCTGACTGCCTTCCTCGCCCAGTCTCCCTCTGCATTGCCCTTCTCGGACAAACATCTCGGGGTCTCCGGCATTTGCAAAGGGGACGCTCATTTTGAATTCAGCGCCTGGGAGATTTAGGCTGTGGGCACATCGCCATATTAAAACGCAGCTGGGGTTTTCTTTTGCCCAGTTTGGATCGAAGCTGGGGTTTTTTTGGGGGAGGAATACATCAAAACACAGCCTTTCGTAAGAAATGACAGGGAAGATATGAATTATAGAAATGTGGAGTTGGAAGGGACCCCAGGGGTCATCTAGCCTAACCCCCCTTCAATGCAGCAATCTCAGCTAAAGCATCCCCAACCATTCCTCGTAAGGCTTGGTTTTCAGAACCTCTATAATCTCGGTCGCCCTCATCTGCACACCTTTCAGCTTCTCAATATCCTCCTAAAATTGTGGTGCCCAGAACTGGACACAGGACTCCAGGTGGGGTCTGATCAAGGCAGAATAGAGTGGGACTATTCCTTCCTTTGACCTGGGCACTACAAGCTGTTGACTGTGGCTGGCATCATGTCTGTAGAGTCAACCACAAGATTTCAGGCTCAGAAGTGCACCCAGGACTCCTCTCACAGCGGGTGCCATGCGTTCAATCCCGGCCAGCCCAAGTCAGTTGGACGCGCAAGGCAGAAAATCCAAACAGATCTACTACGCCTTTGCCCAGGTTCGTTAATGTCCAGCGGGGCATTCTCCAGTGCGAACCTCAGGGCAGGTGACAAATCATAACTGCATAGCTGTCAACGTTTCCTCCCCCCTTTTTTTAGGGAAATCCCCTTATTCCGAATAGGATTCCTCGCAAGAAAAGGGAAAAGTTGACGGCAATGTAACTGTGGCTCTGAAGAGCTGCGTCAATTCTAAACAAACCTCAGATCACTAAAGGGTGACCTTTCTTTCATTTCCAGAAGGGTCGCCACCGTTTTCTCTTGCAGCGGAAGCGACAAAGAGCTCAGTGGAACACAGCAGCGTCGCTGCCTCCGACTCACCTTTCATGATCCTCCCCCTGAGGAGAACTGCGACCCCCACGACCCAGTCCGAGCCGCTTCTACCGAAACAAGCAAGCGAGCGAGGGAGGTTCGACTTCGACAGGCCTTGCAGGTGAAGAGGCGCAGCTTGCCAGACGTCTCTGGTCCTCGAGGATGGAGCTCAGAGGGTCGCGCCACATCCCAGCAGCGCATCCCAGAGACACCGGACGCGGCTCGGGGAACAGAGCATCGCGGCTCCGGAGCGTGGAGTGGACATCCTTTTCCCGCACCCCGCTCCACAGCAGCCTGGAGAAGGGAGTCCTCGCTTCCATCCAGCGCTGCTAAAAGTGGGCCATTTTTTTCACCTGGCCATCGGTGCGCCGAGGGAGGTGGCGGCGAGACTCACCCCTTCAGTGCCCCATGAAGGTGGCTGGGTTCTCCTTCCTCCACCTGGCTAAACATCCACCCCCTGCCTGGCTCCCCTCGCCCCAGAGAGTGGCCTTCAGTCAGTGCGCAAAGAGCCGCATCTCTGCTGCCTCGAGGGCGCACGGCTCTCTCTCCTCTCCTGCGTGCTGCCCCTGGTCCATTGCCCAGACAAACTTCCTCGCGCTTTCAAAACAGGGCGAGTGGCTCCTCTATATGCCAGCCGCCTCTCCGGCTGGCTGGAGCCTTCCCTCCCATGGCCGCTGCCCCCAAATCCAGCAGGGGGTGGGGGAGGGGGAGGGAGGGGAGGAAAGGGAGGCGAGGCGGCCTTGGAGCTTTGCCGAAATATGCACTGGGTTCCCTCCCTCCAGCCCTAATTGCTAACAAATGTCCTCTTCACCGGGGAAGGGGGGAGAGGAGGGGGAGAGAAAGAGGCAAGCAGGAGGCGGGGGGGGGGGAGGAGATGGGGGGATCCGGGGTCTCCCCACCCTCCAAGCATGCCCTTTCTGGAGGGGCCTAAGAATAGCCTGCTGGGTCAGGCCAATGGCCTACCTAGTTCAGCATTCTGTCCTCACAGGAGCCAACCAGATGCATGTGGAAAACCTGTAGGCAGGATTTGAACTCAAGAGCAATACAGTACTCTCACCTCCTGCGGCTTCCAGCAACAGGGATTCAGAAGCATCTCGACTTGTTGTTGTTTAGTCCTTTAGTCGTGTCCGCACTCCTGTCTTCCACTGCCTCCCGCAGTTTGGTCAAACTCATGCTGGTAGCTTCGAGAACACTGTCCCACCATCTCGTCCTCTGTCGTCCCCTTCTCCTTGTGCCCTCCATCTTTCCCAACATCAGGGTCTTTTCCAGGAGTCTTCTCTTCTCATGAGGTGGCCAAAGTACTGGAGCCTCAGCTTCAGGATCTGTCCTTCCAGTGAGCACTCAGAGCTGATTTCCTTCAGAATGGATCGGTTTGATCTTCTTGCAGTCCATGGGACTCTCAAGAGTCTCCTCCAGCACCAGAATTCAAAAGCATCTATTCTTCAGCGATCAGCCTTCTTGATGGTCCAGCTCTCACTTCCATACATCACTACAGTGGTACCTCAGGTTAAGAACTTAATTCGTTCTTGAGGTCTGTTCTTAACCTGAAACTGTTCTTAACCTGAAGCATCACTTTGCTAATGGGGCCTCCTGCTGCTGCTGCTGCTGCTGCGCCGCTGCTGCACAATTTCTGTTCTCATCCTGAAGCAAAGTTCTTAACCTGAGGTACTATTTCTTTGTTAGCGGAAATTCAATGCACACGGCCCCCAAGAATCCTGGGAACTACAGTTGGTTAAGAAAGCTGGTACCTCTGTGTAGGGTAAACTATAGTTCCCAAGGTTCTTTGGGGAAATCATGTGCTTTTAAAAGTGTGTTGCGTATGCTTTGGATGATAAGTAGCTGTTTAGCAAGCAGTGCCTTCCCTTGGTGTTCATCTGCTCACCTGATATTGGGCACATTCAGGTCTCCAGGCCACTTATCCACGGCACCTGGCAGTGGCTCCCTCGGGCAAGGAATCGTTCCCCAGGCCTACGTGGTGATGCCAGGAATTGAACCCAGAACCTTGTGCACGGAAGCCAAGTGCTCTATCCCTGAGCTATGAGCCTTCCTCAGCCTCAGTTTCCCACCTGTTAAGTGGCAGCAAAAGTGACTTGCTCTGCAAAATGGAGGCTGCAGACTCCTTTGAAATAAGGAGCATTGTATCCCATAGAACAGTGATTTCTTCGACAGGTCAAGGTCTTAGAAAAATGATACTGTCTCGGTACATTGTGTGTCGGTTGAGTTGATTGAAAGTTTGGGGGCCCTTCAAACAAAGTCACATTTTGGGGGAAGGGACGCCACCCAGCCTTTTTAAAAACTCACTGTCATCATGACGTACTTGTGTAGACACACAACAGCACACACATGTAAACATACAAAAGCCCTTATGCAGATGCATTACAGACCCTATACGTAAATAGAATTGTACATTTATCACAGTTTTACATTTATCTCTTTCCGAGTCTCTTGAAATGGGGATTTCTAGAGCTGATGGCCAAATGCCCATTTCTTTTATTTAAAGAAGGAATTAAAATCCTGTAGAGGTGCCAGCTCTAACGTTCTGGAACACATTGAGAACATGTCCATATTTTTAAAAACTGCAGCCATCATCACTTCAAGCCTTAGGGACCTTCGGTGGGGCTGAGTTTGTAGAAGTGATTCCTGGATTTGTGCCTTACAAGTTGTTTTCACAAACTTCGGTTTCTAAGGAACACACACACACACAAAGCAAAGATAGCCTTGCTGGTCCATAAGGAAAATCTCAAAATCAATAACTGGTCTTTATTAGGCCAAGCAAAACATCCCAAAATAGTGTCCAAGCGTTCAAGTTCTCCATTACTCTTCACTGGGATGGTAAATGAAGCAAAGGGGGTGGGGGCAGGAAAAAGATGGAAGACGAGAGGACTGGCGCAGTGTGATGCTGGAAATAGTGTCTGCGCATGTCTGCGGTGCCGGAAATCGCTTCTGCATGCACAGAAACTATTTCGGGCATGCACAGAAACGATTTCCAGAGCCGCGGAAGAGAGTCCCTGCACCACGCTGCGCCACTTTAGTGCAGCGCACGGGGACTCGCCAAGTGGGTGGCTCAGTCCGCTTCTGGGCCATGGGCCTTAGGTTGCTGACCTCTGACCTAGGACTTCTGGGAAGAAAGAACATACAATGCAGACTGTCTCGCCAGAGTGGTGCATGCTCTGGTTATCTCTCGCTTGGACTACTGCCATGCACTCTACGTGGGGCTGCCTTTGAAGGTGACCCAGAAACTACAACTAATCCAGAATGCGGCAGCTAAACTGGTGACTGGGAGCGGCTGCCGAGACCATATAACACCGGTCCTGAAAGACCTACATTGGCTCCCAGTACACTTCTGGACACAATTCAAAGTGTTGGGGCTGACCTTGAAAGCCTAAACAGCCTCAAAGGCCCAGTATACCTGAAGGAGCATTTCCACCCCCATCGTTCAGCCCGGACACTGAGGTCCAGCTCTGAGAGCCTTCTGGCGGTTCCCTCACTGCGAGAAGCAAGGTTACAGGGAGCCAGACAGAGGGCCTTCTCGGTGGTGGCACCCACCCTGTGGAACACCCTCCTATCAGATGTCAAAGAGAAATACAATTACCAGACTTTTAGAAGTCATCTGATATATATATATATATATATATATATATATATATATACATACATACACACATACACACATATATAAATGTTAGACAGCAACTGATGATTTCCTTCTATCGGACCATGATAGAAAGTGTTCTCTCATACTGTATTACGGTGTGGTACGCTGGTTTGACAGCCACGGACAGAAAGTCCCTACAAAGGGTGGTGAAGACAGCACATGATATTATGGGCTGTCCCCTGAGTCCACTAGATGTCATCGCAGGAGACCATTGCCTCAGAAGAGCGAGGAACATTCTCAGGGATGACTCACACTCTGGCCAGCACCTTTGAAATCTCCTGCCCTCAGACAGTAGATACAGAAGCATGATAAGTCGCACCAACAGGTTAAAGAACAGTTGCTACCCGTGGGCCGTGAGGCTGCTGAATGGAAGATAGCAACATTGCAGCTGACATTTGGGGTTGGTGGTGGTAGGACAGTACACAGAGTGTAACAAGGACTGAGAGATGGGGGGGAGGGGGGCTTGTTTAATCTCACTGTAAACAAGTGGTACGAGGGACGCGGGTGGCGCTGTGGGTCAAACCACAGAGCCTAGGACTTGCCGATCAGAAGGTCAGTGGTTCGAATCCCAGTGACGGGGTGAGCTCCCGTTGCTCGGTCCCTGCTCCTGCCAACCTAGCAGTTCGAAAGCACACCAGTACAAGTAGATAAATAGGTACCGCTCCGGCGGGAAGGTAAACAGCGTTTCCGTGTGCTGCTCTGGTTCGCCAGAAGCGGCTTAGTCATGCTGGCCACATGACCCGGAAGCTGTCTGCGGACAAACCCCGGGACCCTCAGCCAGTAAAACAAGATGAGCGCCGCAACCCCAGAGTCGGCCACAACTGGGCCTAATGGTCAGGGGTCCCTTTACCTTTAAACAAGTGGTACAGTGACAATAAAGTATTTCTATTTCTATTAATGGGCAACTGGTTGCCCTCTGAGAGAACAGGAAGACAGACTTTTTGGACCCCCTTTGGCTGACCCGGGTCGCTGCGGTGCTGTCCTGGTGATCTTTCTTGCAGCAGGCTAACAAGAGACCCTCGTTCCCACAGAGGGCTTGAGCGCTTGGGGCTGCTGCCCTCTGCTGACAGAAGGGAGGCCCATCAGGAAATGGAGACTCACTTTCAAGCCCCCCCCAACCTTGCTCATTCTTTTCTTCCTCCCCCCACAACCCCAGCCTCTGTGGTCCCCCCCCCTTCAGGTGATTACTCTGCACTGAGCAAGCACACAGCAGCTCAGAATCTCGGCCACCTTGTCAGCTGCAATTTCAGGGGATTGAACTACATGACCGTTGGGGTCCCCTCCAGCCCTACAAATCTATGATTCTGTGAATGGCCCCAGCTAGGCCAAAAGCCCTGCTCTCTGATCACACCAGCATTTCCTGTGTTCATCTTGCCACCATAGGAGTGAGCCTCACTCACTGAATTTCATGCACCGGGTTGGTTTTTGTAGTTATTTGTGCACCGTAGTGCGAATGACCCACCTATAGCTACAGTCTTTTGGATTTGCTTCCTGAGATACACACACACACACACACACACACACACACACACACACGAGAGAAGGGGTGGTGAGAGAAGAAACGCCCTGGTGCATCTGCAGTCGCGAAACTGGACGCCTTCATCTGCCCTGGCTGCAATGAAACATGTCTCTCCTGTATCGGCCTCTACAGCCACAGCAGGTGCAGAAACGCTCCAACTGTTTGATTTTACCCATGAAGGCACACTCCTCCACTGTCTACCGAGAGAGATGGATGCCCACAACAATAATAGCTGCCCCTGGCTCCAGAGGGCAGTCTTTGGCGGTGCCCCACCATGCACCTAAGAGTGACGCATTGCAAGGGGTTGTATGAGATAACCCTTTGGGTGTGGGATATAATTCACTGGGAGCAGTCAAATATAACATTCCTTGTTTTCCTAGAGTGGACGTGCAAGGGGATGTTTGGTCCGGCCAGTTGAAACTTCCTGTTCATCCTGGGCTGGAGCATCCTTCCTTGCATGTGACTAGAAGTGGGCATGACCTAACCTGTCCAGGTAACAAAAGGACGAGTCACACAGCACTCTCTCTCTTTTTCACTTCCTTCTTCGTTTGACCAGCTTTTATCTAGGACTGCTCTGCTAGCTCTCAGCTAGCAGCAGCACTGGGATTATTCCCCCATATGGGGTAGATCCACATGTACATACTTGTAACTAACTCTGCCTTCAGGAATCCAACTGTGAACTGATGTGAGTAAACTTATTTTATTGACTTCGAATAAGATTGTCGTGTCTTTATTCTTTTAAGAGGGATTCAAGCAAACTCACCAGGAACTATACAATTCAATCTGAGACAGACTGAATTGTATAACAGCGAGAGACTCACACGAGCCTGCAACCAGCTATCTGCCGTGCATGTAAAAAGGGGAATTGTGCTGGTCCTGTGGGTTACCTGAGAGGCGAGGTCCAAGTCCGGTCCGTGGTCAAAGGTGCAACGTGGAGGCAGGCCGTAGTAGCTGAAGCTGGGTGCAGGGCAGGGAGTCGGGTGAAGTCATGAACAGGCTTGCAAGCAGGGAGCCAGGGCAGGTCAGGAGCTCAGGCAGGAACTAGCAACCAAACATGTTGCTCCCGCAACTTGGGACTGGGGTTGGCCGGCTTTTATCTGCCCCGAGGCATAGGGCGGCCCCAATCCTCTGGTGACTCGCCTCTCCTGGCCTGGAGGTGAGCACTCCTCCTGCAGGAACTTAGTTCCCTCCGCCTCTCTGCCCTGAGCCTCTGCAGCTCAGGAGAGGCTGGAGGGTTCCTGGACCCAGAGGCAACCTCAGCTTCCTCTGACGGGGCTGAGAGTGGAGCACCTGCAGACAATGGGTCCTCCATCACTTAGGAGCCAGAGCAGGCTCAGCTGATGCCTGCACCTGAGGATCCAGCACAGGTGAGGACCCTTCAGGCTCATGTCCTAGCCCTGGCTTAGCTGGTTCTGGAGACGGGGAATCCTGTGCAGGCTGGGATCCCTCAGGTTCAGCATCTGAGACTAAATCCCAGGCCATCACAGGAATGTAAACTCTGCTAAGTAAAGGAACTTGCTAACGCAAGTTAGGAAAGATATTAATAAACCATAAATCCTCTCCTGCCACCCTGAACATGCCCACATTGGGGTCTATCCCCACTCTAGAATCTTATGATGCTATCCAGGGAGGTTTCTAAGGTGTGTATGTGTGTCCCCTTCTACAGAACTCCCCTCTCTCAGATCTGACAAACCCCAAAGCCAGACAGATCTTGTGATTTGGCAAGAGATCAGTTGCCACAGCTGAGCAAGGATTTCTTTTATTTTTAGCCCCCTGCCCCAGTTTCACTTCCACCACTGGATGTGCGGATGTCAGCATCCTCACAGCTGCCCGGCTGCTGCAGCCACAACCGCTACTGTCCCTTTGAACCGACCCAGACTCTCACCCACAACCCGATTCTCTGGGTTATCACAGGTTATTGTGGAGATGGTATTATTATCATCATCACGATTAGTGTTACTAATGGTATATAAAGCCCTTAACAACTTGGGAGCAGTTTACCTGGGTTCAAATCCCCGCTCAGCTATGAAGCTCATTGGGTGATTTTGTGACAGTCCCTGTCTCTTAGCCTAGCCTACCTCACAGTATTGCTGCGAGGATGAAATGGGGAGACCTCTCTGAGCTCCTTGGAAGAAAAACATGGTATATAAATGTAATCACAGAATTGTAGAGTTGGAATGGATCCCAAGGGGGACATCTAATAAATAAAAATAAAACAAGCAAGATGGGGATTGTAAGAACCCTGTCCCACCTGTTGCAAAGCTCCTATTGAAATTGGTTTTGACAAAGTCCCCCACGATATTCTCGTGGAGAAGTAGGCAAAATGAGGGCTGGATGAGGCAACCGTTAGGAGGATTTGCACCTGGTTGGCAGACCAAACCCAAAGAGCGCAACTAAGATGTTCCACCTGGCCTTTGGTTTGGACTCAGTCTGACCCTTATGTCTCCCTCCCTTGATGTGATCTATGGGCTACTTTTAAAATGAGGCTGCATTTTAAATTGCATTTTAACCTGTATTTTAAATGGTTTTTTCCCTTTTCCTCCCTATTATGTTTTTACTGTAACTTGTACTGGTGTTAGCCATCCTGAGCCCAGGGAGGGCGGGGTATAAATAAAATTTATTGTTATTATTATTATTAAGATGATCAAGGGTCTAGAAGTCAAGCCTGATGAGGAACGGTTGAAGGAGCTGGGTACGTTTAGCCTGGAAAAGAGCAGACTGAGAGGGGATATGGTAGCCATCTTCAAATATCTAAAGGGCTTTCAAAAGGACGAGGGAACAAGCTTGTTTTCTCCTGTTCTGGAGGGTAGGACTCGAACCCATGGCTTCAAGTGACAAGACTAAACATTGGGAAAAACTTTCTGACAGTCAGAACTGTTGGACAGTGGTCCAGTCTCCCTTGGGAGGTGGTGGACTCTCCTTCCTTGGAGGTTTTAAAGCAGAGGTTGGATATCCATCTGCCAGGGATGCTTCAACTGAGATTCCTGCATCTCATGGGGTTGGGCTGGATGATCCTGGGGGTCCCTTCCAACGGCACAATTCCATGATTCTATCACCTCATCTGTCTCCTGATAAATCTCTATGTGGGACAAGAAGCTACAGTTAGAACTGGATATGGAACAACTGATTGGTTCAAAATTGGGAAAGGAGTACGACAAGGCTGTATATTGTCTCCCTGCTTATTTAACTTATATGCAGAATTCATCATGTGAAAGGCTGGGCTGGATGAATCCCAAGCCGGAATTAAGATGGCCGGAAGAAATATCAACAACCTCAGATATGCAGATGACATAACCTTGATGGCAGAAAGTGAGGAGGAATTAAAGAAACTTTTAATGAGGGTGAAAGAGCAGAGCGCAAAATATGGTCTGAAGCTCAACATTAAAAAAACGAAGATCATGGCCACTGGGCCCATCACCTCCTGGCAAATAGAAGGGGAAGAAATGGAGGCAGTGAGAGATTTTACTTTCTTGGGCTCCATGATCACTGCAGATGGTGACAGCAGCCACGTAATTAAAAGACGCCTGCTTCTTGGGAGAAAAGCAATGACAAACCTAGACAGCATCTTAAAAAGCAGAGACATAACCTGGCGTGCTCTGGTCCAGGGGGTCACGAAGAGGCGGGCACGACTAAACAGCAACAAATACAGTATTTTTTGCACCATAACACTCACTTTTTTCCTCCTAGAAACTAAGGGGAAATGTCTGTGCGTGTTATGGAGGGAATGCGTACAGGTGGTGGGGGGTGGGGTCTGCTGCAGTCGTGAGCAGAGGATCCATGGTTCCCCTTCCTTCCTCCCTCCGTGGCTTGCTTTGAAACAGCAAAGCGGGAGAAGAGCGGCTGAGTGGGGAGGAGAGAGGGACAGAGAGCCTGCTTCTTTAAAGGAGCAAAGCGGGAGAGGAGCCGCTTACACGAGTGTAAGCAGCTCCTGTCCGGTTGGTTCCTTTAAAGCAAGCAGGCTCTCTGTCCCTTTCTCCTCCCCACTCAGCTCGCTAAATAGCAGCAAAGTTTTTCAGCTCGCTAAGCCGGGGATGAGCGGGGAGGAGGGAGAAAAGCAGAGCCTGCTTGCTTTAAAGGAGCAAAGCGGGAGAGGAGAGGAGCCTTCTCTCCTTATACCCCTCTTCTTCATTATTAGCAGCATCCTTCTCCACCCACCCCACACATGCTTCTTCTCCCCTTAAACCCCTCTTCTGCATTATTAGCAGCATCCTTCTCCACCCACCCCACGCATGCTCCTTGTCCCTTGAGTGCTTTTCCTTCCCTCCCCACTTAAAACGTGGTTACAAAGCACGGATCCACATGGATCCTCAGGATTTTGCACTGGGTCACCCCAAATTCACCATCAGATCACATAGCATGTCCATGGCTACATCTTGCACCAAAAAAATCACGCACCCACTGTTGCCTGGGGCCGCAGGGGTGCAAAAACGTGGTTACAAAGCATGGATCCACCTGGATCCTCAGGATTTTTGCATTGGGCTACTCCAAACTCACTGTCAGATCACATGTCTGTGGCCACAGCATGAACCACAAAAATCATACACCCACTGTTTCGTTTAGAATATTTTTTTTCTTGTTTTCCTCCTCTAAAAACTACGTGCGTGTTATGGTCGGGTCTGTGTTGTAGAGCGAAAAATACGGTAATTCAGAGAGCCAGTGTGATGTAGTGGTTAAGAGCTGTAGTCTCGTAATCTGGAGAACTGGGTTTGCGTCTCCGCTCCTCCACATGCAGCTGCTGGGTGACCTTGGGCTAGTCACACTTCTCTGAAGTCTCTCAGCCTCACTCACCTCACAGAGTGTTTGTTGTGGGGGAGGAAGGGAAAGGAGAATGTTAGCTGCTTTGAGACTCCTTCGGGTAGTGATAAAGCGGGATATCAAATCCAAACTCTTCTTCTTCTTCATGTGCATGAAGAAGGCTTTGGAAAAAGGGGCTTTGCGGTGATGGGGGACGGTGAGAAGGCCTGGGGGGGGGGTCGCTCTGGCTCTCCTTTTACGAATGGACCCCCCATGCTTGAACAAACAGCGGGAGTCTGGGGGAACCAGAACCGGTTTGGGGGGGCGCCCCGTCGGCGATGGAGCGGGAGCTACCCCTGGCGGCAGGTCGGGGAGCTGCGCTCTGTCTTGCTTCTTTCCCAGGCTCCATCCCTGGCGGGCGGAGGGGGGTGGAGGTTGCTGTCTGTCTTGCGATGAGCTCAGAGCAGCTGAGGGGGGAGGGGGGAGAGAAGGGGGGGAGGGACCCGCCTATAAAAGCGCACAGCGGCCACTGCGCCACGGATCGACCGGGCGAGGAGGACAAGCCGAGAGCGACTCGAGAGGTGATGCAGCTGCGGCGCTTTTGCAGGAAAAGTGGAGGCGGCGCGCAAAGTCGGCTGGATTTTGCGCCCTTCGCCTCCAAACAGCGGCTGCGGATATCTGCGCAGGCCGGGCAGGGTTTGCAAAGGGCTGGGAAGCGCGCGCGCGAGGGGAGGCGAGGATGGTTAATATTTGCAAAGGCAGAACCCCCCGTTTCCTTTCCGGAGCAGCGCATCCACACGTGCGCGGAGCCGGAGAGGCGAGCTCTGCAGTGCGCACCTGCTTCGGAGTAGGTCAAGTGGGGCGGGGAGGGGTGGTCGACTCAAGAAACGACCACCGCACATCTGCTGTGTAGGTGGATGCGGGGAAAGCCCTAGTCTGACCTGCGCGGGTACACGCGTCACGTGTGAACGCTTTCCGTCAAGGACGCGGTTAGAAAACGGCCTTTTTGGGGATGGTGGGAAAGGAGCGGGTCTTTGCGGGAGAACTCGGGCTGGGACGTCTTGCGTTGCTGGAGGGGTGTGTGTCTGTCTGTGTACGCGCACGCGCGTGGGTTGGTCTGTGCGCGCGTGCTCGGCGTGGGGTGTGGGGGAGAGGATGGGCTGGGTCCGCCCCCGAGACATTGATGGGAACGAGGGCAGGCTGTGTCGCCTAGTGGTTGGGAACCTGGCTCCTGAACGCAGTCTCCAGGGGGTACGCTGGAGGGAAGTGCTGTATAGTGGTGAGAACCCAGGCCTTGTGCTCCCCCCCTTCAATTAAGAGTCTTTCACTTCCTTATACTGAATGGAGTTGGGAGCTTCCTTATCCAGAGTCAAACCGTTGTCCCACCTCTCCCTGCACTGACTGGCAGCATCCCTCTGGGAATTCAGACAAGGGAGCCTTCAGCTGCCCTCCCTGGAGATGTGGGAGGCTGCGGGGTGGTGGTGGTGGCATCGGTGCAGATCCAGTGCCCTGAGCCCCGCCCTCGTTGCCATGCAGAATCCGTCCCTGGCCTTGAGGATGGGCAAGGCTTTGTCACCGCAGCTGAGTTGGGTCAGATTAAGCAGACCAGGAACACCGTGTTCCTTTCATAGGCTGGGCACGGTGTCCCTGATGCACTTTCTGGCTCCGTGGCTGCCTTTGGGAAACAATGCTTTGCTGACCCCGGAATGGCACTCGGGCAGAGAGTTGTTGACGCATCAGCGGTGGGCTTTCGCCTGGCAAGGTTTCTAGACCTCATGACCGTTCAAAACATGCCTCTGAATTCCTATCTGGGGCTTTGGCAGAGGGAGGAAGTGTGCAGGTCTTGGCCAGTCTAGATGCCGCCATGGGGGAAACCGAGGAAGGGGAGGGTGGGGTGGAGTTTGAGGGGGCAGGCCCTGCACCACCCCAAATTGCAAGAGGGAGGGCACCTCAATCCCTTCCAGCTCCCTCTTTCCTCGCCCGAGTTGCAGCCTTCATCCAGCTCAAAAAGGATATTGTAGAGGTGGGAGAAGTTTAGAAAACTGCACGCAAAATTGAAGGGATGGAACGACTCCATGAAGAAAGGTTGCAGCCTTTGGGGCTTTTTAGTTCAGAGAAAAGACGAGCAGAAACAGAACTCTGGAGGAGGGAGGGAACCCCAAAGGTCATCCAGCTCAACCCCCCGCAATGCAGGAATCGCAACTAAAGCATCCTTGACAGATGGCCACCCAACCTTTGCTTGAAAGCCTCCAACCTCATGGATGCTACAGTTGAGATTCCTGCCTTGCAGGGGGTTGGTCTGGATGACCTTTGAGGTCCCCTCCAACTCTATGATTCTGCGATGGAGAGTGCGTCGCCTTCCAAGGGAGTCTGTATCACTGTCGAACAGCTTTCAGCCATAAGGAAGAGGATAAAAAATTATGCCTGGCCTGGAGGTAGTGGATAGAGGATGACTCATAACTCTCTCATAACTCTAGAATTTGTGAACGCGGGTGGCGCTGTGGGTTCAACCACAGAGCCTAGGACTTGCCGATCAGAAGGTTGGCGGTTCGAATCCCCGCGACAGGGTGTGCTCCCGTTCCTCGGTCCCTGCTCCTGCCAATCTAGCAGTTCGAAAGCACCTCAAAGTGTAAGTAGATGAATAGGTACCGCTCTGGCGGGAAGGTAAACGGCGTTTCCATGCGCTGCTCTGGTTCGCCAGAAGTGGCTTAGTCCTGCTGGCCACATGACCCGGAAGCTGTACGCTGGCTCCCTCGACCAGTAAAGCGAGATGAGCACCGCAACCCCAGAGTCGGCCACGACTGGACCTAATGGTCAGGGGTCCCTTTACCTTTACCTTTAATGAAGCTGAAGGTTAGAAGATTCAGGACAGATTCACTCAGTGCAGAAACTATGGAACTCCCTGCCACATGCAGCTTGGATGGTTTGAAAAAAGGGTGACCTGATCCAGCAGGCTCTCCTTCGGTTCTTTTTTTAATGAAATCATTTTTATTTGATTTTACAAACATAAAATTATAGTGTTTTGCAAGTGAGATTAAAACCCTGCTGTTTTCATCTTCTTGCAACCGTCTCTCAAACAGATTATAAATTTCCTCCATTCTTTTTAAAAGTTTTCATCCTCTTGATTCCTTCGCTTTCTGGTCAACTTTGCCATCTCTGCACAGTCCATCAGCTCAGCTTGGCATTCCTCCCTCATAGGGAACTCTTTCTTCTTTCCATCCCTGGGCTAGTAGCGTCCGTGCGGCTGTTGTCGCGTACATAAAAAGTCTTTTCTGGTCTCCTTTGGAACATCTGTACCCATAATTCCTAATAGAAAAGCTTCTGTTTTTTTTTTTAAACAAAAGTTATTTTAAACATTTTTTTTCATTTCATTATATATCATCTCCCAGAAAGGGCACTTCTTAGGTTCTAGTGAGCTCTAAAATGGGCCTTTTGCAGCCGAATAGCAACCCACCAGCCGTGTCGTTTCATTTTTCTGCAATTGCAGTTCTTTGTGGCAGCGTTTGATACTTCTCTTCCTTCTCTCCCTCTCTCCCCCTCTTGTGCCTGGAAAATTGTTGCAGATTTTTAGGCGTTTGGGGCAGCTTGTTCCTTAAGTGCAAGACCCGGGGCAGGATCCGTTTGATCTCTCACGATGGGCTTTGTTCCTGCTCTGAAATGCGATTGCACCGGATAGCTGTGCTCTGGTGCTCAAAGAGCAGCAGGGAAGAGTGTCAAACGCGAGGGCTCTAGAGGGATGACAATAGTGATCATATCTCTCTTGCACACCCCCGTGATTTGGTGCCCCATTCATTTTGACACTGGGTCTTGCCTTGAAAGGCTTTCGGCCCTTGGCTGTTCTCCCAAGTTTGCAGGCAGCGTATTCTTCTGCGTTAATGAGAGCTAGAAACTTGCTTGGGTTTTTTTAACCCAAATCTCAAAAGATTCCTGGAAGAGTATTCATAAAAGCTGGCCAAATTTGCTCCTCTCCCCCCTGCGAAAGAGCCGGTCATGTCTGCAAACAGGGAACGCTTGCTGTATTCAGAGTGCCGCAGCAGATGGCTTATTGCTATCAAATAATACAAAGATTGTGCCTGTTATTGGGGTGGAAGGACTTGCCCGCATCGCAGAGCTGGCATCATGTAAGAGGCATTTGACAGTGGAACAGATTCCCTCGGAAGGTGGTGGAGGTTTTTAAGCGAAGGTTGGATGGCTCTCTGTCAGGGATGCTTTAGTTGAGATTCCAGCCTTGCAGGGGGTTGGACTAGATGTTAGAAACTAAAATATATAAGCTAGGTTCCTTAAACCAAGGTTATAGCCACCAAAGCGGAATATCTGGCTATCAATCGCTTGCAACCAAGTGAAGATGCCCGGGAGCCAGGATTGGTGCCCGACGTCTCCACCATCTGGGGATCATTGAATCTGGGCTGTTTTCACACACTAATGCAAAGTCCTGTGGCATTCTAGCAGTTTTATTTGATCCGCACAATCAGAATGAATTTCAGGAACCAAAATGCCTTTTCCGTGCAGCCCAAGCAGGAGCAGTGCAAAAGGCGGTACCTAAATTTCGTCGCTCATCTTCACTTGCCCCAACCCTCACAGTTGTGAAGAATATCCCTACGTTATGAATGGTCCGTGTCACCATTAAGAAAATGTAATTGGGATTGTCCCTGGGAAAAGTGACTTTTCTTCTTGTAAGTACTCGAAGTTCTTAACCTGGCTCAAGGTTGTCCTCTGAACTAGCCAGATATTTAACTGAGAATCAATCACAGTCAGTCCATCATTTGGAAAATAAGACTTTATTTGAGGTCCAGTGCCGAGGGCTTTCTGGTGGTTCCCTTGTTGCGAGAAGCCAAGTTACAGGGAACCAGGCAGAGGGCCTTCTCGGTGGTGGCTCCCTCCCTGTGGAACACCCTCCCACTTAGTGTTCTCCCACTAAGAGAACAACAACTACCAGACTTTTAGAGGACATCTGAAGGCAGCCCTATTTAGGGAAGCTTTTAATGTTTGATGCATTACTGTATTTTAATATTTTGTTGGAAGCCGCCCAGAGTGGCTGGGGAAGCCTAGCCAGATGGGCGGGTTATTAATAATAATAATAATAATAATATCTTTATTGTCATTGCCCCCTTTGGGGACAACGAAATTACTTGACTGCTCCATAAAAACACTAATTAATCAATACAGTATAACACAGCAAGGGAGATTAGATGACTTTCAAAGTCCGGGCTTCCCATTCAGGGCCGAGATCGCTCTGGAGAAGAAGCTGTTCTTAAGACGGCTCGTTCTTGTCTTCATCGTCCTGTATCTCCGTCCCGACGGCAATTATTATTATTATTATTATTTGCCAGGGCCCACTAGAAATCCACACAGGAGCATGGGAAGAACAGTGCAGAGAGCATTTCTTCCATCACTGAGCAACTGTGGCCCGGCAGGGCTGAGCTACTGGCTTTTCTCATTTGAGATGCAATCTGGTTGGAGAGAGGGCCAGCGATGCGCAGCCAGTTTGTGGAATGTGATCCCGGCAGATTTGTGTGGCTGGCTTCCGCGCGTGAAATGCGGGCCGCTGCGAAACGCAGCCGACACCGTTCCGTGTTTTTCATCCAGGCCCTGGAATTGGAGAGGTGGTGTGGGCAGCCGTGTGTGTTTGAAGGGCATGGAAGATCATTATGGTCTGTTTGCACAGTGAAGGGCTCAGGGCTTGAATCAAGAGGGTTCTCTCTTTTCTCTGTTTTTATTTTTTGTTTGCAAGTGCAGGAACAATTCCCTCCTCCTCCTCCTCCTCCTCCTCCTCCTCTTCCCTGTCTGGCGCCTTATCTCTGGGAGGAATTTACTTTGTCCCAGAGCTGTTTCCCTGCCTCTTTTGTTTTGCAGCCTGGGCAGAAGGGCAGCCGTCCAACTTTGCTGGCATTCACAGCCCCCTTTCTCTGCCCTTCTCTCTCTTTTGCTCATTTTGATGCCTCGTTGGTCCCAGAGAATAAAGACAAGAGACAAAGCAGGTGCTGAGATCTCACTTGCTGGATCAGTTTCCTTCCACTGCCATTTTGCCTAAAAGGCACCAACAAATTCCGAATGATGCTTTAAAAGAGGATGAGACACATTCATAGAAGTACCGTATTTTTTGCACTATAAGACGCACTTTTCTTCTCCTAAAAAGTAAGGGGAAATGTGTGTGCGTCTTATGGAGTGAATGCAGGTGGGAGGCTCTGCTCAGCGCTCCCTTTAAAGAATATTTTTTCCCTTGCATTCCCCCTCTAAAAACTAGGTGCGTCTTATGGTCAGGTGTGTCTTATGGATGCAGCTGATCAGCAGCGCCTTTGGGGTAAGGTCAAATTGCTGCAACCTTGCAACATCTTGACCTCGCCCCCAAAGGTGCTGGTTTTGACCTTTAAAGCCCTATGTGGCCTAGGACCCACGTTCCTACGGGACCACCTCTCCTGGTATGCCCCGCGGAGGACCTTAAGGTCCACAAATGACAATATTTTGGAGGTCCCAAGTCGCAAGGTGGTTAGACTGGTCTCCACTAGGGGCCAGGGCCTTTTCAGCTCTGGCCCTGACTTGGTGGAACGCTCTGTCCCAAGAGACCAGGGCCCTGCGGGACTTGACATCTTTCCGCAGGGCCTGCAAGACAGAGCTGTTCTGCCTGGCCTTTGGTTTGGACTCAGTCTGACCCTTATGTTGCCCTCCCCTTATGGTTTTGATTTATGGGCTACTTTTAAAATGAGGCTGAATTTTAAATTGCATTTTAACCTGTATTTTAAATTGTTTTTTTTCCCTATTATGTTTTTACTGTAATTTTACTGGTGTTAGCCGCCCTGAGCCCGGCTCTGGTCGGGGAGGGCGGGGTATAAATAAAATTTATTATTATTAATTATTAGAAGAGGGCTGTCCAGGGCTACTAGCCATTACGGCTCTTCTCTGCCTCCACAGTAAGAAGCAGCAAGGCTTCTGAATGTCTTCTGAAAGGTCGTGCACCCACTTCCTGTAGTGTACTATATTTCCCGACCGCTGCAGAGCCTCCACAAAAGTGCTTTCTCCGAGAGTCCTGTCCTCCCTACGAGGCTGGGACGCTTTTCATAGAATCATAGAATCATAGAGTTGGAAGAGACCACAAGGGCCATCGAGTCCAACCCCCTGCCAAGCAGGAAACACCATCAGAGCACTCCTGACATATGGTTGTCAAGCCTCTGCTTAAAGACCTCCAAAGAAGGAGACTCCACCACACTCCTTGGCAGCAAATTCCACTGTCGAACACCTCTTACTGTCAGGAAGTTCTTCCTAATGTTTAGGTGGAATCTTCTTTCTTGTAGTTTGGATCCATTGCTCCGTGTCCGGTTCTCTGGAGCAGCAGAAAACAACCTTTCTCCCTCCTCTATGTGACATCCTTTTATATATTTGAACATGGCTATCATATCACCCCTTAACCTCCTCTTCTCCAGGCTAAACATGCCCAGCTCCCTTAGCCGTTCCTCATAAGGCATCGTTTCCAGGCCTTTGACCATTTTGGTTGCCCTCCTCTGGACACGTTCCAGTTTGTCAGTGTCCTTCTTGAACTGTGGTGCCCAGAACTGGACACAGTACTCCAGGTGAGGTCTGACCAGAGCAGAATACAGTGGCACTATTACTTCCCTTGATCTAGATGCTATACTCCTCTTGATGCAGCCCAGAATTGCATTGGCTTTTTAGCTGCCGCGTCACACTGTTGGCTCATGTCAAGTTTGTGGTCAACCAAGACTCCTAGATCCTTTTCACATGTACTGCTCTCAAGCCAGGTGTCCCCCATCTTGTATTTGTGCCTCTCATTTTTTTTGCCCAAGTGCAATACTTTACATTTCTCCCTGTTAAAATTCATCTTGTTTGTTTTGGCCCAGTTCTCTAATCTGTCAAGGTCAGCATCAAAATATTTATTTCACTGGAAACCACAGCAGGGGAGAGTTGCTCTTGTGTTTGAATCCTGCTTGCAGGGTTTACCTTAGGGCATCTGGTTTGCCACAGTGAGAACAGAATGCTGGACTAGATGAGCCCCCTTTGCCCTGTTAATGCAGAAATCTGAGGGCTCCCTTGGACAAAAAACAAGGACCCCAGCCAGGAATAGCAGAGCAAAACAGCAGCCAGTAGGATTGGTCTTGATTGAAGACTGTTGCGACAGGACTCCCACCTGCCACCAGGTGAAACAGGATGGAAGCCCCGAACAAAAGAGCCCCCAAACTTTTATTAACTGCTAATCCCCATGTTATGGGACGCGGGTGGCACTGTGGGTTAAACCACAGAGCCTAGGACTTGCCGATCAGAAGGTCAGCGGTTCGAATCCCCGCAATGACGGGGTGAGCTCCCGTTGCTCGGTCCCTGCTCCTGCCAACCTAGCAGTTCGAAAGCACGTCAAAGTGCAAGTAGATAAATAGGTAACGCTCCGGCGGGAAGATAAACGGCATGCACTGCACTGGTTCGCCAGAAGCGGCTTAGTCATGATGGCCACATGACCTGGAAGCTGTACGCCGGCTCCCTCGGCCAGTAAAGCGAGATGAGCGCCACAACCCCAGAGTTGACCACAACTGAACCTAACAGTCAGGGGTCCCTTTACCTTTTAATTCCCATGTTACAACCCCCCCCCCAACTACATCACTAATACATCACAGTTACATCATGAAAGGGAAGGTCTGGTGGAAGTAATCTGAGCATCCTGGACCCTGCCCCATGGTTCCCCTTACCCTCCACCAAACACCCATCAAGTGGAACAAAAGAGATATTTGCATTTCACTGTTTCGCAGCCAAGTTCATCACACCCTTTTGTCTTCATCTGGGTTTGTTATTCCTGGAATGGCTACCTGTCTGGCACTCAGGTATCAGGATGCCAGGGATTATCCCTCAGGCAGAGGGGCTGCTGAGTAGCTGAGCTCACATGTCTAGATGAATTTCTGAAGTTTTCCCAGTGAGCCAGTACATAGGTACATTTATCAGTGAATTCTTACATTTGGTATTCTACAGCAGAGGCCCTTTGAATAGATAGGAAGAAACTGTGATGAAGTGTTTTGTGGGGACAAATCACAAAAGTCACAAAAGTGATTGTGCTGATTTTGGTAGTGGGCTGCATGTGCATGATATCTGCTGGAGGGGCAACCCCCCCAACCTATACATAAATTCCTGCAACGGTCCTGATCCAGCAGTCTCTCCTTATGTCTTTAAACACGGTATACGGTGTGGATGTGCCGAGTTTTTGCAGGGTCCCCCTTGTTGTTGCCTGTCTAGAGAGAAAACTGTGCTTGTCGCTGAAAAGAGGTAGTGCATTGACCCTGGTCCATTGAGCCCAGAATTGTTGGCAGGCCTCCTGGGCCGAGCCGGCCACGTCTTTCCCATCCCCTACTGCTACCCGATCCCTTTAACTGGAGATGCTGGGGGGGTGGTGTTGAACCCGGGGCCTTCTCCATGCCAAGCAGCTGCCCTGCCGCTGAGCAGGTGGAAGGAGAGGAGGGTGGGAGAGAGATGCTCTTTGCCGGCTACGCGTTCCCAGGTGTCGTTGCCAGGGCTTGAGACAGGGACCTCTTGCATCCCTGAGCAGGTGCTTTGCCATTGACCTGTGGGTCTGAGCAACATGATGCCTCTTCTTCTCCCTTCCCACGCCATCGAGCTCTGGGGAGGCCAAGGGCTGCTTGGGACACACTGGCTACTTGTTGCAAGGATCCAAAGCACACAGCCTCTTGCTGCCTCTGGGCATCACATTTGTGTGGGGCAGCCCCCTGGCACTCAAGGATAAAATGGTTCCCTGGGAATAAGCATTTTACTCCCTGCCCCATGATGGGCAGTCGGTCTCCTGCTGTTGCGAGTTCCCCAGGACTGGATTGAGGTTTGATCAGGTCCTAAGCTACTGAAGAGGGACGCGGGTGGCGCTGTGGGTTAAACCACAGAGCCTAGGACTTGCCGATCAGAAGGTTGGCGGTTCGAATCCCTGTGACGGGGGGAGCCCCCCTTGCTCGGTCCCTGCTCCTGCCCACCTAGCAGTTCGAAAGCACATCAAAGTGCAAGTAGATAAATAGGTACTGCTCCGGCGGGAAGGTAAACGGCGTTTCCGTGCGCTGCTCTGGTTCGCCAGAAGCGGCTTAGTCCTGCTGGCCACATGACCCGGAAGCTGTACGACGGCTCCCTCGGCCAGTAAAGCGAGGTGAGTGCCGCAACCCCAGAGTCAGCCACGACTGGACCTAATGGTCAGGGGTCCCTTTACTTTTAAGCTACTGAAGGTAATGGGGCCTTTTATATGTGATATTTGAGGGAGCAGGCTAGCAGGCGGGGCCCGTGACTTACATCATAGGAACCTACACAACACAAAATACTGTTGCTGTATTTTTCTTGTTTTTTATGTTGTATTTTGGAAATGTACATCCAGGTTTTTTCCTTTATATTAATACAATAATAATTTATTATTTATACCCCGCCCATCTGGCTGGGTTTCCCCAGCCATTCTGGACGGCTTCCAACAGAACACTAAAATACAATAACCTATTAAACATTAAAAGCTTCCCTAAACAGGGCTGCCTTCAAATGTCTTCTAAAAGTTTGGTAGTTATTTTTCTCTTTGACATCTGGTGGGAGGGCGTTCAACAGGGCGGGCGCCACCACCAAGAAGGCCCTCTGCCTGGTTCCCTGTAACTTGGCTTCTCGCAGCGAGGGAACCGCCAGAATGCCCTCGGCGCTGGACCTCAGTGTCTGGGCTGAACAATGGGGGTGGAGACGCTCCTTCAGGTATACTTTAAATTTCGGGGGGCCCTCCAAGAGAGCGGGGCCCGAAGCTATAGCTTGTTTTGCTTATACGCAAATCTGGCACTTTCTGTCCTGAATCTTCCAACATTCAGCTTCTTTCGATGACTGCGAGTTCTAGTGTTCGGAGCAAGAGCAGCGTTGGATTTTGGGTGGTGTTTGCGGTTTCCCTGTACAGTCATAACTCGGGTTGAAGTAACTTCGGGATAAGTATTTTCGGGTTGCGCTCCGTGGCGACCCGGAAGTAGCGGAGCACGTTACTTCCGGGTTTCGTCGCTCGCGCATGCGCAGACGGTCAAAATGACGTCACACGCATGTGCAGAAGCGGCGAATCATGACCCACGCATGTGCAGACGCTGTTTGCATTCGCTTCTGGATGCGAATGGGGCTCCAGAATGGATCCCCTTTGCATCCAGAGGTACCACTGTACTGACACCTAGCCAAGGGGGTTCAAAATCAAGAAGATGCACAATTGAGAAGATCGAGTTGGGGGCTCCAAATGTTGGCTTCGCTCAGGGCACCGTGTTGCCAAAGATTACCAAAGTCTACTAAGGTTTTCCCCCTGTCTATTCTCTCTTTGCCAGCCCCCCTCCAGCCTGCCATCATCGGGGATTTTTTTGCTCAAACCCTCAGTGGTTTGGGTTGGCTTTTTTCCGAATGCTTTCCCAGCAATCCTCTCCCCCTTTCCTCTCCTGGTGGGGATCCATCTGCCAGTCTTGCTGAGGGCACAGGCACAAAATCTCCGAGGGAGGGAGGCTCAGCCTGTTCCTTTCTTCCCCCCGTTATGCCTGCTGATTCAGAGGGCACACGCAGCCAGCTTCCCAGTCTCCCCCCTCGTTCTATTTCTCCGTGAGAGCTGCCTGCCCGCCCCGCTTGCCTTGGATGGCAGTGCCATCTGTTACGCAACTCTTCCTCCCAACGGGCACAAGGGAGGGAGTTTCCAGAAAGCGGGACCTTGGCACAATGCGGCCCCCATTTCCGCACCCCCCCTGGATTCCAGAAGCTCCAGGCCATGGAGACGAGGGAGGCCGGCCAAGAAACTTCTGAGCTCTGTGTGTTTCTCCCTTCAGACACTCTGTACTCAGAGCACGTCCACCCCTATTTTGTGGCTCTGTTTGGGGGGTCTTGCAGCTGGTCTCTAGGGTGGCAGGGGGCAGGGAGAGCGATGCAAAACTCCAGCCGCTTCCAAGGGCCGCAGGTGGAGCGCTTTTCAGCCGTCATCTCCTCTGCGGCCAAGTTTCCTGTTTGTTTTTCAATGGCTGGACTAGATAAGGCACAGTGCACATGGTCAGAGCGCCAGCTGTTCAGAGAGTGTGACGGCAGTCTGTGCAATTAAGACAATCTCTAAAATTGGTTTGTTGTTGTTCTTGCTTTTAATACTTATTTTGTGGGTTTTTCTTAATGTTTTGAACCGTCCTGAGATCTGCAGATGAAGGGCGGTATGCAAATGTAATAATTAAAGATGAAAAAGGGGGCAGAGGAAAGTTTTTCTCCCTCCTAACATCGGTACTTGTGGACATGCGATGAAGCTGAATGTTGGAACGTTCAGGACAGATAAAGTGAATGTCTGGAGGCAGTTGGAGGATGGATGGCGGCTAACAGATTGAGGCTGAATCCTGACAAGACAGAAGTACTGTTTTTGGGGGACGGGACGGGCAGGTGTGGAGGACTCCCTGGTAACTGTGCCCCTGAAGGACCAGGTGCGCAGCCTGGGGGTCATTCTGGATTCACAGCTCTCCATCGAGGTCAATTCTGTGTCCAGGGCAGCTGTCTACCAGCTCCATGTGGTATGCAGGATGAGACCCTCCCTGTCCTCAGACTGTCTCGCCAGAGTGGTGCATGCTTTAGTTATTTCCTTCTTGGACTACTGCAATGCGCTCTACGTGGGGCTACCTTTGAAGGTGACCCGGAAACTACAACTAATCCAGAATACGGCAGCTAGACTGGTGACTGGGAGCGGCCGCCAAGACCATATAACACTGGTCTTGAAAGACCTACATTGGCTCCCAGTACGTTTCCACGCACAATTCAAAGTGTTGGTGCAGACCTTTAAAGCCCTAAACAGCCTCGGTCCAGTATATCTGAAGGAGTGTCTCCACCCCCATCGTTCAGCCCAGACACTAAGGTCCAGCACCGAGGGCCTTCTGGCGGTTCCCTCACTGCGAGAAGTCAAGTTACAGGGAACCAGGCAGAGGGCCTTCTCGGTAGTGGCGCCCGCCCTGTGGAACGCCCTCCCTTCAGATGTGAAGGAAATAAGCATCTATCTTATCTTTAAAAGACATCTGAAGGCAGCCCCGTTTAGGGAAGCTTTTAATGTTTGATGCATTACTGTATTTTAATGTTTATTTGGAAGCCGCCCATAGTGGCTGGAGAAACCCAGCCAGATGGGGGGGGGAATAAATAATAAATTATTATTATTATTATTATTATTATTATTATTATTATTATTATTATTTAAAAGAAAGGACTTCTCCACGCAGTGCAGAGTTAAACTGTGGAACTCCCTGCCACAGTGACGGCCACCAACTTGGATGGCTTTGAAAGAAGATTGGACAAATTCATTGAGGAGCAGAGGGCTGTCAGTGGCTCCCAGCCAGGATGGCTCTGCTCCACCTCCAAAGTTAGAGGGATGCTCCTGAATCCCAGTTGCTGGAAACTGCAGGAGGGGAGAGTTGCTCCTGAGTTCGAATCCTGCTTGCAGGTTTCCCTTTGGGGCATCTGGTTGTCCACTGTGAGAACAGGATGCTGGACTAGGTGGGCCATGGGCCTGATCCAGCCGGGCTCTCCTTATGTCCTCATCCCCAAAATCAGCTGGTCAGTTTTTGACATCAAACTCACCTTTCAAGTATTGAATTAAAAGTGGCTTATACAGTGAAATGCAGCCACAGCAAATCCAAATGCGAGATCAAACATGGAAACAGAATGCTAATAAACTTTTTTTTAAAACCGCCACCCAGCAGTCACAATTTCAGTAATGCAATGACTGAGAGGGCACAGGGTTGGTTTCCAGTAGCAAAGAGTTCCGCCGCCTCCCATATCTTCCCTGTGCTTTTTTGGCAGGAGAGGGACGCTTCAACTTCTCTGCACTTGGAGGTGTCCATCCTGTCCACCCTTGGAGTATCTGAACCCTTTTAAAATAATAATAATAATTTTTATTGAATTTTACCACCACCACAATCATTATTTCAATAACAAAATACATTATAAATCCTCAACACGTCCCCCCCCCCCGGTGACTTCCCTCAACTTCATTTTCTGGGTTTCTTGCCATATTATCTCTCCCTGCTTATTGGTTATTTTTGATTCTTTAATTTTTTTTAAAAATAATAATTATTATTCTCTTATCATTTTAAAACCCTGTTTCTATTTCTGCATTTGTTTTGTTAATTGCATGTGTTTAGTCACACCCTGTGAGCAGGGCTTTGCAGAGCCAGGCAGACGCCCGGGCAAGGTTGATAATGTGCTCCCCCCTTTTTTTTACCCTGGGGGGTAACTGAAGTCTTTTAAATAAGTAAGTATATAAATAATTTCCCCAAAAGTTATGCTGACAAATAATTTTATTTCAAGGCTTGAACCGTATCTGCATATAAAGACAAAATGGAAAATATAGATAAATATGCTGACCGAAGCCCCCTTTGGAATCGGGTGCCCGGGCCAAGTGGCCATATTAATCCCCTCTGTCTGGGCCTGCCTGCGAGCAAGTCCTTTTCTTTACATTGATTCTGTAAATAGAACAGAAATGGTTCCCAGTCCTTCTTGAAATCTCTGTTGTCTTTTTCTCAAAGTCTTTCCGTTAGTTTTGCCATTTCAGCCTATTCCATCTGCTTTCCTTAATATTCTTCTTCAGTTGGTATTTCAATACTTTTGCATCTTTGCGCTAGCAATATCCTAGCCGCAGTTGTAGCATACAGTGGTACCTCTGGTTGCGAACGGGATCCGTTCCGGAGGCCTGTTCGCAACATGAAAAGAGTGCAACCCGCAGCGGCACGTCTGCGCACGCGCGGGTTGCGATTCACCGCTTCTGCGCATGATGTCATTTTGCGCGCCTGCGCATGTGCGAGCAGCAAAACCCGGAAGTAACCCTCTCTGGTACTTCCGGGTCACTGCGGGACGTAACCTGAAAGAATGTAACATGAAGCAGACGTAACCAGAGGTATGACAGTACATGAGCAGTTCAGTACCTGAACCCTTCACACTGTCTGATGTGGCCCTCCTGTCTTCCTGACGACTTTCCTTATCTTTTCAGGAACCTGGTTTTGTTTCTGCGGAGAAGATGACACTTTCTGGATGGCTCCCTCTGCTGGGGCTCCTCTTTTTCTGGGATGGCGGACACTGCCTTGTTCCTCCTGAAGAGCTGAAACGTAAGTAAGCAACGGTGGAGAGGCTGGCACTTCTGTATGTCTGCATTCTTCTTAAATGAAGGACCAGTTGCACAGCCTGGGAGTCATTCTGGTCTCACAGTTCTCCATGGAGGTGCAGATCAGTTCTGTGTCCAGGGCAGCTGTTTATCAGCTCCATCTGGTATCCAGGCTGAGACCCTATCTGCCTGCGGACTGTCTTGCCAGAGTGGTGCATGCTCTGGTTATCTCCCGCTTGGACTACTGCCATGCGCTCTACGTGGGGCTACCTTGGAAGGTGACCCGGAAACTACGACTAATCCAGAATGTGGCAGCTAGACTGGTGACTGGGGGCGGCTGCTGAGACCACATAACACCAGTCCTGAAAGTCCTACATTGGCTCCCAGTCCGTTTCCGAGCACAATTCAAAGTGTTGATGCTGACCTTGAAAGCCCTAAATGGCCTCAGTCCAGTATACCTGAAGGAGCGTCTCCACCCCCATCGTTCAGCCTGGATACTGAGGTCCAGCGCCATGAGCCTTCTGGCGGTTCCTTCCCTGCGAGAAGCCAAGTTACAGGGAACCAGGCAGAGGGCCTTCTCAGTGGTGGCACCCACCCTGTGGAATGCCCTCCCAACAGATGTCAAAGAGATAAACAACTACCTGACATTTAGAAGACATCTGAAGGCAGCCCTTTTTAGGGAAGCTTTTAATGTTTAACCGACTAAGGTAGAAGGTAAAGGGACACCTGACCATTAGATCCAGTTCCAGTGGTCCGACTCTGGGCCTGCAGCGCTCATCTCGCTTATTGGCCTGAGAGCCAGCGCACTTTCAGCTAATGTGGCCAGCATGACTAGCCGCTCTAGCGAGCCAGAGCAGCTCATGGAATTGCTGTTTGCCTTCCTGCCGAGAGGCACCTATTTAGTCTACTTGCACTCTGACATGCTTTCAAACTACTATGTGGCAGGAGCAGGGACTGAGCAATGGGAACTCACCCCATGTAGAGCTGAACCGTAACCTTGTGATCGGCAAGTCCTAGGTTCTGTGGTTTAACCCACAGCGTCACCATGTCCTGTTTAACAGACTACTGTATTTAATACTTTGTTGAAAGCTGCCCAGAGTGGCTGGGAAAACCCAGCCAGATGGGCGGGGTATAAATAATAAATTATTATTATTAGAAATGTACAGTGGTACCTCTGGTTGCAAACGGGATCCGTTCCAGAGGCCCGTTCGCAATATGAAAGGAAAGCAACCCGTGTCTGCGCATGCGCGGGTCGTGATTCGCCGCTTCTGCGCATGTGCGTGACGTCATTTTGTGCATCTGCGCATGCGCGAGCGGCGAAACCCGGAAGTAACCCTTTCCGGTACTTCCGGGTCGCTGCGGGACGCAACCTGAAAAAGCGTAACATGAAGCAAACGTAACAAGAGGTATGACTGTGCTGGAAGTGCTTCTCATTCCAGAGCAGTCGAAGGAGCCCCGGACTGGAAAACGCTTTTGCATTTGAGTCACAAATCAATCAGGTTTGCTAAAAAACACAAAACTCCTTTGCGCTTTTCATTTTTGGGTAAGGATACGGGGCGGGCAGAGAGGATGTGCTGGAACTGCGGCTTGATCAGACCTGTCTTGTGGCATCCATAATAGAGGCCCAGAATCTTAAAAAAAAGGGATAAAAAGAAATGTTCTTGCCAATTTTAGGCTCCAAGGGCATAATTTCGACACCTGCACCATGAAGTCATTTCCCAGAACTGTGACTCAGGGGCTCGTGGGGGGAATCATTTCTGCCTGGCGAGGTCACAGTGTTTTGCTAGGGTTGCCAAATTGCCAGGGTTGCGGTCAAGGGCGCAGGGCGGAGGCGGCTGCTTCTGTGTGTATTTAGATGATTTGGGAATGATTGTTGGCGCTTGAAAAGCCCCAGACAGGATGCAAAAAAAAAGGGCAGGAAAAGGCAACAATAACTCACCAGTCAGTGGCTTTTCCCCGCTTCCCCAAGTTCTGGGATGCATGGTATGTTTATAAATTGCATGAACGAGCTGCTTGATTATAAAAAAAGGAAAAAATTACAAACAAGGATAAAGCAATAAAATTAACAATGAGACTAATAATAATAATTTCTGCATTTGTTTTGTTAATTGCAAGTGTTTCATCAAACCCTGCAAGGGAGTCCATTTCTTTACATTGATTCTGTAAATAATAATAATAATAATAATAATAATAATAATAATAATATATCCCACCCTTCCAGGTTCAGAAAACTGGGCTCAGGGCGGCTAACAACAAATTTAAAACACTTAATTGATGCAACAAAAAACAGCATAAAATACTGTATTAAACGTGAATAACAACAAATTCAGAATTCCAAAATCAATTTAGGGGGGAAATCCATCCAATAAACATTAGATGATCACCAGGGCTAGCTGGCTAAGTTAGTCCTATTTGGGCCAGCAGGAGACCAGGGAGAATTAGCTGTGGGATCCCAGAGCGGGTAATCTTCATAAAAAGGGGAGTGGGAGGGAAGGAAGGGGAATAAAAGATCAGGCTGAATTCAAATTAAAGGCCAGGCGGAATAGCTCTGTCTTACAGGCCCTGCGGAAGGAGGTTAAATCCTGCAGGGCCCTGGTCTCCTGGGACAGAGCATTCCACCAGGTTGGAGCCACCACTGAGAAGGCCCTGGCCCTGGTGGAGGATAGTCTGACTTCCTTAGGGCCTGGGACCTCTAGACTACGGTTATTCATGGACCTTAAGGTCCTCTGTGGGGCAGACCAGGAGAGGCGGTCCCATAGATACGAGGGCCCTAAGCCACAAAGGGCTTTAAAGGTCAAAACCACCACCTTAAACCTGACCTGATACTAAAAAATAACAAAAGAAGTAAAAATAAAAACAAGAAAAATTAACAATAATTTTCGAAAAGTTTAAAATGGGCTTTAAAAGAGGATGAGACAAACTCATGGGAGAGAGGGCCATTGATAGCTACTAGCGACAACAGCTATGCTTTTCCTCAATGGCCAGAGACAGCAATGCTTCTGAATAGCAGGAGGGGAGATGGGTCTTGTGTTCGAATCCTGCTTGCAAAAGGGCATTGGGGTGGCCACTGTGAGAACAGGATGCTGGACCGGACGGACCGCTTTCCTGATCCAGCAAGGCTCTTCTTTTGAGAGCCAGTATGGCGTGGTGGTCAGGAGCTGGGGGAGACCAGGGTTCGAATCCCCCACTCACCTGGTATGACCTTGGCCTCTCAGCCTTACAGGGCTGTTGTTGCGATTGAATGAGGAAGGGGGAGGACCGTTTACGCGACCCTGAGCTCCGCAGAGAAAACGGTGGGATAGAAATGTAACAAGCAAACAAATAGATAAACATTCTTTTTTCCCCAATTTTTTAAATTGATATTCCAATTTTTTTTAAACAAACAAACAAACAAACAAACATAAATCAACGCCTTAATTGAACCAATCTTATTGACATTGTTAAGTGACTTCCTCGTATCCCCCGGGCTGAGTTTCAATGTATATCATTTTAACGGTTTTCCGAAACCAATATTCTCATAAACTTCATCACTTAATCACTTAACATCTTTCTTTCATTCCCATTTGACATTTCAACATATCGATTTATCACATTACATGTTTAAATCCTAAGCCTCTCTAGTATTTGCAAGCTTTTCCAATTAATTTAACTTAACATATTTACCGTATTGTTCGCCCTATAAGACGCACTTTTCCCCCTCCAAAAATGAAGGGGAAATGTGTATGGGGCGAATGCAGGCTTTCGCTGAAGCCTGGAGAGCGAGAGGGGTCGGTGCACACCGACCCCTCTCGCTCTCCAGGCTTCAGGAAGCTATCCGCAAGCCTTGCAAGCCCGGCGGGAGGTCCTGTCAGGCTCTCAAGGCTTGCAGATAGCAGCCTGCATCCCGAAGCCTGGGGCGCGCTGCACGGTGCACCCCGGGCTTCGTGCAGATATTGGGCAGCCCCACAAGCTTGGGGGATAGCGGGAAGGCGCAGTGCCGCCATCCCGCTGTTCCCCGACCTGGTTTGGAGGCTGGCGCTGGGGAGAAGCGCGCTTCTCCTCACCGCCAGCCCCACAAGCTCAGGGGACAGATATCCGCAAGCCTGGGGAGACCGGCGCGACTTCCCGCCGGGCTCCCTAGGCTTGCGGATAGCAGCCTGTTCTGGGGGCTGGGGTCGGGGGAAATTTGGGCATCCCCCGCCCCAGCCCCGCGCCTGGGGGGGGAAATAAATCCCCCCCTTTATTTCCACCCCAAAAAACTAGGTACGTCCTATGGGCCGGTGCACCCTATGGGGCAAAAAATATGGTAACTAAATACTCTTTGGATTTCATCCATTCCTCCTGGTACTCCTCCTCCAAATAGATAGGCGTTCTTATGTGAGACTGCAGACTTATAGGAGTTCAGCGATTGGGTCTGCGTTGCTCCCGGACAGGAGGAAGGAAGTCAAATGACACCGAGGGTTGGTTCAGAGAAAGAGTTCTATATTTCTGCTCTCCGGAACAGCAGAAAGGCACTTGTGGGGTCAGTCCACAGCAAGTCCAAAGAAATGAGAAATTTCATGCAGTATATATATCCTCCAGGCACCCTCTCCCTCCTTCCCCAGGAATCCAACCACGTCAGCCTATACACGCAGGTTGACATCACATATGTGCCTGCTCCGGTATTCTTAACCATAAAAGGGTTTTCCTTCCTGTACTTCTGACCATAAAAGGATCTTCCTGTTCCTACTCTTATCTTGGAGCAAGAGGTCACCAACTCCAAGAACACACTCTGGCGCTGTTCCCGGACTAGGTCTGTGCGTCTTTGTGGTCTTTGTGGTCAGGATGTAAGATAAGGCCCAGAGTGTCATCCCTGTTCCGCTTTGGAATGGACAAAGCCATCCGTCATTACCGGCCTTCATGGACTGATAAGGGAGAGAGCTTTGAGCACTTGTTTATACAGCTGGGTTTTGGCTCAAGAGCTCAAGTTAAAGCATTTTAGCTAAGGAAAAATAGGGATTTTGGTGCAGTTTCAAACTGCCTGCACAGTCAGTTTTGGGTTTGGGAAACCCATTCCTTCAAGACGACCCCACGAAACGGGAAGCGATTTCGCTCTGCCTCTGCCGGCCGTTTTCTGAAGTGTTCGAGTTTTCTTCCCACAGAGATGTCTGAAACGGGAAGCAAGTTGGTCGACTCGGAGCTGGAGAATGCCATCAACGGCGTCCGGCAGATGAAGGTCCTCATGGACCAGACCAGCAGGGACCACCGGGATATCTTGAACGCTTTGGAGGACACGAAGAAGCAGAAGGAGGTCTGTCTGCACAACTTCCCCCCAAATGCCCCACTCTTGCAAAAGATGCAACTCAAAGCTGACCAGCAGCGCCTTTGGGGTGAGGTCAAATTACTGCAACCTTGCAACCGCTTGACCTCGCCCCCAAAGGTGCTGGTTTTGACATTTAATTTTCCCCCAATTTTTTTTATTGGTTTTCCAAATTTATAACAAACACAACAACAAACAAGAAAAACATTACAATATCGAAAAACAAACAAACAAACATTTATCCTATCAGTAAAAATTCCAGTTTTGTTACCATTGTTGGGTGACTTCCTCAAATCCCCCTAGCTGAGTTTCCATGTAACTCATTGTAGCAATTTTCGAACACTATTTTCATATAAAATTGACTTGTTCAATTAACATCTTTCTTTCTTTTCATTTTGACTTCTATCCGTAGTATTATACAATTTCACATATTTAAATCCTAGGCCAATCTGTTACTCGCAGGTAGTTCTATTTAAATTAACATATTTAAATAAATAATCCTTAAATTTCTACCATTCCTCTTGGTACTCCTCCTCCTTCTGGTCGCGGACTCTTCTGGTCAGGTCGGCTAACTCCAAAAAATCCATCATCTTCATCTGCCATTCCTTCACTGTTGGTATTTCTTGTGATTTCCAGTTTCTGGCCAGCAAAATTCTAGCTGCAGTTGTGGCATACAAAAACAATCTGACATCTTTCTTGGGCGATTCCAAACCTATTATTCCAAGTTGAAAGGCTTCTGGTTTCTTAATAAATGTGTATTTCAACATTTTTTCCAATTCATTATAAGTCTTTCCCCAGAAGTCTTTTCACCTTGGGACATGTCCACCACATATGGTAAAAGGTACTGTATTTTTTGCTCCATAGGACGCACTTTTCCTCCCTTAAAAAGTAAGGGGAAATGTCTGTGCGTCTTATGGAGCGAAGCCAGCAAGAACCACTGATGCTGACACGCTTTGCGCAGCTCTTCCAGCTCATTGTAAAGCCAGCAAGAGCCGCTGCTGCTGACCTGAGCCGGGGAGGAGGGAGAGAAGGGGATTCCGTCCGTCCCTCCCTCCTCCATGGCTCACTTGGAAGCAGCAAAGTGGGAGGGAAGCCGCTTACACCCGTGTAAGCAGCTCCTCTCCCACTTTCCTGCTTCAAAGCAACCATGGAGGAGGGAAGGAAGGGGATCCATGCAGTGGATTCCCTCCTCCAGGGCTCCCTTTGAAGCAGCAAAGTGGGAGGGGAGTAGCTTACACTCGTGTAAGCAGCTCCTCTCCCACTTTCCTACTTCAAAGCGGAGGGAATCCGCTGCAGTTGCGAGCAGAGGATCCATGGCTCCGCTTCCTTCCCTCGAAGCAGGGTGCGGGGGTGCAGGGGGGAAAGAGGGCAGGAAATAGATGCCAGGCAGGAAGACACAACCACACTTTGACCACTGGAAAGTCCACCTCAGCCTCCCCAGATTTCCACTGAGACGGCCAGGCTAATCTCGATGGCCATAAGTCAGGCAATTCATTATTAACTGGACTTAGATAAGCCATGGTTTCCCTTTCTACCCTCCTCTGAGGCTCGATTTAAAGCAGGAAAGCGGACAGGAGCCGCCCGCTTTGCTGCTTTAAATAATTTAGTGCAATATTTGATCCGAATATTTTTTTCCCCTGTTTTCCTCCTCTAAAAACTAGGTGCGCCCTATGGTCAGGTGCGCCCTATGGAGCGAAAAATACGGTACCTTCTTTTTCTTTACATTTCCAACATAGATTGTGGTAAAGATTTTGCTAGTTTTATGGAGGCTGAGTACCATCTATACATCATTTTCATAACATTTCCCTTTAACGCCGTACATGCAGTGAACTTGACCCCTTTCCTCCACAACCTTTCACAGTCTTCAAACATTATGTTATGTCCGACATCTCTTGCCCAATCTATCATCACAGATTTAACTTGTTCATCCTTTGTGTGCCTCTCCAACAATACATTTCCAATGTAAAGAAAAGGAAGGTACCTTTTATCACATGTGGTGGACATGTTCCAAGGTGAGAGACTTCTGGGAAAAGATTTATAATGAATTAAAAAAAAATGTTGAAATATACATTTATTAAAAAACCAGAGGCCTTTCTCCTTGGAATAATAGGTTCTGAACTGCCCAAGAAAGATGTAAAGTTATTTTTGTATGCCACAACTGCTGCTCGAATTTTAATAGCCAAGAAATGGAAAACACAAGAACTGTGAAAGAATGGCAGATGAAAATGATGGAATATATGGAGCTGGCTGACCTTACTGGAAGAATCTGCGACCAAAAAGAAGAGGAATACCAAGAAGAGTGGAAGAAATTTAAGGACTATTTGCATAAATACTGTGATATTAAAAATTAGAAATTACTTGAAAGTACCAAAATAGGGCTAGGATTAAATTAAGAGTTAATCAAATAAATAAGATTTTGAACTTTAAGGAAAGTTAAGAAATTTTATTTTAATTAGAATATTGTGGGGTTTTTTTTTTTAAAAAAGAGATCAGAAAACGACTACATTTTAATTACAAGAAAATTCAGATGGGATGGCTCAGAGGAAGCCCAAAATATGTTTATGAGGTTAGAAGTCTAATTAATTAATTAATTTGTGTTGTTTAGGTTGTTTAGGTATTTACCGGTACCTTGTTTTGACTCTCTGTTTTGTTTATATTTGTGATCTTGTCTTTTTTCCTTTTTGTTTCCCCCCTGTTTTTCTTTTGTTGTGATATGTGTTATATCTGTAAGAAACTTAATAAAAATTATTAAGTTAAGTTAAGAAGGATTTATATCTAGATGTTAGGATAGAGATGATAAAGAAAACAGGAAGACACAATGAGAGATAAAGGAGGTGCTGTGGGATGGGTGGAAGTCAATGTCTTGTTGTTTTAGTGTTTATAATATTAACTTGTAAGCTATGGGTTTGTTTTGTTTTTGTTGTTGTTTTTTTAGTTTTCGAATGTTGATTTTTGTGCATTGTGTATTGTTACTTTTTGATATCTTTCGTGTTGTTGCTGTTGTGTGCAAAATACTAATAAAATTTATTTTTTTAGAAAAATATTTTTTTAAAAAACACACAATACATTTCCAACATTTATTACTTGTCTTTTTTTTAAAAAAAAAAAAATTATTAATTTTCCAACCGTTTAAACACAACAAAACAGAAAAACAAAAAACAAACAAAACAAACATAGGACTAACAAAACAAGACACAAACCATTTAAAACACAAAACAATTTCAATATCTTAACTTTCATTCCCTTATTTCCACGACCTCCTCACACCTCCCTTTTTGTATTCCACTTCTGTTAATTGTTTCAGCAATTCCTTTCCATCTTCCTCTGTTTTCTATCCTATAATTATCTTAATATATTCTAACCTTATTTTTCCCTTTAATACTCTATTAATCTATTTATACTTAATTCCTTATAGCATTTCTACTAAAGCCATATAACTTCATTCCAACATTTTTCTAACATTCATTATTTTTACAGTATTTCTATAAATAGTCTTAAACTTTTTCCAGTCTTCTTCCACCGACTCTTCTCCCTGGTCTCGGATTTCTGCCAGTCGTTTCCGCCAATTCCATATAGTCTATCAACTTCATCTGCCATTCTTCCCGAATAGATAAATCTTGTGTCTTCCAGTACTTCACAATGAGTATTCTTGCTGCTATTGTTGCATACGTGAAAAAAGTTCTATCCTTCTTTAACACCAATTGGCCGACCATGCCCAGGAGAAAGGCCTCTGGTTTCTTCAAAAGGGTATATTTAAATACCTTTTTCATTTCGTTAGGAATCATCTCCCAAAGTGTCTTAATCCTTTGCCCTCTTGCAAAGAACTTAACAGCCCTGTTTGGCTTTTGTAGGAAGCTCTCCTCCTTGCCCAGGAGACTGAGAAACAGCTGAGCGAGAAGGAGGTCTGCAACGAGACCATGTTGGCCCTCTGGGAAGAGTGCAAGCCTTGCTTGAAACAGACCTGCATGAGGTTTTACACCCGGACGTGCCACAGTGGAGCCGGTCTGGTCGGCAGGCAGGTGAGCATGTGATTTGGGTACCCCAAGAATCCGCCTGGAGAACCGGGGAAACATCTGATACGGAAAGATAAATATCTGGATGGGGCCAGGCGGGGCACACAGGGTCGGGCATGGCAAGTCAGCCAGAGAAGGCTCTGTCCCTCGTCCTCCCTTGTTGCGCCAGGGGCCAGGGATCAGGACCTCAGGGGATGAACGGGGTCCCCAGGAGTGGGCATATGGAAGAAAGTCCTTAAGGTACCCAGACTCTGCAAACTATTTTGGGTTTTAAAGGGGTGAAGCAGCCTAGGGCTGGAGGTTCTGGTCGCCTCGCCTCTGAAAGGATATCGAAGAGTTGGAAAAGGTTCGGGAAAGGGCACCCAGAATGATCTCACGGGGATGGGGTAGCTCCCTAATAATAACAATAACAATAATAATAATAATTTATTTATACCCCGCCCATCTGGCTGGGGTCTCCCCAGCCACCCTGGGCAGCTTCCAACAAAGTATTAAAATACAGTAGTCTGTTAAACATTAAAAGCTTCCCTAAAGAGGACTGCCTTCAGATGTCTTCTAAAAGTCTGGTAGTTGTTGTTCTCATGTTGTGAACGGGCCTCCAGAACAGATCTTGTTCGCAAGCAGAGGTACCACTGTACATTAATAATAATAATAATAATAATAATAATAATAATAATAATTTATTATTTATACCCCACCCATCTGGGCAGCTTCCAACCAAGTATTAAAATACAGTAGTCTGTTAAACAGGGACACGGGTGGCGCTGTGGGTTAAACCACAGAACCTAGGACTTGCCGACCACAAGGTCGGCGGTTCGAATCCCCGCAATGGGGTGAGTTCCCGTTGCTCAGTCCCTGCTCCTGCCCACCTAGCAGTTCGAAAGCATGTCAAAGTGCAAGTAGATAAATAGGTACCCCTCCAGCGGGAAGGCAAACGGCGTTTCCGTGAGCTGCTCTGGTTCGCTAGAAGCGGCTTAGTCATGCTGGCCACATGACCCAGAAGCTGTACGCCGGCTCCCTCGGCCAATAAAGCGAGATGAGCGCCGCAACCCCAGAGTCGGCCACAACTGGATCTAATGGTCAGGTGTCCCTTTACCTTCTACCTTAGTCGGTTAAACATTAAAAGCTTCCCTAAAAAGGGCTGCCTTCAGATGTCTTCTAAATGTCAGGTAGTTGTTTATCTCTTTGACATCTGTTGGGAGGGCATTCCACAGGGTGGGTGCCACCATCTGGGAGAGGCACACTGCTGCCTGGTTGCCCAGCGCAGCGCTGGCTCGCGGGAAGGAACCGCCAGAAGGCTCATGGCGCTGGACCTCAGTACCCAGGCTGCAGCAATGGAGAAGCTGGCAGGCGGCTCCTTCAGGTATACTGGACTGAGGCCATTTAGGGCTTTGCCAAGGTGCAGCATCAACACTTGATGTGCTCGACGCTGCTGGGGCCAATGTAGGTCTTTCAAGACCGGTGTTATGTGGTCTCGGCGACTGCTCCCAGTCCCCAGTTTAGCTGCCGCATTCTGGATTAATTGCAGTTTCCGGGTCACCTTCAAAGGTAGCCCCATGTAGAGCGCATTGCAGTAGTCCAAGCGGGAGATAACCAGAGCATGCACTGCTCTGGCGAGGCAGTCTGCGGGCAGATAGGGTCTCATCCTGCGTACCAGATGGAGCTGGTAAACAGCTGCCCTGGACACAGAACTGACCTGTGTCTCCATGGACAGCTGTGAGTCCAGAATGACCCCCAGGCTGCGCACCAGGTCCTTCTGGGGCACAGTTACACCATTCAGGACCAGGGAGTCCTCCACACCTGCCCACCCCCTGTCCTTCCCAAAACAGTACTTCTGTCTTGTCAGGGTTCAACCTCAATCTGTTAGACGCCATCCGTCCATTATCTGGAAAGGTTGCAACATTGGGGACTTTTTATGCCGGGGCATGCGCAGAGTGCCCACTGCAATGCCAGGAGAGTGTGCCGAAAGAACACGGCAACACCAAACCGTTCTAGGAAGAGTCAATTGCTTTGCTGACAGTATAATGCGGTTTCACACAGTTGTAGATCCTTGCAGCATATAGATGATGTTCTGAAGCTTGCCGCAACCACATCAGCATTTATACTCTATATTGTGCTGACTCGTTCTCACATGCTTGCTGACTCATTCTCACATGCTTAACTAGCTGCAGGTGCAGGATGAGGCACGGCCAAATTAAACAGCACACCAAAACCAGCCGTTTCTTGTCCCCTTTCTTCTGTGTGCATAAACCTACACTAACATTTTAATTTAAAGAAAAGGCGAGTACGAGGTGTCATGCCAGAAGTTCATGAAATTATGTGCAGTGTGGAGAAAGGGGATCGAGAAAGTTTTTCTTCCTCTCTCCTAGCACATTGAGTGAAGCTGAAAGTTGGAAGATTCGGGGCAGTGAAGAGAAAGGGCTTCTTAACATAGTTAAACTATGGAACTCATTGCCACAGGAGGTAGAGAGGAGAACCAACCTGGATTAGGAAAATTCATGGAGGAGTGGCTCCTAGTCAGGATGGCACTCAGAGGCAGCGATGCTTCTGAATCCCAGGTGCTGGAAAACCCAGGAGGGAGAGGGCTCCTGAGTTCGAATCCTGCTTGGGGGTTTCCCTTTGGGACATCTGATTGGCCACTTTGAGAACCAGAAAAGGCTGCTGGATCAAGCCAAGTGGCTGTGGGAAACCGGCGAGCAGGATTCATGCATGAGAGCAATTCTGCGTTCCTAGAGGGTTTCCGCAACTGGTAAAAAGGCGAAGCGAGAGGTTCCAGCAGGCTCTTCATAGGTTCTTAGGCAGGGTCAGCAAACTTTTTCAGCAGAGGGCCGGTCCACTGTCCCTCAGACCTTGTGGGGGGCCGGACTATATTTTGGAAAAAAAATATGAATGAATTCCTATGCCCCACAAATAACCCAGAGATGCATTTGAAATAAAAGGACACATTCTACTCATGTAAAAACACACTGATTCCCAGATTGTCTGTAGGCCAGATTAAGAAGGAGATTGGGCCGGATCTGGCCCCCAGTCCTTAGTTTGCCTACCCGTGTTCTTAGGCATTGCTAAACCAGTTGTGGGCAGCTACCTGCCATGACTCTCTGTAACGAAGTTTTGACTGGTCCAAAATCCCATTCACCGTTTCCCTCTCCCTGCTGCCCTACCGCTTGACGTTCCCACTGGATTATCCTCCAGGGCTTAGCTGATGGGGAACGGAGTTCCCTAATTGTAGGGACCCCTTTCCCCATCTTGTGGTTTAGTTTAATTTAATTTAATTTAATTTATATACCACCCTATACCCGGGGTTTCAGGGCAGTTCACAGAATAAAATTAAGATATAAAACCACAACATATAATCAGAGTAAAGACAACAACCCAATAACACCCCCCCCATAAAAGAAACACGTTTTAAAAGGGCATAGGATGCCAATCAGATCAACCAAAGGCCTGGTTAAAAAGGAACGTTTTTGCCTGGCGCCTAAAGGTGTATAATGAAGGCGCCAGGTGATCGTCCCTGGGAAGAGCATTCCACAGACGGAGCCACTGCAGAAAAGGCCCTGTTCTAAACTAATGCAAGATGTTCCTCCTTAGAGCTGATGGCCAGGGGCTGTGGGGCATTCGCTGCCCTTGTTCAGGATGGAGGGACCCTCTTGGGCGCAGAGCAGACCCTCTTGGTAGTTCCTCCGCCTCTGGGGGCCCCAGGGAGAGACAGACTTCTCCATGGGACTCCCTCCTCTTTGCCACCCTGACCTGTTCCTTTTGAGGGGAATGATTTTAGGAACCACCTTATTTTCATGGCTGTAAGCTGTTTTATGGGACACGGGTGGCGCTGTGGGTTAAACCACAGAGCCTAGGACTTGCCGATCAGAAGGTCAGCAGTTCGAATCCCCGCGACGGGGTGAGCTCTTGTTGCTCTGTCCCTGCTCCTGCCAACCTAGCAGTTCAAAAGCATGTCAAAGTGCAAGTAAATAGGTACCACTCCAGCGGGAAGGTAAACGGCGTTTCTGTGCGCTGCTCTGGTTCGCCAGAAGCGGCTTAGTCCTGCTGGCGACATGACTTGGAAGCTGTACGCCGGTTCCCTTGGCCTATATAGTGAGATGAGCGCTGCAACCCCAGAGTCGTTCGCAACTGGACCTAATGGTCAGGGGTCCCTTTACCTTTAAAGGTGTATAATGAAAGTGCCAGGCGAACTTCCCTGGGGAGAACATTCCACAGACGGGGAGCCACTGCAGAGAAGGCCCCGCTCTCGTGTTGCCACCCTCTGGACCTCTCGAGGAGGCGGCACACGAAGGAGGGCCTCAGAAGATGATATTGGGGTCCGGGTTGGTTCATATGGGGAGAGGCGGTCCTGAGCCGTTTAAGGCTTTCTAGGTGTAGACGCTGCAAGGATGCTCTGGGCTTTTCTCTGCTCTCGCTGCTCCAGCTGGAGGACTTCCTCAACCACTCCTCGCCCTTCACGATCTGGGTCAACGGGGAGCGCATCGACTCACTGAAGGACGCGGACGAGGACCAAGGCCAGCGGCTGGACGACCTGGAGGAACGCTACAGCCTGGTCGAGGGTGGCGTGGACGACCTCTTCCAAGAGAGCACCCAGGCCTACGGCCACCTGGCCCCCTTCTTCCAGTCGCCCTTCAGCGGCTTCCGAGATATGTTCTGGGGTCCCATCCGCAGCATCCGCCTCCCGGGGTCCCGCCTGGCCCGGGACGTGTCCCCCTTCCCCGCCTTCCCTGGCCAGTACCGACCCCACCAGGACTTCCACCAGCTCTTCCAGTCGCTCCACCAGATGACCCAGCAGCTCATGGACGGGGTGCAGAAGGGGCCCTTTGGCCAGTGGCCGGAAGGACGGCCGGGGCTTTCCCTGGGGAGGTTCCCGACAGGTGAGTGGAGATGGCGGGCAGGTGAGCAGGTCTGGCCTCTGACACCCATCCAAAATTGCCCGCCTGCTGGGCAATAGATACAGGACATACAGTAGATTCCAGCGTATTAGGCAACTGGGCGTATAAGACGACCCCCCAAATTGGCAGCTCCAACTTGGGGGGGTCGTCTTATACGCTTCGGCAGCTTCGCCGGGCAGCTTCCTCCCAGTGCAGTTAAAAAGTTGTCTTATATGCCGGAATCTACGGTAATACAGATTTTAACCTCTGGGAAAAACTTTGGAAAAGCAATTTGAAGTTTACAGCATGTTATTCCCTGAGGGAGAACTACTTGAAAATGATTTACAGATGGTATTGTCCAGTAGCACCTTAGAGACCAACTCAGTTTGTTCTGGATATAAGCTTTCGTGTGCATGCACACTTCTTCAGATACCTACCTGAATCTAGATGGTGTTTAACTCCGAGTAGGCTTGCTTAAATGTATAAGACTGAATCAGATAGGTACTGGAGATGCAAAGAGGCAGAGGGAATGTTCTTTCATATGTGGTGGACTTGTAAAAGGGTAAAAGTATTGGGAATTGATCCATAATGAATTGGAAAAAAATCTTTAAAAGCACTCCTCCCCCCCAAAAAAACACCAAAGTCCTTTTTGTTGGGGATAATGGAGACAAGTAGAAAGTGTAGTCCCCAGCCCAGATCAGAATTGGGACCTGTGCTTTTTGACTTGTTTGCAAATTATCTAGAGCCCCGGGTGGTTAGAACCAAAAGGGGTTGCCAAGAGCTGCAAAAGGAGTGAATGGGTGGTAAAACGGGAAACCCAGTTAGATGTTGACAAGTGTAAAGTGTCAGGGAAAAAAAATATCTTAATTTCACACCTGCACTCGTGGGGTCTGAACTGATGAACTAGGAACGAGACCTTGAGCTTGGAGTGGATGGTTTGATGAGGAGGTTGACCCTGTGTGTGGCAAACACCATGCTAGGAATCATTAGGAAAGGAACTGGAAATTAAACTGCCAGTATCGTGATGCCGTTATGCAATGAGTCAGGTCAATGGGTCCATGTAGCTCCATATTGCCTGCACAGACTGGTAGCAGTTATACCCAGTTTCAGGCAGGAGATACGTCCAGCTCCAGTGGGGATGGGCCCTTCTGCTGGCCTGGTTCTGAGCACCCAGCAGCCCCCTTTTCCCATTAGGATGGTGGCGAGGAAAGCATTACGATACTTGCAGTTCCCCTTGGCTTTAATGGAAGATGCCAGTTTGTGTCTTGGGTGCATCAGGGAGGGACTAGAAGCCCCCGCCATTAGAGTCACCGTCTCTCTCCTTCTCTGCCAGGGGCTCCCAGTCCTGCGGACGACCGCCTGGTGTGCCGTGAGATCCGCCGCAATTCTGCCGGCTGCCTGAGGATGAGGGAGAAGTGCGAGAAATGCCAGGCCATCTTGGACGTCGGTGAGTCGGTCAAGGCTGCCTCTTGATTCATGAAAACAACTTCCCTTTGGGGGGCAGTGTTCTCTTTTTGGGTTGGAGCCCCCCCACCCCACCACTGTCCATTCAGTTTTCTTGTTGTTGTTTAGTTGTGTCCGCCTCTTCGTGACCCCCTGGACCAGAGCCCACCAGGCCCTCCTGTCTTCCACTGCCTCCCGCAGTTTGCTCAAACTCAGCCTGGTAGCTTCGAGAACACTGTCCAACCATCTCGTCCTCTGTCGTCCCCTTCTCCTTGTGCCCTCCATCTTTCCCAACATCAGGGTCTTTTCCAGAGAGTCTTCTCTTCTCATGAGGTGGCCAAAGTCTTGGAGCCTCAGCTTCACGATCTGTCCTTCCAGTGAGCACTCAGGGCTGATTTCTTTAAGAATGGATGCGTTTGATCTTCTTGCAGTCCATGGGACTCTCCAGAGTCTCCTCCAGCACCAGAATTCAAAAGCATCCATTCTCTGGCGATCAGCCTTCTTTATGGTCCAGCTCTCACTTCCATTCATCACTACTGGGAAAACCATAGCTTTAAGTATACGTTGGCAAGGTGATGTCTCTGCTTTTTGAGATGCTGTCTAGGTTTGTCATTGCTTTTCTCCCAAGAAGCAGGCGTCTTTTAATTTCGTGGCTGTTGTCACCATCTGCAGTGATCATGGAGCCCAAGAAAGTAAAATCTCTCACTTGCCTCCATTTCTTCCCCTTCTATTTGCCAGGAGGTGATGGGCCCAGTGGCCATGATCTTTGTTTTTTTGATGTTGAGCCTCAGACCATATTTTGCGCTCTCCTCTTTCACCCTCAATAAAAGGTTCTTTAATTCCTCCTCACTTTCTGCCATCGAGGTTGGGTCATCTGCATATCTGAGGTTGTTAATATTTCTTCCAGCAATCTTAATTCTGGCTAGGGATTCATCCAGCCCAGCCTTTCGCATGATGAATTCTTCATATAAGTTAAATAAGCAGGGAGACAATATACAGCCTTGCCGTACTCCTTTCCCAATTTTGAACCAATCAGTTGTTCCATATCCAGTTCTAACTGTAGCTTCTTGTCCCACATAGAGATTTCTCAGGAGACAGATGAGGTGATCAGGCACTCCCATTTCTTTAAGAAATTGCCATAGTTTGCTGTGGTCGACACAGTCAAAGGCTTTTGCACAGTCAATGAAGCAGTTTTCTTACAGAGTTTTCTTACAGTTTTCTTACAGAGCCTGAATTTTGGGGTCAGGAGCTGCAATGGGTTTGGAGTAACTTTGCAGGAGATGGGCCACTTAGTTCTTCCTCGCCTGGATTGCCCAGTTCTGGGTGCCAAAGATGGGGAGGGTCTGTGCCATCATAAAATCAGAAAGTTGGAAGGGACAATGAGGGTCATTTAGTCCAGCCCCCTAAAATGCAGGAATCATTTGCCCAAAGTGGGGCTCAAATCCACGACCCCAAGATAAAGTATCTCTTGCTCTACTGACCGAGCGCTTTGCTCTGGATCAATTTTGAAAATAATATTTCATTGACAATTCCTTATTGTTTCACTGGGGTGTCTAGTAAAAAAACCAAAACATTTATTGCGGTACGGCTTGATTTCATATCCTTTACACATAAGGAGGCATGTGGACAAATGGTCGTTCCTGCTTGTGCTAAAGTATGGGTTTCATGAAAATACAGTCAATAAGACACAATAAACCCATGTTCTTTTATTTTATCATATCTTATTCTGATTGTCTCTCTGTTCAAATGATGTGCACATGATAAGATGGCAAGGAAATTAAGATGAACATTTTTGTCTGATCCAGCCAATGTATTGATAATTACTGGGGTGTTTCCCTCCCCCAAATATTTGGAATATTCTCAAACATATTCTGCTGTACTCATGTTCCATGCATAATGAGGCTGCATAATACTTCTTTTCCTGGCATATTTTCTCTCTCTCCTATTCTTTCTGTAAATTTTTCCTTTTCTTATACAGTGGATGCTCTGGTTGTGAACGTGATCCGTGTGTGAGGCACGTTCGCAACCCGCAGCGTTTGCAACCTGCAGTGTCGCGTCTGCGCAAGTGCGGGTTGTGATTCAGTGTTTCTATCCATGTGCAAAGCACGATTTCTTGATTCTGCGCATGCGCGAGTGCCGAAACCCGGAAGTAACCCATTCCGGTACTTCCGGGTTTCGGCGTGTCTGTAACCCGAAAACACGCAACCTGAAGCGTCTGTAACCCGAGGTCTGACTGTAATTTTAAAATATCAGTAAAAATTATATGGGGGAAAAAGATGAGGGTGTTTTGCTCTGGATCCTTCGCTTTCCAGAAGGATCTTTGATCAAAGATTCTGTGCTCCACAATTTTATGATTCTATTATTCCCTCGACCTTTGCTTCCCTGCCTCCAAACCTCCTCCAGATTGCTCCCAGACAGACCCGGAGCAGACCCTGCTGAGAGAGCGTTTTGAGGACGCCCTTCGACTGGCGGAGCGCTTTACCCGGAGATACGACGAAATCCTCAAGGCTTTCCAGGAGGAGATGCTCAACACCACCAGTCTCCTGGACCAGCTCAACCAGCAGTTTGGCTGGGTGTCCCGCCTGGCCAACGTCACGCGGAATAGCGACAAACTTCTGCAGGTCACCATGGTGGGTATCTCCTTGCCCCTGTGCCTAGTCCGCCCATAATGCTCTGCCATGCTTTGCTCAGCCTAACTATGGGTTGTTTGCATGTGCGGATGCAGCCAAGCACACTGATCATGGTTTGTTTTCTACCAGCAAACCAGGGTTTGCCTTACGGACCATGGTTTAACAGTGGTTTGGCATTATGTCCAAACACAAAAACCTTGCTTAGCCATGGTTGTTTTTTGTTGTTGTTGTGAGTCGTGGTTGTTTGTTGTTGTTGTAATTTACAGTGGACGCTCGGTTTGCGAATATGATCCGTGCAGGATGCACGTACGCAACCCACAGCGTTCGCAACCCACGTCTGCGCACACGTGGGTTGTGATTCAGCGCTTCTGTGCATACGCAAAGCAAGATTTAGTGCTTCTGCACATGCGCGACCGCCGAAACATGGAAGTAACCCATTCCACAACCCAAAAGTTGTGGCTTTTGTTAATCTTTAGGTAGATTTTTGGGCCAGGAAACAGAGTTCACATATAGGTGGTAAAACGCCTGTCTTTCCTTTTACTGCCTATTTGTGACCTCTGGGATTTGCTAAATGCATTCCTCCTGGGTTCCTGTTTTATTTAGCCTAAACATGTATGCATGCTCAAAATAGGAAATAGTTCTTTGTAGTTAAGAAGCTTTCTCTGATCGGACTTTGTCCACACGTGGGGATTTTCTGAAATGCTCAGGGGAAATCTGATTGATTCTTACAAACGCTTTGTAAAAGTTCTTTTGTTAATAAGAATGACCTGGGCCAGGGAGTGGGATGCGCACTTTCTCCCAGGGTCTTGCTGGTCAAGCCTCTTGTCTATTGTATTAATTGGGGTCCAGTCCTTCCTTTGCCTTCAGAACGCAACACTGGTCACAGCTGGGAGAATCCAGTGTGCAGCAAGAACTGCCTTCTGAATCGCTTGCATGTGCGAAGAGCCATTGATCTGCTTCCCCCTCTTCTCCAAGGTGGCGACCAAAACTTCTGACCCCGAGGACCCAGCCCAGCCGTCGGACACACAGGTGACCGTCCAGCTCTTTGACTCTGAGCCGCTGACCCTGTTGGTGCCGGGGGACCTGGAAGTGAAAGACCCCCGATTCATGGACCTAGTGACCAAGCAGGCCATCCGCCAGTTCAAGGCCAATGAAGTGTAAGTGTCCAGAGGGCTCAGTAGCTAGAGCCATCCGCCTTGCAGGGGAAAGGTTCTGGGTTCGAAATGCGGTGGCACTTCCAGGTAGGGCTGGGGGGAGACTCTGTGCCTGAAACCCCAGACAGCCATGGCTGCCAATCCGTGTAGACCAGGGTTTCCCAAACTTGGGTCTCCAGCTGGTTTTTTGGGGGACTACAACTCCCATCATCCTGAGCTAGCAGGGGATGATGGGAATTGTAGTCCGGAAATAGCTGGAGAGAGAGAGCATTGTGGAGTAGATCTGGTCCCATTTTTTAAGCAGGGGTTGGATGGCCACCAGGGATGGATGCTTTTAGCTGAGATTCCTTTCTTGCAGGGGGTTAGACTAGATGACCCTGGGGTGTCCCTCCCATCTTGTGATTCATTATTCTTATCCCCCTACAGGTACAATTCCCAGAGTTCCCTGTGAATGATTGATTGCTAAAGCACTCTTTTGGCCACATTCACACCATATCTTTAAAGCGCTATTTAGTTTATAAAAACTGCTTGATTTAAAATGAGAAAAAGACCGCAAAGTGGTTTAAAAAAAAAAAGATTAAAAAATTATTGACAGAAATTTCAGACTTTTGAAAAGTTAAAATAACGGTAGACCAAACAACAGATTAACTAGATACCATTTTAAACAGTAATAGCTTCTCAGAAAAAAATCTGGGAGCTGTAGTTTTCAGGGCGCCGAGATTCTTATTCCCCCTGCAGAGCTACAATTCGCAGAGCGATTTATGGCTTAACCATCCTTCCTTCTCCACGGCGAACTCTGGAAATTGTAGCTCTCCACGCCTTGAGAAAACTACAGTTCCCAGGGTTCTTTGGGGCCAGCCGTGACTGTTTAAAGCAGTTCCATAGCGGCTCTTTGGGCTCTACCATTCAGGACCGCGGGAGGGGGGTCTCGCGTGGGATTGGAGTTCGCTCACTGGCGTGTTCCATCACGTGACACCCCTCCCTGCACCCAGTCCGAAGGGGTCCACCCCAGACACAGGGCTACTTAACTTTTGGGGGGAAACTGAGCCCCTTGAGCTTTAGCCGAGGCAGATGGCGCAGGGTCCCCCGAGAGGCCATGCCTCGAATTGGGGGCTCCAAACGGTGTGGCCCCCCTCTCAGAAATGAGCTGGGCTCCATGGGCTCTTCTTAAGGAGCTTCCAAGGCCAGGGGCAGTCTACCTGGATTCCTAGCTTCCCAGGGGTATTGGCCGCTGTATTTGGCTATTCACCGTATTTTTCGCTCCATAAGACGCATCTGGCCATAAGACGCACCTAGTTTTTAGAGGAGGAAAGGGGGAAAGCCCCCTTTTTTTGAGGATCAGCTCACAGTTGTTGAGCTTACTTTGCAAAGGGAAAAAATCCTGCTTTTATGGGGTTCAACTCACAGTTCTGCAGCTTCTTTAGGAAAGGAAAGGGAGCCCTTTCTGCAGTTTCCAGACAGATAATCTAATCAGCCAGTCCCATGTCGCTGGGGAAACAAACAGCCTCCGTCTGCAGAACATTCAAAAATGGAGGCCTGGGCAAGGGAGCGGGGCCAGAAAGGCATAGCTGTCAAGTGTCCCTTATTTGGCGGGAAACTCCCTTATCCCAGCGCCATGTCCCGCTGCTGTCCCTTATTGATGATGTCCCTTAATTTCCTGGGTTTCACGCTCGCCCGGCTTTGGAGGGAAGCAGCGGCTCGGGGTCCTCTGCCTCGAGAGAGCAAGAGAGAGAGCGCGCACAAGCTGCCGCGTCTCCGTCTCTCCCTTTCCCCCCTCAGGGGCGCATTGTGAGGAGACGGGTGGCAGCGGTCGGGCAGTCAGCCCCTCTCTTGCAAGACTTCTGCTGCGCTGCCAGGGGAAGCCGGAGGCGGCAGCGGCTGAGGAGGCAGCCTGAGGGAGGAGGAAGAGGAGGGGATGGGGAGGGACGCAGAAGGGCGGCGCCGCAACCGATTCATGCCAGGCTTGCGGGCAGCGTGGCCGAGTGTCTCTGTTCCTCCCTCCCTCTCTCTCGGGCGGGGAAGGGCCGATGGAACTCCTCGCACCAGGACAATGGCAGCCCCGATGTGCTGCTTAGCATCCCCTCCAACCAGTGCAGCATCTTAATGTAGTGATTTCCCCCTCTGCATCCCTTTCCTAACTCTATTTTTATAAATCATTTGTCCATCCATAGTTCAAATTTTTACTACAAGTTTTCTGTCAATCTTACCAATGTATGTAACTCTTTACAATAGCTTTTCAGCTAAATTATATACTTTCCCCATTCTTAATTAAAGAGGTCCTCTTCCTGGTTTCTAATTCTGCCTGTAAGCTTTGCCGTCTGGACGTCGTTCATCAGTTTTGTCTGCCACTCTTCTTTGGTCGGAGTTGTAGACCCTTAGGATCATCTAGTCCAACCTCCTGCATAACACAGTCAGTCGCAGCGAAAGCAGCCTGGCTCCATCAGTGGCAGATTTCTGTATAAGCTAAGCAAAATCCCTTATTTTGGCTGCTGATCCCTTATTTTCGAGGCTGCTGGTCCCTTATTTTCAAATCTGTAAGTTGACAGCTATGCAGAAAGGGAGCCAGCAATCGGCCACACATTCATTCCATAAGACGCACAGACCATAATTCGTTCCATAAGACGCACTTGCTTTTTAGGAGGAAAAAGGTGCGTCTTATGGAGCGAAAAATACAGTAGTTCTTCCGCAACAAATAACTTTCTCTTTCCCCCTTCTCTCTCCCCCCCCTTCAAACAGGGAGTAGCTTTGCCTCCCCCCCCCCCGCCTGCCCCCCCTGGATCTCAGGCCACGACAAGGGAGAGAGAGAGAAGCCATAGCCTTCTGCTGTTCCTGCTGCCAATACTCTCTTAGCACGCCTCCGAGGACCTTCGCCCGCCAAGCGCTGTCCGTCTGTCTTAGTAGTTTACACTGTACCGCCTGCCCTGTTTTTGCTGCTGGGTCTTTGCTGATCCGAACCCGAAATAAAAGATTATATTAGGCCCAATGCTCTGGGACGTATTGGTGCTATGTGTGTTTCCTATAGGTTTGGTTTTCTAGAGGAAAAACCTTAGGAACAACTTTCTGAGACTTAAGAGCCGTTGGACTCCCTTTGAAAGTGGACCTTCCTTCCCTGGAGGTTTTTAAACAGAGGTCCGGTGGCCGACTGCTGGGGTTCATTAGCGGCGATTTTTGCATTGCGGAGGGTTGGGATAGATGACCGCTGAGGGTCCCTTCCAAGCCTATAGTTCTATGAATCTCTCTGTTTCAGTCATTAACCAGTAACTGCAAGCATGCGAGTTGGGTCCTTGGCGCTTGTGTACTTAATGAGCAGGTGAATTACCACCTTGCAAAATGTGCCAGCCCTTGTAGCTTGGCCCTTAGCACACTTTTAATATACAGTGCTCCCTTGGTTCTCGAACTTAATCCGTTCCGGAAATTCCGTTCCAAAACCAAAGCGTTCCAAAACCACGGTGCGCTTTCCCATAGAAAGTAATGCAAAATGAATTAATCCATTCCAGACTTTTTAAAAACAACCCTAAACAATTGCTATTGAACATGAATTTTACTATCCAACGAGACCACTGATCCATAAAATGAAAGCAATAAACAATGTACTGCAGTCACACAATCAATCAGTAGCTGAACTGGGTTCCACACAGTCACAAAAAAATAAGAGCCGCAAAAACAAAAATGCAAAATAAATAGCAAAAGCAGACAGATTTCAGTGTAACACTCAAAACGGAGCACATTCGGCTTCCAAAAAAAGTTCGCAAACCGGAACACTTATGGGTTCCAAGTTGTTTGGGTTCCAAGTTGTTTGAGTACCAAAGCGTTTGAGAACCAAGGTACCACTTTATAGAGACAAACAGCAAGGTTCACTAAGATTTCTCAGTCTCTGCCTGCAAACATGCCATAACTATAAAGCACATTTTCCCCACTAGATTCCATGGAGGGAAAATATGCTTTAAATGTATGGTGTGTTCGTAACCCCGGACTCTATTTGCTCTTCCTCAGGCTGAAAAATCACTCGCAGTTCTGAAAATTATTTTAGGATGCATCGCTGACAATACAAATTCGCAGCATGCATAGGCCGATCTCTCAGGTCTGTGATAAAAAGGGTCGTTCACAGGCTGGATTTTGTAGGGAACAAAAACGCAGTCAGTGGCTCAGTAGCCCAATTTATTAGCTTTATTTCCATATTTCACACTGGGGACACAACAGTTGCTAATACAGGTGCATGAGCAGACCCGAATTTGCCTTCTCTGTCCCCAACACCACCCCTGAAGTGTAGCTCTAATTTTACGCCTTCCTCTTAGAGGCTTAGAAAACCGAAAAGACCCCCGTCACCAATGCAAATCCAGCCACGCAAACACATACAAGCAGAAGCCTAGAGAGGGTGCTCAGATCTCCGTCGTCAGTGCAACAGCACGTTTAGCAACCGTGACAACCTTCACACAGTTGCGTGTGTGCTCCTTGTGTGAAAAGCACATATGCACATGGTCAGACATTTGCAAGTCGGCTGCAGATTTTGGATGTCTGGGAGGGAGCACGGGTGACCCAAATTTCTCAACCACCACCCTTGGCACTTGAACCCCAATTGCAATTCTAAAAAACCCTGATTTCAAAATTTAAAACTTTGCACTTCTCTCCTGGAGCAACCAGATTCAAGAGCTGTTCCAGCAACGTGGTTTTGTAAGGCAGAGTTGCTGCAAAAAGGCTGGCTTTTAGCTCCCTCCAGGTAGCATCACGGCTGGAAGTGGGCCGATGGGTTTTGGAAACTTGCAAGGTGACGTTCTCCCCGGCTGAAGGCAGCCAGTGCTAGGACACCTGCTTGGCCTGCAGAAGGTCCAAGGTAAACTCTCCACTGGCATCTCCAGGTAGGGCGGGGAGAGAACCCTGCCAGCCTGTGTAGACAGTGTAGACTTAGATGGACCCGAGGCTCTGACTCTGACAAGACACCTTCTTCCGAGAGCTCTGCACCCGTTATCATGACATCCCAGGGTGAGTGGAGGCAGCCTGGAGGTAGCAAGCCAGGCCAGGTCTGTCCGAAAAACGTGAGCACCCTCATTCCCCGAAAACTCGATTTTGCATGCCCACCGCAATCAACCACCCTACAGAAGTCGGAGCGCCGGATCTGTGGCTCAGCTCCTCCTCTGCTCCTGGATGGCCTTTGCCACGGACGCCACGGCGGCCTCGTTCATCTCGCAGGGGTAGAATCCGTCCTGGATGCTGTAGCAGGCATGCACCGTGCGCACCAGGGCTTCGTGCTGGACCTGCCGCTGGGTGTCTAAGATCTCTTGGGTGCTGCCCTTCGGCTTGTGGTGAAGGACGACCAAGACGGCTTTTCGCACTCCTGGGGTGGGGGGAAATGGAACAGAAACATTATCATTATCATTGATGTTATTTATTATTATTATTATTACATTGGTACCTCTGGATGTGAACGGGATCTGTTCCGGAGCCCCGTTCACATCCAGAAGCGAACGCAACCCACGTCTGCGCATGTCATGATTTGCCGCTTCTGCGCGTGACGTCATTTTGAGCGTCTGCGCATGCGCGAGTGGTGAAACCCGGAAGTAACGTGCTCCATTACTTCCGGGTTGCCACAGCATGCAAGCCGAAAATACTTATCCCGAAGCTACTTCAACCCGAGGTATGACTGTATTAAGAAACCAGGAAGATGGAGTATTCTCTAAAGACTGGAGTCAATTTGTACAGTCATACCTCGGGTTATAGCCGCTTCAGGTTCGGGGTGTGGAGCGCGTTACTTCCGGGTTTCGCTGCTCGTGCATGCGCAGACAGTCAAAATGATGTCACGTGCATACGCAGAAGCGGCGAAACGCGGGGTGCGTTTGCTTCTGGATGTGAATGGGGCTCTGGAACGGGTCCCGTTCGCATCCAGAGGTACCCTGTACCTTTTTAAAGCCCATGACATGAGCCTGTTGGCTGGATCAGGCCAGAGGATGCTCACCTGGTCTAGTATCCTGTTTCCCCAGTGGCCAACCAGATGCCCTTACTGGGATGCTCGCAAGGGGGGACGTGAATGCGAGCTGTTTGTCTGCGTGGGGCAGAGTGCAGACCTGCTTGCCCTGCAAGAGCTACTCACTGTTCAGCGCCGCCAGGGCACAGAGTGTGTCGCTGCCCACGCGGGAGGAGACAGGGCAGAAGAGGAGGAGGAAGCGGTCAGACTTCTCTTCGTAACCCTCCTGCTGGAGGGAGATCCCGTGGCCTGCCAGGAGCTTGGAGACGTCGTTGACAATGTCCTTTTCGCAGCCTCCCGTCTGCCCAGTGGTCCAGACCTGCACAGGGAAGGCTGGGGACAGGAGGAAGGGAAGAAGGGAATGGGGAGAGAGAGAGAGACCCCTTTCAGTTCATGGCTGGAATCTCACCTCTGAGAGCCAGTGTGGTGTAGTGGTTAAGAGCGGTGGACTCGTAATCTGGGGAACCGTGTTCGCGTCTCCGCTCCTCCACATGCAGCTGGAGTTGTAGTCAAACCATCTTCCCGGAATAATAATAAATAATAATAATAATAATAATAATATCTGGCTGGGTTTCCCCTGCCACTCTGAGTGGCTCCCAACAGAATATCAAAAAGACGAGAAAACATCAGACATCAAAAACTTCCCTAAGCAGGGCCGACTTCAGATGTCTTCTAAAAGTTTGGTAGTTGGTAGTTCTCTTTGACATCTGATGGGAGGGCGTTCCACAGGGTGGGTGCCACCACTGAGAAGGCCCTCTGTCTGGTTCCCTGTAACCTCACTTCTCGCAGGGAGGGAACAACCAGAAGGCCCTCGGTGCTGGACCTCAGTGTCTGGGAAGAATGATGGAGGTGGAGACGCTCCTTCAGGTATACTGGACTGAGGCCGTTTAGGGCTTTAAAGGTCAGCACCAACACTCTGAATTGTGCTCGGAAACCTACTGGGAGCCAATGCAGGTCTTTCAGGACCGGTGTTATGTGGTCTCGGCGGCCGCTCCCAGTCACCAGTCTAGCTGCCACATTCTGGATTAGTTGTAGTTTCCGGGTCACCTTCAAAGATAGCCCCATGTAGAGTGCATTGCAGTAGTCCAAGCGGGAGATAACCAGAGCATCCACCACTCTGGTGAGGCAGTCCGTGGGCAGGGAGGGTCTCAGCCTGCGTACCAGATGGAGCTGGTAGACAGCCGCCCTGGACACAGAATTGACCTGCACCTCCATGGACAGCTGTGAGTCCAAAACGTCTCCCAGGCTGCGCACCTGGTCCTTCAGGGGCACAGTTACCCCATTCAGGACCAGGGAGTCCTCCACACCTGGCCACTCCGTCCCCCCAAAAGAGTACCTCTGTCTTGTCAGGATTCAACCTCAATCTGTTGGTTGCCATCCATCCTCCAACCGCTTCCAGGCACTCACACTCAAAATGGCTGCATTTGGGCTGTGCTTACCTGTGAGTGTGGGAGCAGAACTGGGCCAGGAGGAAGAAGTCCATCTCTGGGATCCGGGGCTCCTCTGGAGTCTCGCATTCTCTTGACGGAGCCAGTCGTTCTCTTGCACCAAGTGTGACACTCGAATGTCCTTCTTCTCCAGCTCCTGCTGAAGCTCCCCATTCTTTCCCAGTAGTTCGGACACCAGTTTTTCCTGGTCCTCCAACTTCTCCTGGACTTGTTGCTTCTCCTCCAGCAGACGGGACACTTTCTCTTTCTGCTCCTGCAGCTGCCGGTTCTCTTCCAGCCTGCGGGTCGTTTGCTCTTCCTGGATGCTCTGAAGCTGCCGATTTGTCTCCCGCAGCTGGAAAACTAGCTCCTTTTGCTCGCTCAGCTGACGACGGAGCCACTGGTTGGCTTCTAGCAGGTTGGGCTTTGTGGCTGGCAGGCTGCTTCTCAGGGGCTGATCGTCGGCCAACAGCTGGGCAGCGATTCGGACAACCACCTCCTGGGCCTGGAGGAATTTGGAGGCCAAGGGGTGCAAGGAACCCCTCAAAGTCTGCAAAAGAGGGAAGGTCCCAGGCTGTCAAGGCAATCTAAGCAGGGAGGTGCGGCGAGCCCTGTGGGAAACTCCTTGAGCTACATAACAGGCCTTGTAAGAGGAGTCTAGGAGGGTGAGGTCTGGACTGACTCCAACTGCACAAAGCTGAGGTTGCTGAACACTTGGGTTGTTTGGGGGTTTTTATTGTTTATGACCAATTAATTAAATGAAATAGTTTTAATTGGCTTTTGAAAAAGAAGAAAAATATGCAGTTAACTTTTCCTCTTTTGAATGTCACCAGGCTATTATTCCTGTTCTGCAGGGGGTTGGACTAGATGCCCCTTGGGGTCCCTTCCAACGCTACAAGACTATGATGCCTCTCAGTTACTTGCCTGCAGCTGTGACTCCAGAGAGCCCGCCTCTGTCTGACTTGATGCTCCGTTTGCTGTGGTGCAACTTCCACTCTCTGCCGTGTCTTGAACCTGGTCCTGTAAATAGAAATGATAATAATAATAATAATAATAATAATAATAATAATAAAAAAAACAAAAAAACCAACAACCTCCCTCCCCAGCGGAAGCCGGGCTCAGAGCGGCTAACAACAATAAAAGTAACACAGCATTCTAAAATCAATTTGTTTTAAAATCAGTTCAAAATCAAATTAATGGCAACCATTGGGCTAGAGTTCTATGAGGATCACAGAAGGAGGGGGTCAGACTGTGCCCTGGCCAAAGGCCAGGTGGAACAGCTCTGTCTTGCAGGTCCTGTGGAAAGATGTCAAGTCCCGCAGGGCCCTAGTCTCTTGGGACAGAACGTTACACCAGATCGGAGCCGCAGCCGAGAAAGCCCTGGCTCTGGTTGAGGCCAGCCTAACCTCCCTGTGGCCCGGGACCTCCAAGATGTTTTTGTCTGAAGACTGTAAGGTCCTCTGTGGGACATACCAGGAGAGGCGGTCCCGTGGGTACGAGGGTCCTAGGCCATATAGGGCTTTAAAGGTCTAAACCAGCACCTTGAACCTGATCCTGTACTCCACCGAGAGCCAGTGCAGCTGGTGTATCACTGGGTGAATGTGATCCCGCAGCAAGGACCCTGTAAGGAGTCTCGCCACGGCATTCTGCACCCGCTGGAGTTTCTGGGTCAGTCTCAAGGGCAGCCTCACGTAGAGCGAGTTACAATAATTCCGTCTGGAGGTGACCTTTGCATGGATCACAGTGGCGAGGTCAGGGCGAGAAAGGTAAGGAGCCAACTGCTTAGCTTGGCGGAGATGAAAAAATGCCGCCTTTGTTATAGCTGCAATCTGCGCCTCCGTGGAAAGAGAGGTGTCAAAGATTACACCCAAACTCTTAACGGACGGTGCTGGCACTAATTGCTCCCCCGCAAGAGATGGGAGTTGCCCCCTCAATCCCATATCGTCCCGACCCAGCCAAAGGACCTCTGTCTTCGAAGGATTTAACTTCAACTGGCTCCCACGTAACCATCCAGCCACAGCTTCCAGACATCTGATCAGTGTGTCTGGGGCCGAGTCAGGATGGCCGTCCATCAACAGATAGAGTTGGGTGTCATCAGCATACTGATGGCACCCCAAACCAAAACTCCGGACAGGTGAGCCCAAACAGGTTCATGCTGCTTTTAAGAGTCTCATCACTGTTTGCTGGGATCCAGATCTCATTACTCTCAACCCCCTGGGGCCATAGCTGTCAACTTACAGATTTGAAAATAAGGGACCAGCAGCCTTGAAAATAAGGGACCAGCAGCCAAAAGAAAGGACCTGCACCCTCACCTGTTCCAGGCACTCCAGTCTTCCTGTCCTCCTGCAGTCTGGTCAAACTCATGCTGGTAGCTTCGAGAACACTGTCCAACCAACTTTGTAACCAGAGGTTCAACTGAATAGAATCTGAATCACATGCACCACAAGGCCTATGCAGCCTCAACCTAAGATGGCTCCCGGCCTGGCTTTGCACTGCAAAGTTTGCAGCAGCACGTGCAACAAAATGGCGTCCAGCATTCCAAAAACCCCTCAGCGTGCATTAACTAGCCACACACAAGGCATGCAAGCTCCACCCCCCAGTCGTTCTTAGACTTCTTATTGGGTGAGCAACACAGCCAAGCAACACAGTTGGAGCCTCCCTCCTCCCTGGCCGGCAGGGAGGGAGGGAGAGGAGCTGCTTCCTTTGAAATTTAAGGGACATCATTTAAGGGACATCCATCAATAAGGGACAGCAGCGGGACATGGCGCTGGAATAAGGGACTGTCCCTTCAAATAAGGGACACTTGACAGCTATGCCTGGGGTTGTGGGAGCCTCCTAGGATGGTTGGCTGGCACCTTGTATGCCTTCTTCCGGCACTCCTGCAGCCAAACAGGTGTCAAATGTCTTGCTGTGCTTTCCTTTGAAACCCCTCAGCTAGGCCAAGAACCCCAAGAAGTATTGCCACCTGGGAAGCCCAGGACCTTGATGCAGGCTTGCACCCCAGGAAAGTCGCTTCGGAGCTGCAAACACAGTGCTTTGACTTCACCCCCGGAGGCACACTCCATTGTCCCTCGAGACAGAGATGGATGCCAGCAACAACCCCTCCATGTTTGATGATTAATATAATCACCATTGCTATCTTATTGGTTTCTCACCTGCCCTTCAGCATGAGGTTCCCATGGCAAATTGCAATGATATAAAAGCACAATATTGGGAAAAAATAATGAACTTCCCATCAGTAGCTTAAGAAGATGACTCTGTTACTTGCCTGCGGCTCTGAGTCCAGAGAGTCTTTTTCTGCCCGACTCAATGTTCGCTTTGACGGTGAACCACCTCTGCTCTCTGCCTGACTTTGCTCCCAGCGCTGCGAACACAGAGGGTACCCCTTAAAAACAGCACAAACGGGTATCGCTGAACTTTGTCGCCCATGAGCACTGGCCATGCTGTCCAAGGCTGATAGGAGTTATAGCGTGAGACGCCGGGAGGGCGCCAGGTTGTACTATACTATTGCGTCGGGCAATCAGCCTTCCTGCCCTAGGCTCCTTTTCCCCGACATGCAACAACAGAGTAATAATAGTCATAATGACCAGTAATAGCAGCAAAGCTTCTCACATTTTGTTGGGAGTTATTGCTGTTGTTACTGATATTGACTTTTTGTATCTTTACTTTTAGGTGGAAATTGTTCAGTTTGGTTTTGCAGTTTTTAATGTGTTTTGTTTATTTTTGTGACTACTTTGCATGTTTGCAATTATGTAAATCTTTTCATATTGTGAGCCGCCTTGACCATTGTTTTAACTCTGGAAAGGCGGCGTACAAAGAAAAAATGATGATGATGATGACATTCCTGCATTGCAGTGGGGTTGGACTAGATGCCCCTTAGGAGTCCCTTCCAACTTTGCAATCCTGCGATTCCAAGGAGGCAAGTGACATGAGGAATAATAGAATTGTAGCGTTGGATGGGACCCCCCAGGTCATCTAGTCCAACCCCCTAAAAGGCAGGAATCTCAACTTAAGCATCCATGGCAGCGAAGCAGCCCAAAGACCCCCATTGAGGGGGTGCCTGGAAGTTAAAACCAGCCCTGGGATTTCCTGGCGTTGATTTTAGGACTTGCCTGCACCTCTGACTGTGGAGGGTTGGTTTTCGTCTGGCTTGAGGTTCCTCCCATTGGTGAATAATAGCGGCTGTTCGATTTCAAAGGCTGTAGACAACGAGAAGAAGCCTCTTAAAAGCAGAACGAACATAAAGCAAGCAAGAGAGAAGACCAGCCTCACTAAGGAGACAATAGCCACACACTGGGAATGCTGCCTTGGAAGAGAATCGAAGGGAACCCAGCGGTCATCTAGTCCAACCCCCTGCAAGGCAGGAGTCTCAACTTGCTCATACATGAACCCTGCAGGTGGATTAAAGAGCCAAAGGGGCCCCACGTAGCACAGCATCCTGTTCCGACAGTGTCTGCTGTAATAAACAGAAATCTGCCCTTATTCCCTTATGGGGGACAAAGAGCCCTTATAGAGTCCTTTGCAGGTTCTCCATCGGTCGGGGAAAATAGCAGAGGCCAACCAGAGAATATTGAGAAGCAAAGCAGCTCATAAGCCTGATTTTTATTGAACTGTTGCAACAGGCTGCCCCCTTCACACGCAGGAAAGGAGGAGGACCCAGAACCAAGGTGTGCCCGCCCTTATATAGACATTTTAAATTGCTCGCCCTGGAGTTCAAGACCACCCCCAGAAACATCATACCTACATCACAGAAAAGGTGGTCTACAACAGAAATTTGAGTGCCTTGTTTACCTCCTGTCTGGCAGGTTACCTGTTAATGGTCACTTGATCGGATACCCTGGGGAGCCAGTCTTCTGTAGTGACAAATACTTAGTTCCTGAGCCAGGTCACAGGCTCACCCTAGTCATACACAGACATACCCTTAAGACAGGATTTGCGAAGGAAAACACAACGGGGAGGCTTTTCCATTTTCCTTCGACCTTGCAGAAAAATATTTGAGGTCAATTTGGGAGGGACAAAATGGTTTCAGGACTTTTTCTGTGGGGTTTCAGACATGTGGTTTATATATGCAGTTAGGAACGTTTACTATATATATATATATATATATATATATATATATATATATGACATGACCTTAATTTTTTTTATTTTACTGCCCAGATGCCCCCATGGGAAGAAGCTTGCAAGCAGGACCCCAGATTCCCAGCCACTACCTATGACAATGCAACTTTCACCCAGCCCCTAATCCTAACATCAGCCCTGTGAGGTAGGCCAAGGGACAGGCTCCAGGTCAAATGGGAAGTTTGCGGCCAACCTGGGATCTTGACCCCGGGTTTTTCCATTCTGAAGCAGAGATTACTTTTCCGGGACAGCACCTGCACTTTGGAACTCCCTGCCAATTGATGCTAGGCAGGCTCCATCCCTGTACTTTTTGGGGGGCTGGCTGAAAAGGGGTGTGTGCAGGTTTTCAAGGTGGGGAGAAGAAGAAGAAGAAAAAGAAGAAGGGGAAGAGTTTGGATTTGATATCCCGCTTTCTCACTACCCGAAGGAGTCTCAAAGCGGCTCACATTCTCCTTTCCCTTCCTGCCCCACAACAAACACTCTGTGAGGTGAGTGGGGCTGAGAGACTTCAGAGAAGTGTGACTGGCCCAAGGTCACCCAGCAGCTGCAGGTGGAGGAGCGGAGACTCAAACCCGGTTCCCCAGATTACGAGACTACCGCTCTTAACCACTACACCACACTGGCTCTCAGTGGAATTGGAAGAGTCGGACACGACTAAATGCCTAAACAAGGGCCAGGAAGAGAGTTCACAAGGAGATGGTAAATACTATCTTTCCTTGCCTGTCCTTCCTTTCCTGCTTGCTTCCTGCTTATTACCTCTGGGGTTTGCTAAATGCATTCCTCCTTGATTCCTGTTTTATTTACCCAAAATGTAAAGGTAAAGGGACCCCTGACTGTTAGGTCCAGTCGTGGCCGACTCTGGGTTTTGCGGCGCTCATCTCGCTTTACTGGCCGAGGGAGCCGCCATTTGTCCGCAGTTTTTCCAGGTCATGTTGCCAGCATGACACCAGAGCAGCGCACGGAAATGCCATTTACCTTCCCGCTGGAGCGGTACCTGTTTATCTACTTGCACTTTGACGTGCTTTCGAACTGCTAGGTTGGCAGGAGCAGGGACCAAGCAACGGGAGCTCACCCCGTTGCGGGGATTTGAACCGCCATCCTTCCGATCGGCAAGTCCTAGGCTCTGTGGCTTAACCCACAGCGCCACCCGCGTCCCTACCCAAAATGTATGCATGCTCAAATTAGTTCTTTGCAGTTTTAACTTTGTCCCCATTTGGTGGTGTTTTTTTTTAATGCTCAAAGGAAATCTGATTGGTTCTTACAAGCGCTGTGTTAAAAGTTCTCTTGTTAATAAAAGAGACCTAGAATAGAATCATGGAATCATAGAGTTGGAAGAGACCACAAGGGCCATCGAGTCCAACCCCCTGCCAAGCAGGAAACACCATCAGAGAACTCCTGACATATGGTTGTCAAGCCTGGGCCAGGGAGTGGCAGATTAGTATTGGCACTTCCTCTCAGAGTCTTGCTGGCCAAACCTTGTGTGTATTTTATTAATCAGGGTCCAATCCTTCCTTTGCCTTCGGAACGGAACACTCAGCAAGGCCAAGAACCCCAAGAAGTCTTGCCCCCTGGGAAACCCAGGACCTCGATGGAGGCTTGCACCCCAGGAAAGTCGCTTCAGAGCTGCAAACACAGTGCTTTGACTTCACCCCTGGAGGCACACTCCATTGTCTCTTGATACAGAGACGGATGCAAGCAACAACCCCTCCATCTTGATGATTAATATAATCACCATTGCTATCTTATTGGTTTCTCACCTGCCCCTCAGCATGAGGTTCCCATGGCAAATTGCAATGGTATAAAAGCACAATATTGGAAAAAATGAATTTAATGAACTTCTCGTCAGTAGCTTAAGAAGATGACTCTGTTACTTGCCTGCGGCTCTGAGTCCAGAGAGCCTTTTTCTGCCCGACTCGATGTTCGCTTTGACGGTGAACCACCTCTGCTCTCTGCCTGACCTTGCTCCCGGCGCTGCGAACACAGAAGGTGCCCCTTAAAAACAGCACAAACGGGTATCGCTGAACTTTGTCGCCCATGAGCACAATTGGCCACGCTGTCCAAGGCTGATGGGAGTTATAGCGTGAGACGCCGGGAGGGAGCTTGCAAAACTATGATTCCTGGCACCCCCCTAGATTTTGGCCTAGGTTTTATTTTATTTTTTAAAATCATTTTTATTGAATGATTTTATGTTACAAAAAACAATACAACTATACTACCACTAAATATAATTAAGAAATAAAAATTACATACATCAATATTTAGTTTATTTACTGTCTTATTTCCTCCCAAACATCCCATACAAAAACATACATATGTGCGGACACCCGCACACCCACAATGATCATAATGAAAGTAAATATTTCCCCCCTTTTATCTTCCAAAATCTTTTCTTCAACTTTGACTTCCTGTCAAGTCTCTTTGCATATATTTTGCCTTAAAATTGAATGTACGCAAAACAATAAACCTTTCTATATAATTTTTCCAATGCATTCTGAAAACATAATAAATCCTTACTTGTTGTCCACCTCCTTTATCACTCAAATGCTAGCACGGAGTCAAAATTATTATTGTATTTTTGAACGTATCTTCTATAACCATCCCATTTTGGCCCAGGTTTTAAGGTGTGTGATAGGTAAAGGGACCCCTGACCATTAGGTCCAGTCGTGGCCGACTCTGGGGTTGCGGTGCTCATCTCGCTTTACTGGCCGAGGGAGCCGGTGTGCAGCTTCCGGGTCATGTGGCCAGCATGACTAAGCCGCTTCTGGTGAACCAGAGCAGCGCACGGAAACGCCGTTTACCTTCCCGCCGGAGGGGTAGCTATTATCTACTTGCACTTTGATGTGCTTTTGAACTGCTAGGTTGGCAGGAGCAGGGACTGAGAAATGGGAGCTCACCCCATCACGGGGATTCGAACCCGCGACCTTCTGATTGGCAAGTCCTAGGCTCTGTGATTTAACCCACAGCGCCACCCGCGTCCCAATTAAGGCGTGTGATGCTGGGGCCAAAATGGTTCTCCCCATTTTATGTTCACGACAGCCCTGCAAGGTGGGTGAGGTTTGGCCCCCCCCTTAGCTAAGACACCCCCACACCCCCCGCTAAGCGAGCGGCTCCCTTTCACTTTCACTTTCTTCCTAGCCGCTTTCACTTCCCAAGAAAGGGGCGAGGACTTTGCTCTGGTTTAGGAACGCTCCCCTCCCCCGGTCCCATCAGCAGCAAAGGAAGCTTTGCCCCCCCCCCCCCAATTTCTGCATTGGGTGGGGCTCTCCGCACGGGAGGAGAGGCGTCTCCCCTGACCTGAAGCCGCCGAGCATGTGCAGAGTGCCTCGCCCATCCCTCGCCTCCCTCCATCTCACCTGGCTACGGGATGCTTGTCGGGGGGGCTTCTCTGCCTTGCTCTGGTCTCCCCACCCCCCGGACATAACTCGGTGGGATTGGATCCGGCGCTCAGTCGATCCCCGACCCTGTCTGCTCCGCAGCGCCCAGGGCCCCGATCCCCGGAAAGAGCCGCGCCCTCCGGGCTGGATCTCTCCTCTGGCCGGCCAAGGTCCGAGGAGTTGACCTGCGGAACGCGCTGCAGGGGGAATTGGAAGCCGGCTTCTCCCAGGCTGGGACCCCCGGGGCGCGGCTCTCAATCCGGGATTTGGGGTGCTGGGACACCCCGGGTGGAAGCCCCCACCGCTCTCCACGGCCTTGTGCGCGCACGGTTCCCGGCAGCTGCGCGCACCGTGGAAAAGGAAAGCGAAAGTCCCGCGGAGGAAGATCCGCTGCAGCCCCCTAGAGGTCACTCGCCCCATAGATCCATTATTCCCCTTCCTTTGCTGGCTTTGCACCTTGGATGAATTCTGGTGCCTGGGAGCAGGACCTTGCAGAGCCAGGCAGGGGCCAGATAGATAATGTGCGCCCCCCCTTTTGTTTACCCTGGGGATAACTGAAGTCTTATAAATAAGTAAGTATATAAAGTAATTTTTTTATAATGTATTATAATTTTAAAGCACTTCCTGGATCACTGCCTTGCTGCGGCGAAGGGGCTTGAATAACTCAGAGAAGCTACCACCCAAGACGGACAGGTCATAGTGGAGAGTTTTGACCAAACGTGATCCACCTGGAGGAGGAACCGGCAAGCCCCTCCAGTTAGAACTGGATATGGAACAACTGATTGGTTCAAAATTGGGAAAGGAGTACGACAAGGCTGTATATTGTCTCCCTGCTTATTTAAATTATATGCAGAATTCATCATGCGAAAGGCTGGGCTGGATGAATCCCAAGCCGGAATTAAGATTGCCAGAAAAAATATCAACAACCTCATGGCAGACACAACCTTGATGGCAGACAGTGAGGAGGAATTAAAGAACCTTTTAATCTTGCCACCCCCCCCCTTGTCCCAACCCCAAAAAAGAGAGCCCTGGGCTCATACATGCCATCAAAAGCCCACGTTAAAAAAACAAGTTCAGCCAGTGTTTTTTTTTTAGAAACGGCCTTACGATGAGAAAGTTTTTATTGGTGAATAAATGCATTCTTGTTCATAGTCCCAAGGCAAAGACAAGCCCATCCCTCCCTCTCATCCCCCATAGCACCGAAGTGGGTCTGCTCAGCATCTGAGAACTTTGTCGAGGAGACGGATCCTGGCTGCGCAGCTTAGACCAGCTGTGTTCATGGCTTGGATGCTAAAGTGAGGGGTGCCCTCCATACGACCGAACCCCAAAATGGCACCAGAGAGCCCTCTTAAGTCCCCTACAACTGGGCAAGACTTTAGCTCTCGCCTTCACCTTGCTAGCAGTGGGAAATTAAGAGGTCCCAGGACTCTCGATAGCTGGGGGGCAACACATTTCGCAGGCTCCGAACAGAATCAGGAGAGGGTTGAGGAGTGAGCTTTCTGGGCCCCCTCCAAAATGCTCAGGACGAGGGGGAATATTCCGTCACATGACGGACGAAGGAACCGGGGTGCTGCCTACTCTTGAGTATGCTAAGGGAGCCGTCGGGGAAGGAGCCCCTATCAATGGGTTCCCCCAGTAATTTTGGCAGCCCAAAGCTGATCTGATAGGCAAGGCCCAGCGACCCGCCGTGCCACAGGGCAAAGGACTCTCAGGTCACCCACAACTGCGCCCAGTGCCGCTGGTGTGAGGGCTGTTAAGTGATTCCCATGCCACTGATTTGAACTCTAGCCTCAAGGGGCCCGATCTGTGGCGTCGCCTCCTGCAGAACCCCAAGTGTGATAGAAACAGGGGAGGCCTAAGAAAAAGATGCTCATTTGCTTTTCTTAGGGAGGTTTGGAACAGACCCAGTGGGGAAAAACAACATCGAACTGCCAAGTTAGAGCAGACTTCATCAGCCTGGGACCCCCTTTCGAGATTTTTGGGGCGACAACTTCCATCCGCTGCAGCCCAAATGGTGCTGCTGTCTGAAATACCTTGGAGGCGGCCAGCCTGGGGGAGCTTAGACTTTGTTGTCGCATCAGAGGGGATTCTGGGAAATAGTGCCGAGGAGAGTTCTGGACTCTGGACCACTCTGGGCATCCTTTTGGGTGGGGATGAGAGCAAATAGCAATATTTTGTTTAGCAGAAGGGGCGGAAAGAGGGAACTCTTTCAAGGAAAGGGTTGTTGGGAAACCTCACTGCAATGGCCTCCCTTATCACCTTTGGGTGAAGGAAGTTGGGGGAAAGGACGAAGTCCCGGAAGGCGTTAGGGGTCCCACAAAGCAAGCCGATTCAGTCTGGGAGTCGAGCTGCCCAGAGATGTCTCACACGCCGATTTCTGAAGGCCTACCAGCCAGCGACAGAAAACCCTCAACCAATTGCTTAAAGCAGGCAATGTTGAGCTCACGTTGGAGCTCCAGCTCCCATCACGGCCAGGGACGATGAGAGATGTGGTCAAGCAATAGCAGAGGGCATCTCCTTGGCAGTTGCTCAAGGAGCCAGGCGGCAGAGCAACGTCTCGACATTTCACGGCAACGCAGACCCCCAAGCCAGTCTCGTGCTCCAGCCTGAGAAGCTGGCCAGCTCGCTCAGCAGAGGTCTGGCCAAGCTCTGGAGCGGGCAAGGGCACTGCTTGGCGGTCAGCTGTCTCCGTTGATGGAGGCTCCATCCGCGGCCAAGAGACCCTCCCTATCTGCATCTGCATCCGCTGCCCTCCTCCAGGGCAGCCGTGCCAGCAGGGGCTGGTGGAGGCCGTTGTAGATGGCGGCGCCCAGCAGGAGGATGAAGAAGCCGAGGATCTGGAGGGCATGGAAGACCTCCCAGCCCACAGCCAGGCTGACGGCCCAGATGACCACCGTGCGCAGGCTGTCCAGCACCATCCTGGTGGTGGCGCTGATCTCCTTGGTGACGCTGATGCCGGCAAAGTTGAAGAAGGCGATGCTGCTGATGTTGCCCAGCAGCGCCACGGCGATGAGTGGCGCCCGGCCGATCTGGCAGAAGGCGTCCAGGGCGTCCTCCAGGACGCGGCGTGGTCCGCTCCCGAAACTGCCCGCCGGGATGAAGTACATGGGGACCAGCAGGAGGGAGAGGATGAGGAAGCCAAAAAACCCTGAGCAGGGAGGAGAAAGAGGTGCTCAGAAAGGGGGACGTGGGCCATGGCTTTCCGTCAACTAACCGAACGAGAGGTGTAGACTGAAACAAAGACCCGCCCACTGTATGGGCGATCTATCCAGAAGATAAATGGTATTTCGAGGGGTTAGTGATCTGACATGGTTATCCTTCCTGCCTCTGTTCCTTCCCTGTCCCTGTCTCTTGTTACCGTATTTTTCGCTCTATAAGACGCACCTAGTTTTTGGATGAGGAAAACAAGAAAAAATATATTCTGAATCCCAGAAGCCAGAACAGCAAGAGGGATCTGGCTTCTGGGATAGCCTCTTGCTGTTCTGGCTTCTGGGATAGCCACGCGAAGCCTCTTCAGGGCAGCGGGATGAAGGCTTCCCCTGCCAGGAAGAGGCTGCGTACAGCTATCCCAGAAGCCAGAACAGCAAGAGGGATTGCTGCGCAGCAATCCCTCTCATTGTTCTGGCTTCTGGGATAGCCACACAACCTGCATTCGCTCCATAAGACGCACACACATTTCCCCTTACTTTTTAAGAGAGAAAAAGTGTGTCTTAAAGAGCGAAAAATACGGTAAGTTCTTTGATGGCATGAGAACAGCCTTTAATGTCCTAATCAGTTAGTTATGAGAAAGTGATAGGGCTGGGGACCTTCTTTGATTTTGGACATAGTTTTGAGAAAGGGAGGCGTTGGGAGGGGGTGGCTATTGAATGAGCTGCATGTAACCAGTAATGAATGATATGCACATAGCCAGAACAGTGGTACCTTGCTTCTCAAACGCCTTGGTACTCAAACAACTTGGAACCCAAACAATGCAAACCCGGAAGTACAGTCATACCTCGGGTTACAGACGCTTCAGGCTGCATTTTTTCGGGTTACGGACTTGCCGAAACCCGGAACTACCGGAACGGGTTACTTCCGGGGGTGGCACATGCGCAGAAGCACTAAATCGTGCTTTGCGTATAAGTGCCGAATTGCAACCCGTGCGTGCGCAAACGTGCAGCTGCGGGTTGCGAACATGCATCCTGCATGGATCACGTTCGCAACCCGAGAATCCACTGTGAGTGTTCCGGTTTGCCAACTTTTTTTGGAAGCTGAATGTGCTCCCATTTGAGTGTTACGCTTCTAACTTGAGTGCCACACTTCCGTTTTGAGTGTTACGCTGAGGTCTGTCTGTTTTTGCTATTTATTTTGCGTATTTGTTTTGTTTTTGTTACTGTGTGGTACCCAGTTCAGCTACCGAATGATTGATTGTGTGACTGGTAGTTGTTTCTCTCTTTGACATCTGGTGGGAGGGCATTCCACAGGGCGGGTGCCACCACCAAGAAGGCCCTCTGCCTGGTTCCCTGTAACTTGGCTTCTCACAGGGAGGGAAATGCCAGAAGGCCCTCGGAGCTGGACCTCAGTGTCCGGGCAGAATGATGGAGAAGGGAGAGAAGTCCTAGAAATAAAGCCCCCAATCCGCTCCCCCAGCGCCTGCTTGCTTGCTCACCTTCCGTGCCCACAGCCTGCAAGGGGTGGACGTTGTGCTTGTAGACAAACTTCTGTTCCAGCACCATTTGGATGGCGACAATCACTTGGGCCATGATGATCAGAAGGTCCCCTGCAGGAGAGAAAAGGGGAGTCTGGGCAGTTCTGAAAGGGCCTGGCGCCCCCACTCCCCCTAACCTTAACCCTCGCAGACACAGATAAGTATGTGACCTGGCATGTAGCACTCTTTGCGACTGCCGCTAGGAAAATCAGAGCAAATTATATACCCAAGGTAGCCCCCAACTGTGGAGGAGATGAATTTATTTGACCCTGGATTCGAAACCCGCAGGACCAGAGATTCGCCGGAAGACTGGAGTAAATTTACAGACTATTTGAAAAGTAATTGTGATGGACACATTTACGCTAGTCGGTCTGCAAGAAGTTTTGTAAAGTGAATTATTTGAAATATTGCACAAAAGACAATGAGGAGAATTATTAGTTGAAGATAATTAAAGGCAATATGAAATTAAGAAATGCATAATAAGCGATGACAACGAAAAATCATCAGAGGTGTTGATGGAAGTCCAAAAATTATTGTATAAGATGTGAAGTTCTGTTGGTACCCACCAATCTGAGAACGACAGAATTAGGAGCGGGAGAGAGAAGCAAGGACCCCGAAGGAAAGGAGCGCTGCAGGAGGCCAGCAGAGCCGTCCTCCTGGTATTGGGGACCCCCCTTTGGCTCTCCCCGCCCTGCCGTACCTGTGATGACCTCGCTGAGCTTGTGCTCATGGTCTCCGTTGCTCATCAGGTCTGCCAAGCCCACCACCACCAGCCCTACGATGGTGATCAGGATGCCTAGCCACTGGCTGAGCACCAACTTCTGTCCGAGGAAGGCCACCGAGAGCAGGCCAGTGAAGATGATCACGGCTCCTCGCAGCATCTGGAAGCTGGACGCGCTGGTCATGTTCAGAGCTGGAAGGGGGGAAAGGGGGGGCGGAGGAGGAAATAATTCAAGGAGAGATATTTGGTATCAGACACAGGAAGAGTTTGCTCTGGATTGTTTTGGAGGTTGGAGGATGGATGGCAGCTAACAGATTGAGGATGAATCCCGACAAGGCAGAAGTACTGTTTCTGGGGGATGGGGTGGGCAGGTATGGAGGACTCCCTGGTCCTGCATGGGGTAACTGTGCCCCTGAAGGACCAGGTGCGCAGCCTGGGAGTCATTCTGGACTCACAGCTGTCCATGGAGGTGCAGGTCAATTCTGTGTCCAGGGCGGCTGTCTACCTGCTCCATCTGGTACGCAGGATGAGTCCCTCCCTGTCCACGGACTGTCTCGCCAGAGTAGTGCATGCTCTGGTTATCTTCCGCTTGGACTACTGCAATGCGCTCTACGTGGGGCTACCTTTGAAGGTGACCCAGAAACTACAACTAATCCAGAATGCGGCAGCTAGACTGGTGACTGGGAGCGGCCGCCGAGACCATATAACACCAGTCCTGAAAGACCTACATTGGCTCCCAGTACGTTTCCGAGCACAATTCAAAGTGTTGGTGCTGACCTTGAAAGCCCTAAACGGCCTCGGCCCAGTTGACCTGAAGGAGCGTCTCCACCCCCATCATTCTGCCCGGACACAGAGGTCCAGTGCCGAGGGCCTTCTGGCGGTTCCCTCCCTGCGAGAAGTGAGGTTACAGGGAACCAGGCAGAGGGCCTTCTTGGTGGTGGTGCCAGCCCTGTGGAATGCCCTCCCACCAGATGTCAAGGAAATAAACAACTATCTGACTTTTAGAATACATCTGAAGGCAGCCCTGTTTAGTGTTCCAGTTCGCGAACTTTATTTACCACCGTAAATAAATTTGAAATTTTCCCTCCCCTCTCATCCTTTTATAATAAATAAATATATATATATAAAAGGATGAGAGGGGATGGGGAAATAAAGGGGGGCCATGGGGGCAGTGGCGTAGCGTGGGGGTGCAGGGGGGCTGGCCGCACCGGGCGCAACATCTGGGGGGGGCGCTCGCACTCGCAGCTCTTTGCCCCTACCTGGCTCACTCACTCTCTCTCACTGCAGTGCTGGCTGTGCGTATCCGATCCGAGCCACTGGGTCGCCGCCCACTGTGGAGGGGGTGGGTGCCAGGCGTGCGGTGCGGAGAGAGAGCGAGGGACTATCTGGGGGAGGGACAGTGCAGTGGACGCCCAGCGCAGCGCTGAGCGCGGGAGAGAACCACACCAGACCAGACCAGGCAGCAGCAAGAAGAAGCTGGCAGCGGCGGCAGGTTAGGGGTTAGGGGGCGCAAATTACTTGCCTTGCCCCGGGTGCTGACAACCCACGCTACGCCGCTGCATGGGGGCATGCAATGGGGAACAGACCGAAGATCTATCCTGAGTAAAAATCCTCCTCTAAAACTACTGGGAAAACTGCGCTGACCCCTAGTTTTTAAATTGCTGCAGCAACATCTGTGTGTCCCACCCCCCTCCAAAAGACTCTTCGTTTTTACTGGGCCTTCTATTAACTTTAAAGATCTGCAGAGCTTGTGTTTGCTTAGCAAGGAAAGAACTGCATCGGGACAGGCTGGTTTTACACTTCCTTACCCAGTCCAGGCATAGGAAATCGCAGTAAATACTACAAATATTAAGAGATGTATTTGCAAGCGTTTCTGCTCCTCCTTTCCTTGAAAAATGTGAGTTTGTGAGAAAGAGAGATTGCCAGCATGGCTCTCCACATGCCCAAGTTTTCGCAGAGGAGAAAGCAACCGCCAGGCATCACTTACCCACATACATGAGGCTAGTCCCTGTCATGTCGCACAGGGCTGGACCCAGGAAAAGGAGAGGGTTGTAGGACTGAGGGGGGTCCATGGTGGGCTCTGGCCTCCGCCGGTCATTGCAGAGCAGGAGGTAGAAGACAGCCAGACAGGAGAACTCCCCCAGGAACATGCCCACGGCCTGGGAGGCAAGAAAGGGGGTCTGTGAGCTTTCTGGATCATGACCAGTAGCAGATCAGCAACATGATTTCCACAGTCTAGGGGGTCGCTTCCAAACTCTGTAGCTCTGTGCTTCTAGGACAGGGCTTGGCAAACTTTTTCAGCCGGGGGCCGGTCCACTGTTCCTCAGACCTTCTGGGGGGCCGGACTATACAATCATACCTCGGGTTGAAGTAGCTTCGGGATGAATATTTTCGGGTTGCGCTCCGCGGTGACCCAGAAGTAACGGAGCGTGTTACTTCCGGGTTTGGCCGCTCGCGCAAGCGCAGACGCACAAAATGATGTCATGCACATGCACGGAAGTGGCAAAACGCGACCCGCACAGATGCGCAGTCACGTCTTACGTTTACTTCAGGATGCGAACGGGCTCCAGAACGGATCCCGTTCGTATCCAGAGGTACCACTGTATTTCGGAGGGGGGGAGATGAACGAATTAATATGCCCCACAAATAACCCAGAGATGCATTTTAAATAAAAGGACACATTCTACACATGTAAAAAGATGCTGATTCACGGACAGTCCACGGGCCGGATTGGGCCAGATCTGGCCCCCGGGCCTTAGTTTGCCTACCCATGACCAAGGGCAGGGGTCAGCAAGGTTTACCGGCCATGGCAGATCGTCCGTGAGCCAGACTGCCGCAGACGCCAAAAATTGCGCCTGCGCAGAAGGGATTTTCGGCGTCTGGGCATGCACAGACGTGATTTCCAGTAGCTGTGTGTGCGCAGACGCAGTTTCCAGTGCCGCTTGGTGAGTCCCTGCGCCACGATGCGCCGGTTTAAAGCAGCGTGCGAGGGACTCGCTGAGTGGGCGGCTTGGCTCAGGGGTGGCTTGTGGGCCGGTAAAATGGTCTTTGTGGGCCGCATGTTGCCGATCCCTGACCAAGAGAGTCCCTCTGCTGATCTCGGGGAGGAGACTTTCAGGTATGTGGGGGGCCTGATCCATTTACATAGCTGTCAATTTTTCCCTTTTTTAATGGGAAATACCCTTATTCCGAATAGGATTCCTTGCAAGAAAAGGGAAAAGTTGACAGCTATGTTCATTTAGGGCTTTGAACACTGACGTGAGCTCCCTGAATCGTGCGTAGAAAGAAACCGGCGGCCAGCACACCTGATTCAAAACAGGGGTTATGTGGGATCTGAAGGGAGCCCCTGCCAGCAACCTGGCCATTTTGGGGGAGCACCCCAGGGCCAAAATGGGCAGATACGGAATCAAAGGAGGATGGAAGCCTCTACGTCACGTGGAAGCAGACAGAATCCATCTGGCAGTACCTGGAGGAAGGGATGCTGGAAGGTGTGCTCTTCGCTCGTGGCATTGCATCCTCGCGCGCTCAGCCTGTCTGCCCACCTGAAAAAGAGGGGCATTGGTCAGAACCTGCCACACACACCTCCTTGGGCTTCCATCATCATCATCATCATCATCATCATCATCATCATTTACTATTTATACCCTGCCCACCTGGCTGGGTTTACCCCAGCCACTTTCGGCAGCTCCCAACAGAATATTAAAAACATGATAAAACATCAAACATTAAAAGCTTCCCTAAACAGGGCCACCTTCAGACGTTTTCTAAAAGTCTGGTACAGTCATACCTCGGGTTACAGCTGCTTCAGGTTGCATTTTTTTGGGTTGTGGACCACCAAAACCAGAAGTACCGGAACGGGTTACTTCCGGGTTTTGGCAGTCGCGCATGCACAGAAGTGCTAAACCATGCTTTGCACATGCGCAGAAGTGCCGAATCGCAACCTGCGTGTGCGCAGACGCAGGGTGTGAACGCTGCGGGTTGCGAACGTGCATCCTGCACGGATCACGTTCGCAAAGCGAGCGTCCACTGTAGTTGTTTTTCTCTTTGACATCTGGTGGGAGGGCATTCCACAGGGCGGGCACCACCACCAATAAGGCCCTCTGCCTGGTTCCCTGTATCCTCGCTTCTCGCAGAGAGGGAACCACCAGAAGGCCCTCAGAGCTGGACCTCAATGTCCGGGCAGAACGATGGGCGTGGATGCTCCTTCAGGTATAATGGGCGGAGGCCCACCCCCCAAAATGGAATCTGGGGTCTCACACAGATTTCAGTACCTCGAAAACCTAATAATCCTTGCTATAATATCTTAGAATGCATATTTTAAAATGCTGCCTTTTGAATATATTTTTTTAGGTCAGTTTGTTCTTACCTTCTTAAAAATCAATTAATTTTAGAGTATCAAGCTGTATACCAGGTCTGTCCAAAACAGAATACATGGGAGAGTTTCAGCAAGGAAACTGTGCAGACAAGTCCAAAACGTTGGCACCAGGTTAGGGAAGGCTGGTTCCTAACAGCAGCAGGGTACCTGGAGGCCTCCCAGGTATGGAACCCAGCGGAACGGGGTCCCAGGGGTCATCTAGTCCAACCCGCTGCAAAGCAGAAATCATAACTAAAGAATCCCGAGCCGATGGCCGCGTAGGCCATTGCTTTGCCTTTGCCTAAGATGGTTCGGTGTTAGAGCAGTACGAAGCAGGTGGAAAGGAATTGTTTCAGTGCCGGCTTCTCGCTCTGTGCCTGGACTTGCCCCCCAGCCGAGGAGCAAAGGCAGGGCTGCGGTGTCTGTCGGCTGACGTCACGCCAAGCGCCTGCCAGGTTCCTGGAACCGGAGACCTGGATATAACAAAGAAGGCAGAGTCTGCCGCAGATCGGATGTCCGGCCTGCCATTCATCTCTGCCAGAAATGAAAGGCAAGGAGATGCTCCGCGTCGCAAGGCTGGTCGAGACGTCTCTCAGGGAAAGCGCACAGCAGTTCCTCAGCCGTAAGAACACGGCTCACAGATGCTGAATTCGAGATTCCTGCATTGCACGGGGTTGGGATAGATGACCCCTGGGTCCCTCCCAACAGTTCTATGATTATGTGTTCTTCCTCTACGGAGCCATTGCTGTCCAAAACAACTGGTGGGTAACTAGCTTGCTGAAGGCTGATTTGGGGAGTGTGCAGGGCTGGATTGAGGTTGGATGAGGCCCTCAGCTACTGAAGGTAATGGGAACCTGGAAGGTAATGTGCGTGGTGCTGAGAGCACTTCTGCACATGCGTGAGTGGCAAAACTCGGAAATATACTTCCGGGTTTGCTGCTTTCGCAACCCAAAGTTTACGTTACCTGAGGGTAACGTAAGCCGAGGATCTACTTCAGGGGTTGGCAACCTAAGACCCATGGGCCACAATAATAATAATAATAATAATAATAATAATAATAATAATAAATTTTTATTTATACCCCGCCCTTCCCAGTTCAAAAACCGGGCTCAGGGCGGCTAACAACAAATTTATAACACTTTAAAACACTTAATTGTAAAAGCAGCATAAAATACAGTACAAAAACATGAATAACAATAAAATTCAAAAATCAATTAGATAATCCCCAGGCCTAACTGGCTGAATTGGTCCTACTTGGGCCAGAGAGGAGGTCAGGGGAGAATTAGCTGTGGGGTCTCAGAGCAGGTGATCTTCATAAAAGGAGAGGGGGAGGAAAGAGAAGGGAAATAAAAGATCAGGCTGAATTCAAATTAAAGGCCAGGCAGAATAGCTCTGTCTTACAGGCCCGACGGAAGGAGGTTAAATCCTGAGGTTAAATCCACAAGTGGCCCACGGGAGTCGTTTAACCAGCCCCCAAGCTGCCCCTGAACTGAGCCACCCGCTCAGTGAGTCCTCATGCTAAACCAGCGCAGTGCGGCACCTAAAATCCCATCTGCGCAGACGCTGGAAATTGCAAACACGGGCGCTCATGTGCATGCGGAATCCAGTCCACGGAGGGATGTCCGCTGGAGTGAACTGGCCCAGGCGAGGTAAAACTTGCAGACCCCTGGTCTACTGTATATGCTATATGGTAATTTATGGACCTAACAGGGCCACACACAGACAAAACACTGCTGCTGTATGTAGGTTTTATTTCATTTGTTTTTTATTTTATATTTTGGAAACGTTACTTTCTTGGGCTCCATGATCACTGCAGATGGTGACAGCAGTCACCAAATTAAAAGATGCCTGCTTCTTGGGAGGAAAGCAATGACAATCCTAGACAGCATCTTAAAAAGCAGAGGCATCACCTTGCCAACAAAGGTCCGTGTAGTTCAAGCTCTGGTTTTCCCAGTAGTGATGTATGGAAGTGAGAGCTGGACCATAAAGAAGGCTGATTGCCAAAGAATCGATGCTTTTGAATTCTGGTGCTGGAGGAGACTCTTGAGAGTCCCATGGACTGCAAGAAGATCAAACCGATCCATTCTGAAGGAAATCAGCCCTGAGTGCTCACTGGAAGGACAGATCCTGAAGCTGAGGCTCCAAGACTTTGGCCACCTCTTGAGAAGAGAGACTCCCCGGAAAAGAGCCAGATACTGGGAAAGATGGAGGGCACAAGGAGAAGGGGACGACCGAGGACGAGATGGTGGGACAGTGTTCTCGAAGCTACCAGCATGAGTTTGACCAAACTGCGGGAGGCAGTGGAAGACAGGAGGGCCTGGCGTGCTCTGGTTCAGGGGGTCACGAAGAGGCGGACACGACTAAACGACTAAACAACAACAAATTTTGGAAATGTACATCCAGTTTTTCCCCTTTAATTTTTTTGGGGGCCCCCAAGAGAGCGGGGCCCTAAGCTAGAGCTTGTTTAGCTTATACGGAAATCCGGCACTGGGAGTATGGGGCGTCATTCCTCCTGCCCCCCGTGGTCTCTGGACTTTGCCTCTTCACCCCTAGTGCTTGTGAACACGGAGACAGCGTTTGTAGGGCTGCAGGGATTTCGAAACCTGTGGCGTTCTGGGTTTTTTGCCCCTCCCTCCAGACCAAAGCAATGAGTAAGCTTTGTGTTCCTGGGGGCTGCTTCTTGCAAAATCAGGAGCTGAGTAAGCGAGCAAAAGATGCACCGTCAGGACACGAGGTCCACATTCTGCTGGCTTAGCTAAAAAGACAAGGACGCTGCTGCTGCTGCTGCTGCTGCTGCTCAGATAGCTGCCTTTAGACTTCATACAGCAGCGCGTAGTTAAACTGTGGAACTCCTTGCCTGAGGAGACAGTGAGGACCATTAACTTGGATGGCTTCAAAAGCGGATTGGACAAATTCACGGTCAAATTTGCCCTCTCTCCTAGCACATTGAGTGAAGCTGAAGGTCAAGGAACATTTTATCATATGTGGTGGGAATGTAAGAAAGTAAAGAACTTCTGGGAAATGATATATAACGAGATGAAAAAGATGTTGAAATATACATTCTTAAAAAAAACCAGAAGCATTTTTACTTGGAATTATAGGCCAAGACGTTAATAGACAAGATGTCAAACTGTTTTTATATGCAACAACAGCGGCAAGAGTATTGTTAGCCCAGAAGTGGAAACAAGAAGAAATTCCGATGAAAGAAGAATGGCAGACAAAAATAATGGACTATGCAGAATTGGACAAAACGACAGAAAGGATTCGAAACCTGTGGGACCAGAGATTTACAGAAGATTGGAAGAAGTATATGAATTATTTGAAGAGCAACTGTAATCAATAAATTATGCTAGTAGGACTACAATAAGTTTTGTAAGGAGAAATATACGAAGTGTTACAAAGTAGAAAAAGATAGAGATATTGGTTATGAGTTTGAAATGTAATAGAGAAAATAAGAAATGCATACTAAGAGATTGGATTGGAAAATTTTCAGACAGGACCGATGGAAGTCAAACAAATTGAATAAGATGTAAAAGTATGTTTAATTACTGTTGAAAATGATATGTTAAAAAACTAATAAATTTTTTTATATATATATAAAAGAAGAAGCTGAAAGTTGGAAGATTCGGGGCAGCGAAGAGAAAGGGCTTCTTAACATTGTTTAACTATGGAACTCATTGCCACAGGAGGTAGAGAGGAGAACCAACCTGGATAAGGAAAATTCATGGAGGAGTGGCTCCTAGTCAGGATGGCACTCAGAGGCAGTGATGCTTCTGAATCCCAGGTGCTGGAAAACCCAGGAGGGAGAGGGCTCTTGAGTTCGAATCCTGCTTGCGGCCTTCCCTTTGCGACATCTGATTGGCCACTTTGAGAACTGGAAGAGGCTGTTGGATCAAGAAGCCAAGTGGCCTGTGGGAAACTGGCGAGCAGGATATGAGCATGAGAGCAATTCTGCGTTCCTAGAGGGTTTCCGCAACAGATAAAAAGGTGAAGTGAGAGGTTCCAGCAGGCTTTTCATAGGTTCACCTGGCTGGCCACTGCAGGCTGGACTGGATGATCCTAGGCCCCTCGTACCTACGGGACCGCCTCTCCTGGTATGTCCCATGGAGGACCTTACGGTCTTCAAACAAAAACATCTTGGAGATCCTGGGCCACAGGGAGGTTAGGCTGGCCTCAAGCAGAGACAGGGCTTTTTCGGCTGTGGCCCCGATCTGGTGGAACGTTCCGTCACAAGAGACTAGGGGCCTGCGGGACTTGACATCTTTCCACAGGACCTGCAAGACAGAGCTGTTCCGCCAGGCCTTTGGCCAAGGCGCAGTCTGACCCCCTCCTTTGGCAATCCTCACAGAACTCTAGCCCAATGGTTGCCATTAATCTGATTTGAACTGATTTTATAATGAATTGATTTTGGAATGCTGTATTATTTCACTGTTGTTAGCCGCTCTGAACCCGGCTTCGGCTGGGGAGGGCGGGATATAAATAAAATATTATTATTATTATTATTATTATTATCCTTGGGGGTCCCTTCCAACTCTACAATTTTGTGATTCTGTGATGAGGTGCGTCATCGCAATGAGGCCTCAGACTCTTCTTATGTTCTTAGTAGTGAAGTCAACCATGAGAAACGGACAATGGAGCCCTTTTCAAACAAAGCACCAACTTGGACGGCTTTCAAAGGGGACCGGGCAAATTCATGGAGGAGGAGAGGGCAGCAATTGGCGGCTGCCAGTCAGGATGGCTCTGCTCTGCCCTCCGCAGTCAGAGGCAGCATCGCTTCTGGACACCAGTCGCTGGAAACCACAGGAGGGGTCTTGTGTTCGAATCCTGCTAGCGGGTTTCCTGTTACGGGCATCTGGTTGGCCTCTGCGGGAACAGGATGCTGGACTGGGGGGGTCACTGGCCTGATTCAGCAGGCTTTCCTTGGGTTCCTCTTGCTGGTCTTCAACTCCACCCCCTCCTAGCCAGGGGTCAGGCATGATGGGAACCGGAGTCCAACAGGACTTGGCACCCCAAGGTGAAGAGCTACTCCGCAACGCTGCCTCTTTTACCAAATCAATGTTTTCTCCTTGGGCTGAAACCAAGAGGCGGCTCGCCAGGGTTTCAGGCAGGGCATCCCTCCCAGCCAGACCTGGATCTTTGAACCCAGGGCCTTCCTTCTACATGCCAAGCAGGTGCACTGGCCCTGAGCCTGGGAAGTCAACTAAGGCACCAATGATTAGATGGGCGCAGGACATTGGACGTCCAAGAATGATGGCCGAATGGGAAGAGCTTTGGAAAAGAAATTTTACAGCATGTTATAACATCAAAGAAAATATGTTAAAGATGCAGCACAGATCTTTAACCACCTCAAAGATCTCACCACCTCAAGACTATTGAAGATGTCTAAAAACTTAGCGAATGCTTGTTGGAGGTGTGTTGGGAGTACTGGCGACATGTATCATATGGGGCAGTGAGAGATTTTACTTTCTTGGGCTCCATGATCACTACAGATGGTGACAGCAGCCATGAAATTAAAGGATGCCTGCTTCTTGGGAGAAAAGCAATGACAAACCTAGACAGTATCTTAAAAAGCAGAGATATCACCTTGCCAACAAAGGTCCGCATAGTTAAAGCTATGGTTTTCCCAGTAGTGATGTATGGAGGTGAGAGCTGGACCATAAAGAAGGCTGATCGCTGAAGAATGGATGCTTTTGAATTCTGGTGCTGGAGGAGACTCTTGAGAGTCCCATGGACTGCAAGAAGATCCAACCTCTCCATTCTGAAGGAAATCAGCCCTGAGTGCTCACTGGAAGGACAGATCCTGAAGCTGAGGCTCCAATACTTTGGCCACCTCATGAGAAGAGAAGACTCCCTGGAAAAGACCCTGATGTTGGGAAAGATGGAGGGCAGAAGGAGAAGGGGACGACAGAGGACGAGATGGTGGGACAGTGTTCTCAAAGCTACCAGCATGAGTTTGACCAAACTGCGGGAGGCAGTGGAAGACAGGAGTGCCTGGTGTGCTCTGGTCCATGGGGACATGAAGAGTTGGACACGACTAAACAACTCAACAACAACAATCATATGTGGTGGACATGTAGGAAGATCAAAGTGTTCTGGGGCTTAATTTACGAGGAGTTGAAAAAAATGTTTGGAATAACTTTTTTAAAAAGACCAGAGGCATTTCTGTTAAGCATTGTTGGCAGGGACATCCCGAAGGCCTTTAGGGAGGTGTTTTTATATGCAACGGCCGCAGCTCAGACTTTGGTGGCAAAGGGGTGGAAGGAACAAGAAGCCCCGACAATAACGGACTGGCAGTACAAGGTACAAGAATTTGCTGAAACGGCGCAGTTGAGAGGCAATCCAAAACAAAAATTTATGGAAAAGTGGGATAGATATAAAACCTATGTTCAAAAATACAGTAAAGGTTTGCTATCTATGCTAGCGTTCAATTGAGTTGGAGTAAGACTGCATTGAGAAGCAAGACTAAGAGCACATATAGGAATGTATTAGATAATATGTAAAGAAATATACAATAATAAGAGCACATTCATTTGTAAAATGAAGACATCTAAAGGCAGCCCTGTTTAGGGAAGCTTTTAATGTTTAATAGGTTATTGTATTTTAGTATTCTGTTGGAAGCTGCCCAGAGTGGCTGAGGAAACCCAGCCAGATGGGCGGGGTATTAATAATAAATTATTATTATTATAAGTTATTATAAAAAAGGAATATACAACGGGAAAGACAGGAAGTCTAGTGTGTTGGTATGTATATGATTTTGGGGAGGGGAAATTATTTTTGTTTTTTCCTCTGTTCTTTTTATTTTTGTTTCATTTTCTTTCTAGATATATAAAATATATTTTTTGTATACATATTCTAGCAAGTCCTGTAATGTAAGAGGACAACGTTTACCGATGTAACATAAGAACGTTAACAAATAAACGGCCTCGGTCCAGTACAGTGGTACCTTGGGTTAAGTACTTAATTCGTTCCGGAGGTCCGTTCTTAACCTGAAACTGTTCTTAACCTGAAGACCACTTTAGCTAATGGGGCCTCCTGCTGCCGCCGCGCCGCCAGAGCACAATTTCTGTTCTCATCCTGAAGCAAAGTTCTTAACCTGAAGCACTATTTCAGGGTTAGTCGAGTCTGTAACCTGAAGCGTCTGTAACCCGAGGTATCACTGTATACCTGAAGGAGAGTCTCTACTCCCATCGTTCTGCCCATACACTGAGATTGAGCGCCAAGGGCCTTCTGGCGGTTCCCTCATTGCGAGAAGCAAAGTTACAGGGAACCAGACAGAGGGCCTTCTCGGTGGTGGCGCCCTCCCTGTGGAACACCCTCCCTTCAGATGTGAAGGAAATAAGCAGCTATCCTATCTTTAAAAGACATCTGAAGGCAGCCCTGTTTAGGGAAGCTTTTAATGTTTAATAGGTTATTGTATTTTAGTGTTTTGTTGGAAGCCGCCCAGAGTGCCTGGGGGGACCCAGCCAGATGGGTGGGGTATAAATAATAAAGTATTATTATTATTATTATTAATAATAATACAGTGGTACCGCGGGTTAAGTACTTAATTCGTTCCGGAGGTCTGTTCTTAACCTGAAACTGTTCTTAACCTGAAGCACCACTTTAGCTAATGGGGCCTCCTGCTGCCGCCACACCACCAGCGTGCGATTTCTGTTCTCATCCTGAAGCAAAGTTCTTAACCCGAGGTACTATTTCTGGGTTAGCGGAGTCTGTAACCTGAAGCGTCTGTAACCCGAGGTACCACTGTAATAATAAAATGCAAATTCAAAAAAACACAACAAACTGCAACAAGACCCCCACCCGACCTCCTCCTTCCCCAAATCCCGCCCGCCTGGACCCCTCGCCCCAGCATCCCCCGACTTGGAAGGGACCCCCAAAGGTCATCTGGAACACCCCACGAGGAGGAGAAGGCAGTGGCGGGGGGGGGGGGACCCGGACTTACTTGGCCGAGAGGGTGTTGATGGAGCCGGTGACCAGCATCAGCCCGGCCAGGAAGAGCTGGTACTTGGTCCAGGCCATCCTCGCTCCGCAGCCGAGCTTTGTGCCAGAAATAAAATGAAATTAAACCGCCCCGGATCCGCTTTGCAGCTCCGGCACCAAAGCAGCTGCTCGGCTCAGCCACAGCCCGGGCGCGTTTCCTCCTAGGCAGGTCACATGACCGCAGCCAGTCAGCTGACGGGGGGCTGGGGGAGGGAGGGGGGAGGCTCCCAAATCTGGGGACCGCCCCCCTGGTGCCAATCACCGTGCAAAAGGGAGGGGGTCACTCCTCCAAGCTCCTCTCCCGCACACACTTGCAAACTCTGATTTTTTCTTTTTGCAATTCCTATTTTTGCAATTCCTATTTTTGCAATTCCTATTTCCTGCCGTTCTATGAATGCAGCAAAAAACAAACAAAAAAAAACTCGCTTTAAATGAATATTTTTAGTCGGGTCCCGGAGGCGCGTGCGGGCTGTGTCCTGTTAACGTTATCGCAGGATGAGTGCTTTTAGTTAATAATGGACTTTGTTTATCTCCTGATGTATTTTAAATGTAGCAATGTGTACTTTTTCTAGAATGGCAAGCTTTGGTTGCCAGCAGACTTTTAGAAGACATCTGAAGGCAGCCCTGTTTAGGGAAATTTTTAATGTTTGATCGCTTTATTATTATTAATATTAATATTGTTAATATTAATAATATTAATATTAATATTCTCTTGGGAGCTGCCTAAGGTGGCTGGGGAAACCCAGCCAGATGGGCGGGGTATAAATACTGTTATTATTATTACTACTATTATTATTATCCGTCTGACTCTGAAGACAATGGGAGTCTGTGTTGTTTGGTTCAAGTGATGCTTTGAGTTTGATCTTCGGTTTGATCTTCTTGCAGTCCATGGGACTCTCCAGAGTCTCCTCCAACACCAGAATTCAAAAGCATCAATTCTCCGGCGATCGGCCTTCTTTATGGTGCAGCTTTCACTTCCATACATCACTACTGAGAAAGCCATAGCTTTTACTATACGGACCTTTGTTGGCAAGTGATCCCCTTCATGGATCACTGCCTTGCCGTGGCGAAGGGGCTTGAGTAACTCAGAGAAGCTATCAGCTCTGCCGTTCAGGGCCACCCAAGATGGACAGGTCATAGTGGAGAGTTTTGACCAAACGTGATCCACCTGGAGGAGGAACCGGCAAGCCACTCCAGTATCCCTGCCAAGGAAACTCCATGGACAAAGACAACAGGCATAATAAAAATGATAATAATAACAAAATTTGTATACTGCCCTTCCTCCGTAGCTTGGGCCCAAACCAGCAAAATGAATTTCAATAGGGACACAAGTCAGGTTCTGCATTTAGGCAGGAAGAACCAGATGCACAAATATAGGAAGGGGGGGGCACCTGGCTTACTAGTAGTACATGTGAAAAGGACCTTGGGGTATTGGTTATGGGTAGGCAAACTAAGGCCTGGGGGCCGGATCCAGCCCAATCGCCTTCTAAATCCGGCCCGCGGACAGTGCGGGAATCAGTGTGTTTTTACATGAGTAGAATGTGTCATTTGAAATGCATCTCTGGGTTATTTGTGGGGCATAGGAATTCGTTCTTTTTGCTTCTTCCCCAAAATATAGTCCAACCCCCCACAAGGTCTGAGGGACAGTGGGCCAGCCCCCTGCTGAAAAAGTTTGCTGACCCTTTTACTAGAACATAAGATGAGGCCGGCTGGATCAGGCCAAAGGCTCACCTCATCTTGCTTCCTGTTCTCACAGTGGCCGATCAGGGAGAGGGAGCCGACGTTTGTCCACAGACAGCTTTCTGGGTCTTGTGGCCAGCATGACTAAACCACGTCTGGGGCAACGGGACACCATGACGGAAACCAGAGCAGCACACGGAAACGCCATTTACCTTCCCACCAGAGTGGTACCTATTTATCTACTTGCACTTGGACGTGCTTTCGAACTTCTAGGTTGGCAGGAGCTGGGATAGAGCAATGGGAGCTCAGCCCGTTGCGGGGATTTGAACCGCCAACCTTCTGATCAGCATGGATCAAAACGCGAGTCTCTAGTCCAACCATCACACAACGCGGAGTCTCAGCTGGCTTTCCATATTTCCTCTCCCCAGGAACCGAGAATCAGTGTGTTTTTACATGAGTAGAATGTGTCTTTTTGTTTAAAATGCATCTCTGGGTTATTTGTGGGACATAGGAATTCATTCTTTTTTCTTCTTCCCCAAAATATAGTCCGACCCCCCATAAGGTCTGAGGGACAGTTGGCCAGCTCCCTGATGAAAAAGTTTGCTGACCCCTGGTCTTGGTGGACCACAAGCTGAACATCAGCCAACAGTGTGATGCAGCAGCAAAAAAAACTAATGCTATTCTAGGACGCGGGTGGTGCTGTGGTCTAAATCAGAAGGTTGGCGGTTCGAATCCCCGTGACGGGGTGAGCTCCTGTTGCTCAGTCCCTGCTCCTGCCAACCTAGCAGTTCGAAAGCACGTCAAAGTGCAAGTAGATAAATAGGTACCGCTCTGGCGGGAAGGTAAACGGCGTTTCCGTGCGCTGCTCTGGTTCGCCAGAAGCGGCTTAGTCATGCTGGCCACATGACCCGGAAAAACTGTCTGCGGACAAACACCGCTCCCTCGGCCAGTAAAGCAAGATGAACGCCACAACCCCAGAGTTGGCCGCGACTGGACTTAACCGTCAGGGGTCCTTTACCTTTATTCTAGGCTGTATCAACAGAAGTATTGTATCCAGATCAAATGAAGTGCCACTGTATTCTGCTCTGGTCAGACCTCACCTGGAGTACTGTGTCCAGTTCTGGGCACCACAGTTCAAGAAGGACACTGACAAACTGGAACGTGTCCAGAGGAGGGCAACCAAAATGGTCAAAGGCCTGGAAACGATGCCTTATGAGGAACGGCTAAGGGAGCTGGGCATGTTTAGCCTGGAGAAGAGGAGGTTAAGGGGTGATATGATAGCCATGTTCAAATATAGAAAAGGATGTCACATAGAGGAGGGAGAAAGGTTGTTTTCTGCTGCTCCAGAGAAGCGGACACGGAACAATGGATCCAAACTACAAGAAAGAAGATTCCACCTAAACATTAGGAAGAACTTGCTGACAGTAAGAGCTGTTCGACAGTGGAATTTGCTGCCAAGGAGTGTGGTGGAGTCTCCTTCTTTGGAGGTCTTTAAGCAGAGGCTTGACAACCATATGTCAGGAGTGCTCTGATGGTGTTTCCTGCTTGGCAGGGGGTTGGACTCGATGGCCCTTGTGGTCTCTTCCAACTCTATGATTCTATGATTCTATGAAGTAATGAAGTAATGAAGACAAACCTAGACAGCATCTTTAAAAGCAGAGACATCACCTTGCCAACAAAGGTTCGTATAGTTCAAGCTCTGGTTTTCCCAGTAGTGATGTATGGAAGTGAGAGCTGGACCATAAAGAAGGCTAATCACCAAATAATTGATGCTTTTGAATTCTGGTGCTGGAGGAGACTCTTGAGAATCCCATGGACTGTAAGAAGATCAAACCTCTCCATTCTGAAGGAAATCAGCCCTGAGTGCTCACTGGAAGGACAGATCCTGAAGCTGAGGCTCCAAGACTTTGGCCACCTCAGGAGAAGAGAAGACTCCCTGGAAAAGACCCTGATGTTGGGAAAGATGGAGGGCAGAAGGAGAAGGGGACGACAGAGGACGAGATGGTGGGACAGTGTTATCGAAGCTGCCATCATGAGTTTGACCAAACTGCGGGAGGCAGTGGGAGACAGGAGGGCCTGGCGTGCTCTGGTCCAGGGGTCACGAAGAGTCGGATGTGACTAAACGACTCAACAACAACAACATTCTGCCTTGGTCAGACCACACCTGGAGTCCAGTTCTGGGCACCACAAATCAAGAAGGTGTGCAGAAGAGGGCAACCAAGAGGATCAAGGGTCTGGAAACTAAGCCTTATGAGGAACGGTTGAAGGAGTTGGGTATGTTTAGGCTGGAAAAGAGGAGACTGAGAGGAGATATAAGAGCCGTATTCAAATATCTCAAGGGCTGTCACATGGAGGATGGAGCAAGCTTGTTTTCTCCTGCTCTGGCGGTGAGCACCTGAACCGATTGATTCAAGTTACAAGAAAGGAGATTTGATTAAACATTAAGAACTTTCTGACGGTAAGAGCTGTTTGATAGCGGAACAGACTTCCTCTGGAGATAGCGGACTCTCCTTGCTGGAGGTTTTCAAGCCCTATGTGAAGCAATCGCATGATAAGCCCTAAGTGAAGCAATCGGGGAACCACCGCTAGAGAAGTAATCAAGGAATAAGGCATCAGGGTTGGGGGTATGTGTGGAATTAACTCAAGACTATAATATCACTTATAGATAAAGTGACATGACTTGGAGGAAGATAAGACTATCAGAAAGAACAAACCGAAGGATATTTTCATGCAGCACAGAGTTGAAACTGTGGAACTCCCTGCCACAGGAGGCAGTGAGGACCACCAACTTGGATGGCTTTAAAAGAGGATTAGACAAATTCATGGAGAAAGAGAGGGCTGTGTCGGTTTACATTTCTTAGTGCAGAAAGTATGGATCTGATGTGTAGAGATATTTCCTATTCTAATTGATTCAAGAGGGTTCTGGAAGCTTCTCTGTGTGAAAGAAACAAGCAGAAGGTTTCCTGACGTTTGGGTTATTCCTTCCGAGAAGCTGAGTACAGCTGCCTTAAACTGGTCCTGCTATCTCTTCTGTCAAGGACATGCTGACTATAAAAGTAGGGCCAGAAGGAGCCCGGGTTTCACTTTCTCTATCTCTTTTCCTTCTGGTGTGGTGTTCTGTACATAATATGCTTAGTATTAAGGTTTAGACTTATTATAAGTTATTGTAAGTTTAAGTTAAGTCTGCTGCAACAGGATTTCTTATGGACTGTGCCTGTCCTGAATGTATTGGATTTGTGAATGTATTTGTGAATGTATTGGATTATGCTCACTTGCCTTCAGTAGCAGTAAAGCTCTGCTGGATGAAATACCGTATTTTTTTGCACCATAACACTCACTTTTTTCCTCCTAGAAAGTAAGGGGAAATGTCTGTGCGTGTTATGGAGGGAATGCCTATGGGTGGCATGCCTGCGGATTTTCCTCCTCTAAAAACTACATGCGTGTTATGGTTGGGTGCGTGTTATAGAGCGAAAAATACGGTACAATGGCCTCTGGTTTATTTTGGGGAGGAATCCTGCAACATGCTTAAGTTTTTGCTCTGCTAACTATAGGTTGGAATCTACTCTAGATCAACATTGTTTTTTTCTTCCAGAAGTTCCAAAAGAACTTTATTGAAACTCAGAGCAAATGAACCAAGTCTGCATTTAGAAGAACATGTTAGGTCTCTTGCTGGCGAAGTGTGGCTTATGTTGACGATGCAGAACTCTATGTGGCAGAGGGAACTTGATTTTGGAATCATGGAACTGCTTGACAGCTGGTCTGCGGCACTTGCTAGCAGCGATCTCTCCAAACTTCATGATCTGAATTGAGTGAGCACAAGCTCTGTAACGGGCTCCCATATCGCGATAGCGCTGTGTAACAGCTCCAGCTGTTGTCAAAAACCTGTACTCCCTGTACATGTTATGAGTTCCACTACGAGAATCATAGTGCAGCCAGATACTGAATTTTTTCACCTTCAACGGAGACTTCTCAAAAACCTGTCCACAGTACACAATTTCCCCAGAAGATTTCTTCATCTTCTTCAGTTGAGAGACAAAATACCAGAAACGGGACTTTGCAACAACATGATTAGGAGCAAAGATGCGCATACGATAGAGAGGTGGTGTTGCGCACTTAGGAGTGGGGAGGCATCTCCCAACAACTCTGTACTCCCTCAGGGTGCCCGACGCCTTCATGGTGCTGCCTCTCTCGGTGCCACCCAGAAAAAGCCTCTGGATCAACACTGAGTGGAATTTTCATGACAGGCTATTGATGGCAACTAGCCAGGATGGCTTTGTTCTGCCTCCACCGTTATCGAGGCAGCGATGCCTCTGAATGCTCATTGCTGGACACAACTGTCACTCTTGGGCTCGGATCCTACTTGTGGGTTTCCCATAATGGGCATCTGGTTGGCCACTGTGAGAACAGGATTCTGGACTCGATGAGCCGCTGGCCTGATCCGGCAGGGCGCTTCTTGTGTTCTGGTGATGGTGGGAAGCCAAGCCTACCCTATGAATGGAACATATTTAATAAAGCAAATGCATTTTCCATTAAGCTTCTACTGGCCTTTGCCAAGGTGCGGTCTTCCTTATTAAAGGGACTTGATGGAAACAAATCAGGTGGGTGAAATGAAAGAGAAACTCCTTGGGAGGCAGTGTGGTGCAGTGGTTAGAGCAGGCATGGGCAAACTCGGCCCTCCAGCTGTTTTGGGACTACAACTCCCATGATCCCTAGTTACAGGACCAGTGATCAGGGATGATGGGAACTGTAGTCCCAAAACATCTGGAGGGACGAGTTTGCCTATGCCTGGATTAGAGTTTTGGACTATGACCTGGGAGATCTGGGTTCATATCCCCACTCAGCCATGAAACTCACTGGATGGGACTGCCTCTCAGGCTAATCAACCTCACAGGGTTGTTGAGATATAATCTGGGGAGGAGGAAAGCTGTGTAGGCCACCTCAAACTCCCTGGAGGAAAGGTGGAATAGAAATGCAATAAATAAACCGCAATAAACAAATACAAATCTTTTTTGAAGTTGCGCAAGGGCAAGGTACTCCTAGAGCCATGACAGCCCTTGCGATTCTTGTTGCACTTGCTTCAGCACTGACACGTGAGTTGTGGATTCCTGTCGATGTCATCGTGTCCAGGTACAAACAACTTGCACCTGCCCTGAGCTGGTTCAGGTGAAGCAATTAGATGCACTCTCAATGTGCAGCCAACCAAGGCTGCGCTGATGCGCTGGACCAGCAGGGGGGGAGGTTGCAGCGCCGCTGTGAGCTGTCTTGCAGGCTGAGAACACAAGCGAGTGCAAAATTCCCTGGAAGAAGGCCATACTTTGCCACCCTTTCTGCCACTTCCCAGTTTGGTTCCCTCGAAAGAAAAGTGGCTGATAAGGTAGAAAAGAAAGAACAGATGTCTAGTGTCCAGATCAAGGGAAGCCATAAAGGTAAAGGGATCCCTGACCACTAGGTCCAATTGCGGACGTCTCTGGGGTTGTGGCGCTCATCTCGCTTTATTGGCCAAGGGAGCCGGCGTACAGCTTCCGGGTCATGTGGCCAGCAGGACTAAGCCGCTTCTGGCGAACCAGAGCAGCGCACGGATACGCCGTTTACCTTCCTGTCGGAGCGGTACCTATTTATCTACTTGCACTTTGACGTGCTTTTGAACTGCTAGGTTGGCAGGAGCAGGGACCGAGCAATGGGAGCTCAGCCCGTCACAGGGATTTGAACCGCCGACCTTCTGATCGGTAAGTCTTAGGTTCTGTGGTTTAACCCACAGCACCACCCGTGCCCACCAGGGAAGCCATAGTCCCGCTCTATTCTGTCTTGGTCAGAAGTACCGTATTCCACCTGGAATACTGTGTCCAATTCTGGGCACCACAATTTAAGAAGGATGTTGACAAGCTGGAAGGTGTGCACAGGAGGGCGAGCAAGATGATCAAGGGTCTGGACTAAGTCATATGAGGAGTGCTTGAAGGAGCTGGGTATGTTTAGCCTGGAAAAGAGGAGACTGAGAGGTGATGTGATTTTTGTTGTTGATGTTGTTTAGTCGTTTAGTCATGTCCGCCTCTTCGTGACCCCCTGGGCCAGAGCACGCCAGGCACTCCTGTCTTCCACTGCCTCCCGCAATTTGGTCAAACTCATTCTGGTAGCTTTGAGAACACTGTCTCACCATCTCATCCTCTGTCATCCCCTTCTCCTTGTGCCCTCCATCTTTCCCAACATCAGGTTCTTTTCCAGGGAGTCTTTCTCTTCTCATGAGGTGGCCAAAGTCTTGGAGCCTCAGCTTCAGGATCTGTCCTTCCAGTGAGCACTCAGGGCTGATTTCCCTAAGAATGGATTGGTTGGATCTTCTTGCAGTCCATGGGACTCTCAAGAGTCTCCTCCAGCATCAGAATTCAAAAGCATCCATTCTTTGGCGATCAGCCTTCTTTATGGTCCAGCTCTCACTTCCATACATCATGACTGGGAAAACCAGAGCTTGAACTATACAGGCCTTCATTGGCAAGGTGATGTCTCTGCTTTTTAAGATGCTGTCTAGGTTTGTCATTGCGTTTCTCCCAAGGAGCAGGCGTCTTTTAATTCCGTGGCTGCTGTCACCATCTGCAGTGATCATGGAGCCCAAGAAAGTAAACTCTCTTACTGCCTCCATTTCTTCCCCTTCTATTTGCCAGGAGGTGATAGGCCCAGTGGCCATGATCTTAGTTTTTTGACGTTGAGCTTCAGACATTATTTTGCGCTCCCCTCTTTCACCCTCATTAAGAGGTTCTTTAATACCTTCAAATATCTGAAGGGCTTCACATGGAGGAGAGAGCATGCTTGTTTTCTCCTGCTCCAAATCATTGGCTTCAAGTTACAAGAAAGGAAATTGTGACTGAGCATTAAGAAAAACTTTCTGACAGTAAGAGATGTTTGACAGTGGAAGTTGGTAGAATCTGTTTCCTTGGAGGTTTTCAAGCAGAGGTTGGAGGGTCATCTGTCAAGGTCAGATGGACCCCCTTTGGCCTGATCCAGCGGCAGGTCTCTTCTGTTCTTGGGAATTTGCAAGAGGGTCCTTCACTTCTGCAGTGTGTGGCTGTTTTCTCCAGTGAAGGAGTTCCAATGTGTAGGTGATGCCACACTCGGACGCAGCTGGCTCTGTGGTCTAAACGACTGAGCCTCTTGGGCTTGCCAAATGGAAGGTTGAAAGCACACCAGTGTGAGTAGATAAATAGGTACCACTGTGGTGGGAAGGTAAATGGTGTTTCCATGTGCTCTGGTTTCTGTCATGGTGCCCCGTTGCTTTAGAAGCAGTTTAGTCCTGCTGGCCACACGACCCCGAAAACACATTGACACGCTTTCAAACTGCGTTGCGGGGATTCGAACCGCCGACCTTCTGATCGGCAAGCCCTAAGCTCAGTGATGATGTCTCAGTGATGCTGCTCAAAGTGTATTCTGTTTTAAAAAGTTTTAAAAGAGGACATAACTACATGCTTGGGGTTCTTACTCCTGTGGGGACCTGTTGCGCAACAAAAAAGATAATGGTCTACTGACCGTTGTTTTGCTCCAAATTACTTGGCTGGAACTTCCTTCTTTAACTGACCGCATGGACCCGCATGGACGAGCTGGGCTGTTGAGTAGTCTCTCACCCCAGAATTTTTCAATAATAATAATAATAATAATAATAATAATAATAATAATAATTTATTATTTATACCCCGTCCATCTGGCTGGGTTTCCCCAGCCACTCTGGGCGGCTTCCAACAAAACACTAAAATACAATAACCTATTAAACATTAAAAGCTTCCCTAAACAGGGCTGCCTTCAGATGTCTTCTAAAAGTCTGGTAGTTGTTGTTCTCTTTGACATCTGGTGGGAGGGCGTTCCACAGGGCGGGCGCCACCACCAAGAAGGCCCTCTGCCTGGTTCCCTGTAACTTGGCTTCTCGCAGTGAGGGCACCGCCAGAAGGCCCTCAAAGCTGGACATTGGTGTCTGGGCTGAATGATGGAGATGGAGACGCTCCTTCAAGTATACTGGACAGAGGCCGTTTAGGGCTTTAAAGATCAGCACCAACACTTTGAATTGTGCTTAGAAACAGTACCTTGTTGTAGTAGCGGCCATCTGAGACTGCCGGTGCCCCACACATAGAGGGCCTCCCACCAGAGCCATCCTCTGCCCACCCCTCTTTCCAGAGAGTAAGCTGCCGGCCTCCTCACTGAGCTCCAGGCCAGCACCCAAAGGACCACCTTCCCATCCTGGAGCGATGGTGATGGAGAGGTCCCCCAGGGATGCATCACACGACGGACCGGCTGCTTTTGCACCTGGGTCGGAGGTTTCCAGCCAAGGCTGAAGCCAGCTGGGCGGCTGCTGCTGTCTTACACTTCACCCCCCCTCCTCCCAGCTGCCACCTCCCCCTCGCCACAACCCGCTCCAGGGCTCAGCCTGGAGATAAATGGTTTTTCCATCCCGCGTCAGCCTCTCTCTCTGGGCCGTGACCTGTGGGAGGCCGGGAGAAGAGGGGGAAAAGATGGAAAAACACTAAAAGGCCTTTGCCAAGGCTATTTTCAAACCTGCCTTCTATCAGCGGCTTGGGGAGCGAATGAGGCTTGGGCGCTGGACCTGGGGGGGGGTCGGGTCCCAGTTAACCCCTTCTGCTGCACCGAAGGCAAGAGGCACCTCGCTTGTGGGCGAAACATCTGCATTAAGGACGGGAACCATGAATACAGTGTGCAGTTGCTGTTGCCTTAAAGCATATTGCAAGGTTGAGAAATAGGCAAGCAGTTTTTAAAATAAATAAATAAATAAATCTGTATTATTTGAAAAGGGAATAATCTTTGTATAAGTTAATACTTCATTATCGCTTTGGAGGGTATCTTAGTACGTTTGTCCTCCCGGGCTGTGATGCTTTACGGCTTTTATTTTTTGATGTTGCACTTAAAAAAAACCAACAAACGGTGAAGGGACTGGAGCGACTCACCTGTGAGGAACGGCTGCAGCATTTGGAATTTTTTTAGTTTAGCGAAGAGGCGAGTAAGAAGGAATAGGACAAAAGTTTATAAAATTGGAGAAAGCGGATGGAGTTTTCCTCCCTCTCTCATAACACCAGAATTTGCAGATATTGGATGAAGCTGAGAGTTGAGAGATTCGGGATGGATAAAAGGAAGGAGTGATTTGCACAGTGCAGAGTTCAACTGCGGAACTCCCTGCCACAGTGAT